GTAGTTTGCAAAACCTTGCTTGAACTTAGTACTAACCCCAAGTCACTCATATAACAGCTATTTCCGCAAGATGCTCTTTATTTTTTCGTCCCATCCATTCTACACAACACATGTCCGCCTTCCCACTGACAGCACACCTGTCTCAAGTGAAATTCGCGACAACCCAAAACGCTGGCCTTACTTCAAAGATGCCATCGGAGCGATTGACGGCAGTCATATCCATGCATACCCTCCTTCACACAGCCGCCACCTCTATTACAATCGCAAAGGCTTCATCTCTCAAAATTGCCTTTTTGTGTGCGATTTTGACCTCAATTTTACATTCACACTGACCGGCTGGGAGGGATCAGCAACCGATGCTCGACTCTGGGATGTAGCTCGCAATGATGGCCTGAATATCCCGCCTGGAAAATATCTTCTTGCTGATTCAGGGTTCCCCTCATGTAAAGAGCTCTTAGTCCCCTATCGTGGCATTCGCTATCACCTTGCTGAATGGGGCCGTGCTAGCACTAGGTAAACCTTCAGTTGTTTTTTTTTGCTCATCTGACATTATTTTTTAGACCTGTTAACAAAGAAGAGTTGTTCAACCTCCGTCATGCATCAGCTCGCAACGTCATTGAACGAATTTTTGGTGTTGTGAAACGTCGTTTTCGCATCCTTCTCATATCCCCTGAATATAGCATTGACATTCAGGTGTGGATTCCTACAGCGCTATGCGCTCTTCACAATTACATCCGCGCTCATGACCCAGACGAAGGTCCTTTGCCGCACATACCCGTTGTCAATGACAACCATCACGACACCTTCCCAGCACCTCCAGGACATGCCGACACTGATAACTCAGGTGCAGCGCCCATTCATACCAACACAAACAACCTTCGTGATCAGATTGCAACGCAAATGTGGGAGGATTATCAAAACTACTTGTATGAACGAGACTTGATGGATGTAGATCAGTTCTTGGAAAGTGATGAGGAGGCGGCTTCAGATGATGAACAGTATGCAGAGCTTGAAAATGATGCTGACAACGATGATGCTATTTGATACAGTAGTAGTACAACATTCTGCTACTACTACAAAAATGGAATATTGTGCTTGACTTGTTGAATGATAGACCGCAAAAAACCAATGCGAAGCTCCGGCGTGGTACTCAAATACACAGTGCATATTCTCACATTCAGCAAGAACGCGTTCAAGAGGACAATCTTCTCATCATGCGACAAGTCCTCTTCTGCTTGCATGCTGTCCAGTGCACGTCTTGTTTCATCCACCACTCGAGAATCTTCAGTGACGGTCGATGTTGTAAGACCATCGGTCAGGCGATTAATGGAACCTTGCAGGTTCATCCATGCGGCGGCGCTGGCAGCATCTTTGCCCTTTCTGCCACCATTCCCACTGCTACGCCGACTCGTACCCGTTAACTTGAGCTTCTTGCTGTCGGATTCTGATGGTACCAGCTGCGAGACCGACTCAGACATGATGGATGCAGAAGGGGCAACTGACGTCATATCGTCGAGCTGGCGCTTTCCCAGGCTAGAGGTAGAAGAAGGAGGCGGCATGAGGGAGGGGATACTAGTACTGACATCATGAGTGATGTTGCTGGTGCTGGTGCTGGGACCTGGTACTGGTGCGGCATCATCAGTGATGTTACTGACACTGGGACCTGGCACTGGGACTTGAGTGCCGGTTGCAGCTGATGACGTGGGGTTGTATGAAGCAGATCCATGTGCAATGCTGTTAGTCGGTAGGATTTGGTCCATCTTGTTGTAGAACCTCCAACCGGTGTTCTTGAACGACTTCATGGACTTCCCAGAGCTGCTCTGTGGCAAGATAAATTCAGCTGAAATTAATACATAAATGTGATTACATACGTGAATAAATTCATTCCACACAGATTCAGCTGCCTCCCCCTGAATGCTAGCACCATGTTCACTATCCCAATGACACCTGGATCGGTTGCGATATTTCTCAATAGCATTGTAAGTAGATTTTAACTAAAATATTTGCATCAGCGATGGCTGGACTCAGAGTGGCACAAGAGACAACATACCCCTGCCCATTTAACCCTGCAATGTGATGCCGTCTTTACTGGGCCACTTTTCTTCAACCCTGCGATCTTGAGGGCAGCTTCATTGTAGGTCGGTTCTTTGAAGTTGGTTCCAGCCAACTTTGATCGTTGTGTGATAAGATAGTCGAGGAGGGCATCAACCTCAGCATCCTCCCAGTGAGCCTTCTCCTTTGGTAAAGACATTTGTATCAGCTGGAGTTGGCTACAGATTATGAAAGTAGCGACTGCTACAAAGATCTGCTTTCTGCGCTGATCATATGCGCGATGGCTGATAACAGATTTCGTGGCCATGGTCGGAAGGGAAAGACATTCGATCTCCGACACCGGCGTTCGTCGTGCCGCCTGTTCAATGCTGTGCATTGTCAAACTTTGCACCCAACTTTCATTCAAACTCAGGTTACCGAACAAGCTCTTATATAGACAAATCTATGTGGCTGTGCTAATTTACTCCCGCATACCTAGGTATATTCAATTTTCGTTTTCTCATGTATCTAGATATACTACATTATTTGTCATAGATCATAATACCCGTGTGAATCATACGTAGGTGAACATGATTTGTGAGGCTTAGTCATAGATCAGCTGACTGTGGTAAGAGAACATGGTTTACATAATATGTTGAAACTTGTTTGTATTTGGTGTTATTTAGAGACGTAGCATATGTCATAAAGCAAAACCGGGTAACATGTGTATTTAAAGTTTCCTGGAAGTTCCCACAAACAAACATACACAGAAAGTATTTTTCATGGAAGCTTCATATGCATGAGAATCTAGGTGAGTCATCTTCGAGCCAAATAACACAAAATTCATTCCATGCAAAATTCCCGAAAAATATTCACTAACACCGCACGGTCATGCACTGGACCAGTTTGGTGCAGGTCAATGTTCATGCAGGATGAGCAAAACACAACACGGTACTTTCAAGAGGAACATGTCGTTCTGCAAGATGGTGAGTAAATGAAAAAAATATAGATATTGGGCAGGTTACCTACCACAAAACAGTGAGAAACAGATCTAGAGAATGTTACAATAACATTTACTCCTATTCTATTTTTCTTTTCTTGTAACCATGCCGCCGACTCTAGACTCATCTAGACTCAGCTATTCTCTTATCAAGCGGGCTGTCCGCACTTCTCTTCTTTCTTGATTGTAACATAGATACTATCTTGCGCCGCATGGCGGTTTCACCTATTCTTGCTATCTTGATAGGTTGTACTCTTTTTCCTATCTCTGTTACTTTTCTTGTCGCGGCTACGCCGCTCCTTTGTACCTATATAAACCCCATGTACCATAGCTATATTCCTTAACTTAATCTACTGGGTTTTCCCCTTGAAACCTGATCTACTAAGGTCTCCACCCTTAGTAGCCTGAACTCTGATTCTAAGGCAGTCACTCACTGTCTTAGCCTGAAACCCTTGATTGCGGTAGAAGTGCTAAAACCACTCGCCGCTGATCCTGCATAGAAGCCGCGGCTCATGCAGTAGGAACCACCAGAAACCTTCCTTGTATTAGGAAGGCCGACGAACTGTTCGCCCGACAGGTCTATCTTGACTGGCAACAGCAGAACTATCCCAGTCGTAACAGAGAAACACAAGAAGCGTGAGAATCAATGGAGGTTCAAATACCACAAAGTGAGACATTTGAGGATGGAACGATAGGGAGGGCAAGGAAAGTGAGCCAAAATTCAGTGCGAGCTCCACCTATTTACACTGTTTGCCACCCAGCTACACCAAAGGCAGTTACTAAGTGAGGAGGGTAGAGCTACAAGCACCGCGTGCACTCTGGTACCAATATAAAGTAATAAATGAGGATCCAAAATCTCTAAGTTGAGTGGTGATATCAAAGTGGGTTGGAAAGGGCCAGGTGAAATTGACGCGGTCCTGCCGCACCTGCTGCGGCTGTGACGTGACCGTGATGCAGCACTGTAACAAATTCTAGGGTACAGATAACTTTCAATCTTGCTTTTAATCCTCCCATTATCCTTAAGCTTAATGATCAATAGATGAGTGTCTGCCTGCATACAGGCTCTATAAGCATCTAATTTGTTCATCTATGTTGGCTTTCAGACACAGTATCAAGTATTGTCTCACTGCATCAAGCCTCAATTTCAGTCTGTCAAGCTCAATCCACTCTCTATACTCTGCACCACCACGTCAAGTGTCAACCCCCAACATGGCATGTCAGAAGCCTTGTTTATGCTGGGTCGAGCACCACTCACACCACGACAAGTTCTCCCAAACATCTTCACACTCTCTGCACTGATATCAATATTCACACTCTATGCCGCATCAAGGCCCACTATCAGTGCTGCATCAACATAGCACATACTGTGTCAGTGCCGCATCCCTGCCACATCAAACTTTATTCATGCCGCATCAGTGTTGCATCACATGTGCATCACATGTGCATCACTGTCAAACTTCATTCTGGGGGCCAGTCATGGTGGGTTCATTGCTGCTCATTGTACATCCCCCTTTTTCATTCACATGTTTCGATGTCTAATGCCCCCTTTTGTGCGCATACAGTAATAGGCCAACAAGCATCCATCTGCAACCCTCACATTGCCCACATCAAACTCCCTCCTGTTGCTAATGCCAACGCTCACACTTCCACTAATGACCCCCAGACGCATATAGCACCCTCTTTGCTGCATCCCCAATCGCGCACGTTGCACCAGTGCTGATATTGATAGGCGAGAATATCAAAGGAATGGTTATGAACTCGCACAGCTTCATCTGTGACCTGGTGACCAACATTCTCCAAGGATGTATACACAGTACTGAACAAAGGGTACTAACACTGCCGATGTTTACCTTCTGCCTCCCACCTGTTTGCACACTGATGTGCCCCAAGTGTGTCTTTGGATTTTCAAGCTTGTACTCAGTAAACACGAACTCAGTTTCACAACTTTCGACTGCTGTATGTAGTAAATTTAAGCATTTTCGCTATGATCTCTTTCGACGTCAGACTCAGAATCTGTAAACTCTGCATACTCTGGTTGGTCTTCATCATCACAATTCTCCCCTTGTGCTCCCCAGTCCTGAACACCATGAAGTGCTTGTGTTGGTGGATTTGCTATGCTGCTGATATATTGAAAACTAGTAGGTCCCACTAAGCCAGAATTTTGAGGGAGTTCCTGCATGCTTGGAAGCAAAGGAACATCCTCGTATTCAGGTTCGGTGACTCCCTGTGAAAGCAGAACAGTCAGGTCCTTGTCACCTTCAATTGCCTGGAACTGTGCCAGTAACATCTGATACACATTCCAGAACGAATCCAATGACACTTGAGGATTGCCTAGTAAAGCATAGAGGTATTGTGCGCATTGTTCAAATGAAGGTGGCACCAGATCGAAGACTGGGTGATTAGAGGGAGCATATATTGCTTCAACCTCGTCAAAGAGCTCGCTTGGCACTGGAATCTTGAGACAAGTAAGTAGTGTCATTGTTGAGTGGTGACAATGGGCAATGTACCTTGAAGTCAAGTGAGTTAAATTCACGATGTTTTGCGCGGATGATTGCAGGAATGCCATGAGGAAGAATCTTGTTTTTATCCTTGCGAGGAGCATTATGGTTCCGTCGACGAGCCCATGCATCAAGTTCAGCCTGGAGCCATGGAAATTGCAAGCCAGTGAAACACATAGCTACATTATTGATGGTGATTGTCAGTGAATGTGTATCTGATGAAAGATCACATACTTTTGCAAAGTGTTGTTTATGTCATATAGTCCTCTCACAACACCTTCAGCCAGCATGTTCTCAAAGCCCGGAGCGAAGTCCCTACGGAATACAGACCACATGATTTCAGGCTTGATGTTCTGGTGCTTTTGCATCCAGCGGTGCTGAAGTGTTCCGTTGAGCCCAGGATCTAGGTGATGGTGAATCATTGTTTGGGTGTTGGCAACCGCAAAGTTCTGGGAACCTGGATCACTCTGGGTAATCAAAGGTACCGCTAAGATACAAAACAAAATACAATCAATGTCTGATGGATGTGAGAGCGATGATGACATACCCCCAAGTTTTCGACAACAGTCAAGGTAGTATCGTGCAATGAGGCGGGGATTTTTGTTGGTCCACCAAACTTTGAGCCAGTTAATCCACCCAGTGAATGGATCGAGGCTGATATGCAGCCATAGCCCAAAGCGCAGCCATTTGTCATGCTGGTCTTGGGGCCAGACATCATTAACTCCTGCGCACCAAAAACACCTGCGCTTGAGTCGTCCACAATGCCTAGCTTGCACAGCAGTTGGCTCAGTGATCTTGAGCAGCTTAGCAATCAATTCACTGATTGAAGACAGATTTAGCTGTGAAGAGTATCGCCTCGGTGGGGAAATCACTGCCAAATCTCCCGGACATGCAGTTCAATGGATTGGAGAGTATGTTGCTGTTGCCTAGTGCGTTTCCAACCCCAGCCATTTCGCATCCGACGAAAGGTGATGACACTGGCACAACAAATATTTAGTTTACTCAAATTGGGAATATGTAAGACACCATGACACAAACCTGAGTCCATATTCTTCCTGGTTGTAGTGGTCTTTGAGATGGTGCACGATTTCAACATCGCTCATCCCAAGCGTGAAATAAAACTGAGCCGGTTCTTGAATTTCATTGGCAGGGGCTATGCTCACCCAACAATCAATGAAAGTTTTTAATGATGCAGGATTACAACTCACGACATGGTTTATGCTGGTTGGCACGCCGAGGACGATCAGTCATAATGTCCCGGGCCTGTGCACTGGAGCGATGTTAGCTAAAGCAAAGCCGGATTCCTGACACTTTGCGTTTCGAGCTCTTTAAGGCACGATCAGTATTCCCCGAGTCACTACCTGTAACCACCCTGATTGCTGCCAATGATAATCAAATTTAACTATCGACAACATTAATACATAGAGGTCAAGCAGTGGTTGGGGGTCTGACAGGTGAAAACCAAACAAACTTGCTTAGCGAAGCTGATCACTCCCGCTTTCCATAAGAATTCATAAAGACAACCTGCGCCCGACCCGTCTGCATCTGTACCACTACATCAGGATGTCGATCCTTTGACATGGTGTCTGACGCGGCTTGAGGCATGCACAGACAAATCAGTGGACACCGTATTGGACTCATTGCACACGGTGTAGACGAGCAACTAGTAATCTCATATCACATTGCAGGAAATGTCTGGGAGTGAGCCTACGTTTACAGTACAGGTAACAGCATTATCTTACTGTGCCTTATCTTGTTGGTTGTACTGTAAACAAGTTGTTGAATACAGAGCAGTTCAAGAATCAACGAGATCTCAACAGCGAGTAATATTCATTCCTGATCGTCACATCAGCTCCCTCCGTCGATGGACGGTCCCGAGGATCAGTAGACCAACACTGCTCGATAAATGCCCAATACTTTTCAGGGAGCTCAGGATAACGAGATCGGAAAGGCTTCTCCGACCTAGCTATGCATAGTACAATTGCAGCATCATTCGCGAGGTAATAATAAGGAATTTTGTTGCTGAGGACCTAAAGGAAAACTTCATGATGCCATCGATAAGTCGAGAGTCTTCCAGACGTACCTGCAACATGATACCGCCGAACGAAAAGATGTCGCTCTGCTCGCTCGGATGAGTTGGAGATCCGTCTTCCCGCTCTAGTACAAGAAGTTCAGGAGCCATCCATCGCGTGTTTCCTTTGAGCGTGGACGTCCAAGAAGCCTGAGAGGCACTTATGACCTCGGAATACATCAAGGAAAGACCGAAGTCAGCAATACATGCAGTGCCGTCACCACGGATGAGCACATTAGGCTGGAGCTCGCATCTCAATTAAATTGTAACTATCGAGAAGATCGAACTCACTCCATTGAAGTCACCGTGGATGACACTGTTAACGTGAACTATGAGGAGTACTTAGAGCTCTGTCCGGCAACAGTAAGGTCTCTCACTCACGATATTGCAGACCAGCTATGATATCTCTTAGCTAAATTTTCTATCAGTTTTCTTGTTGACCCAAATACACGAAGAGAGGACTTGCCAGCTGGAATCGTCGAACGAGAGTCAGAGCCGCACCCTCACGCTCCAAATAGACTGTCAGATTACCATTCTCCGCCCAAGGACTGACTATCGCTGGAAATGGGCCGAAGCCATGCGTATAACCATAAACGCGCAAAATATTCGCATGCTTGAGGTTGGCACATATCCTGAGTTCACGCTTGATCCTCTATGAAGCGCGCCCTGTGGTGTAAGTGATAGACTCAATCCTTCGGTGAGACACTTGCTTTCATCTTTTTCATCTTCGCTGGCCCAAGTTGATCATCAACATACATCTGCAATGCTTTCACTGCGACCTGCAAAATTGTTAATTATAGACAGAAGGACAGACAAAAGACGGCAAACTAACTTTGACCGAACTACGATCGATGTAAAAAGTACATTTCCAGATCTCCCCAAACCCACCACGAGCAATAGGATAGTCATCGTCTTTGGTGATATATTTTGAAAGGTCTTGGAGCATTACTTTAGTAGGGAGATCATCAAGCTCATCATTGCGAGCGCAGATATCTGTATACATATGGGAAGAAGAGGGAAGGATCTCGCGAGGGTCGAGAGGTGGCTGGGATAACCATGGACCTACTGTAGAAGACGGTACATGCGGTGGCGGGGAAAGAACTGTAACAGGCGATATTGTTGTACTTGGGAGTCCTCCGTTGGAATGCAGTGTGTTCTGGCGCAGTGACTGGAATCCTTGTTCGGAATGCCTGCCAAACATCTTATCAGGCGACAACTGCATGTCAGTGAGCGGTCGCAGGTCGGTAGGCGGTATGTAAGAGGTTTTGGGGTGTCTGCTAGTCCAGGATTCGGACCCTGTGCGACGACGGGTGGAACTGATAGAGAGAGGTAACAAAGAGTAGGAAGGGAGTCTCCGTTGCGCATTTGGTGAGGCATCACTAGTGGAATGATTCACAGTGAGAGAGAGCGCGTCAGACTGCGAAAATAGGATTAATAGAGTGGTGTGAATGAACAAAAGAAAGGGATGAGTACATAAGCCAGGTGTGGGTGTGTAGGAGCACTTGTCTTCAAGAAAATGTTAGTACATGAATGATTTTGGGGTTGGCTGCGCACTTTAATTTGTGGTACAGGTTGAATACTAGCAAGGATCTCAGGGGGAATGTTGCATAGGTAGATGCTGTAATCATCCATTATAAGGGTGGTGTAAACTAGTTGGCGCGAGTCGGGTGAGAGGATAAGGCGGTAGATCGACAGGGCAAAGAATGAGGCGAGGAGCTGGCGGGACTCGAATGCCCAGAGCTTGATGGTGTTGTCTTTAGCAGCACTAGCGAGGAGAGCACAATCAAATGAAAGTGCTAGACAGTTGATGCTCCTAGTGTGTCCTTCAAAGGGGGCTCCAATAGTCTGCAGTGCAAGTGCGTCGAATTCATAGATCGTCTCATTTGAAGCCTCGTCTGTAAAGCTGAATGCAGCTACGATGGTTTTATCTTTGGTGGTCCAAAACACAGCTGGTGCACATGTATCATGACAGACCCCTTCTACGCTCATGTGAACGTCCAAATTCTGTGATTGGACATCCCAAACTTCAAGGGATTTGCCCCAGAATGATATTGCGGCGAGTTTCTTTGAGTCTTGTGAGAATCGAACTGCACCCACCCACTTGATACTTTTAAATGGGCCAGCCACGAGTTGATCTCCTTCTAAACTCCATATCCGCACTGTACCATCCAATGACGCGCTCGCCAGTAGTGTGCTGTCCCCGGAGATATCGATGCAGTTGATGCTAAATGAGTGTCCTTCAAATGTTCTCACGGCCCCCGTCTCGACCTCACAGACTTTGAGCTCCCCAATGTTGAAATCCCCACCTGCGGAGACAACCCATCGACCATTCCTTGATACCCCTACAGCATGTATGTCCCGCTGAGAATTATCTCGCGCCTCCTCGATTTCCTTTCCCGTTTCCAGGTCCCATTCACGAGTGGTCTTATCGCTTGACCCGCTAATTATTCGCTTTCCGTCCGGAAAGTACGAGATGGACCGAGGAAGATCTTTGTGACCCTCCAAGGTCAACACAGGAGTCAGAGTTGATTTACTTCTGGGTTGTCGCGATCTGTACATCATGTCCCGTTTCTCCGCCAACGAGGTTTAGCAGATGCGGACAATGTTTTATTTGGAAGTATTCGAAGGACCGTCGGTGAGGTATACTGCGACCTTGCGTGGATAGTGATTTCGAAGGATGCCTAACTCGTTGGACGGTGCTGGTGCACTTTACCTGCCGATGGTCACTTCGTCAACGCTAACAGTCCAGATTAGTTTGATGTTACCTGGAGGCTAGCAACTTGGAAAACGAGCGAGCAAATCAGCTGCCTGAATGTGCATGCGTATCACAACCCCTTCCCTAACACGCACCTTCAGCATGGCGCCTGTGCGTTGCACAGCATTTATTTTTACCCATTGCCTCATGTCCATCAAAATTGCTTGTTTAGGCACAAGTTAATCATGCACTTTTAATGCAACGAATGAACGAGTTCGACCAGTGTGGCTCACCAAATCAACAATTTTGGAGGTCGACCTCCTGATGATTCTTAATAAGATGGGGCCTTCATTTTGCATAAAAGCAATCGCGACTGTATGGTCTTCCGCATGCGAAATGCTATGCCATCCCGAGAGTACCCTCGCCGTTCTGGAACATGAGCAGCCTCACAAAAGTCTCTACAGCGTAGTTCATTTAACGCTTTGCATGGTCTGTTCAGCTCATTGATGTGGCGCTTTTCTGTACGCATTTCCGGCGGCTCGGTGTTAATCGTGTCCATTCTGTCATGCTGTCCATTTGCGTGCTTTTCGCTTCCTTTCACCCTGAACTTACTCTTCAACTTCTCAAATGCGTTCCTTTTTTGCGCAGATCGTGCTCGAAGGATATACTGCAATGCCACTTTATGGACAGAATTCAAGTACTCTGTTCACGTCGTCCCCCTCGGTAGTGATTCACGTCAGCGGTTACGAATACTCGTTGCGAATCATTGACAACAACCTCTCACTGTGACAAGCATCTAGCACACTGGAAACCCCGAAATCAGCAAAACACGGAGTGCCATCGATCGCCATGGATAAGCACGTTGGGCTTTCATAGCCATGACCGAAGTTCCTGTGCTAGAACATCAATATTACTATTTCCCAAACTGATCAATGTTGTATATGTGCTCTTATGGAGAATGGCGTACGTATATGCTGTAGTATTAAACCTCTCACTCAATCATTCAACATTCTTCATGACCGATCTCTGTTGCCAATCCGCATTATGTACCAGCGAATACGGGAGCATTTTTGTTAAAAAAAACTCTAGCGCAACATAGAGACCCATGCTATTAGCTCAACCGTTCTCGGGTCATATACCGACCGTGTCAGCATTGGCTTTCGCTTGAGCGTCTAAAAAAACATTGCTTTGACTCGTTTCCTATATTTGACGTGCCTGCCCTCGTCTCGAATTATTTTCGCCGTATTCACCATAGGTCTATCGGCAAATAAACGTGGTGTAGGCGGTGATGCCCATGCCACGAATGTCCTAGGTAAAATGAGGACGGAGAAACGAATCCATTCCAAAACACTGTAAAGCCATCGATGGCAACACACCGTGGCAACTCTTTATACTCTAGTTTGGTTGTAAAGTTCGTTAGACGGTCGTGCACGTTCTGAATATGTAGGTTGCTGTAGCGGCACTGATGCTGAATCCAAGACCTGAGTCATTACCAGCGAAATTCTCACTAGCCAAATACATACGGAGGAGCAACACGTCGTGCGTTGCGACCTGTCAATAGCCCTCACGTTAATAATCATAGGGATTTTCAAAAATGGCCAAAAGTGCTTCGCCTGCTGGAGCCGGTCCAGAGCATTAGTTTATCCGTGCTGCAAGTTCGGGTGAAGTTTGTGAGGACTACATTTCATCGTTGGTGACTAGGCTCATGAGCATTCAATAACCCCCACCTTCATCGTACTTGTTAAATGGATCTGTAAAACATAGGTGAGCGTAGTGAGACATAGCAGAGAGACATGCATGCTAATACTGGTCAATGACGAAGATTCTTCTGTCATTTGAATGCAATCACTGACATCCTGAAGTTAACCAAGACTGAAGTCATTAGTTGAGATGAATCCATATCATCTAGCATTTGCTTCGTTAGCACTGACGAGTTGACTTCGTGATGTTGTTACTGAGTGCACGACACGACAAAAACATTTCGCCAGGGCCAGAGGAAGTGTCCGCCATCCTGAATATATTAACAATAAAAACCATGAGAGGGCAGAGTTGCATCGACGACTCTCGATGTTACGAGTGGTACGTACGCGTGCAAGGAGAGAACGAAAAGAATCATAAAATAAGAACGCCCTTAATAGGACTGCTAACGAAGTGAAGATGGTGAACAGCGGGTGCGGGTCATAGGGTATGGCATGTGCGTCGCCAGCTGGGACATCCGAAACCTCGATCTCGCTCGTCAATGTCAGAAATGCATTTAACATGAACATGGATTCAGCATGTGCTGTTACAGGCAAGTGATCAACGTAGGAATTGGTGTGGCACGTTCATCGCTAACGTTGGCGAGTTGGACTTGATTCCTACAGCTTACTTGATAGCAAGCAAGATTCTCTTGCCAGCTCCAAAACAAGACCCTGAGGCGTGCGGGACCACCTGGATGTAATTCACGAACATTAATTCATGAATGAGACGCGGCACGTATAACGCACTTAGTCGCAACATCAGGAAGCGAGTATTTCCAGTACCCACAACAATAAAAAAATAGAAACACGCTCACAACACTCACAATTGCTTGCAGAACCTCAACTCGTCCGATCTTGGGCGGAATACGCCATAAAGGACAGTGACAACTGCATATCGACAGGCTCGCATTGGTGTCTTTACGATCAAGAAATCAACCAGACATCTCATGGCCGCTCACACCCCAATGCAAACGAGATGTTTAGGAATGCTAGAAAATGATTGAGGTCTAGCGCTGGTGAGTTAGGTAAAATATTGAATGCAACTTGCCCAGTTCACCAGTGCCAAACCGACAACCTGAGGTATACATATGAGCATATGTTTGAGAAAGGAAGCGACGAGTACTTGGCAGGCTGTGAGGAATGGATCGGAGAGGTCAAACAAAGCAAAAATACTGCTCGGGGTCACAATAGCGGCCCTTGAGCGTATCGTGTATAGACGTCAATGAACGATCACGTCTTAAGGACAGCCAAATAAGAACGTCCCCAGACACCCGCTGGCTATACTCACAAGGAGCGTAGAATGTAACCCATCCAAGCTTGGATGGTGATAATTTATGAGGGAGTAGCAGGGGCAGAGCGAAGAAACAAAATTTTGATGTGGGCGTGTTTGAGGATCCCTGCGACAGTGACGATATCTATGACACCCGTCTCAGCGATGGACCGGTTACAGCTCATCTGAGTCATGAGGGAAGAAGATGGGTCTGAAGTATTTATAGATCAGCGAAGATTTGAAACTCAGTGCAAGGTGGCTTCAAGCTGAGGAAGGAAATTATCTTACCGGCTGGACTCGTGCTTGCATCGTGTGATCCCTGCTGCGAGAGCTTCTGCAGGAAAACACGTTCCAGCATTGCGAGAGACAGCATGGAAAATCTCCGAGTCGTATTTGTGATTGTTTGGCATACAGGTGTGTGCTGCACGCGTTGACCTCGAGGGAGTAGATTATATTATTGTCTAGATATCGTTTCTACCGTCCTTCCTTTGTTTCATTATCTACCCCTTATATAAGTGTTTTAACCGAAAGACTAACAGATCAGCGTTCAATACGATGGTCTTCAGTCTCTTCACTCGCAAGCCCGATTCATCATCCAACATACAACTACATACACCCTCTCCCTCAATTTCCCACACTGACTCCCCAGTAGCCCCCTCGCCCACATCACCACCCACTACTGCGACAGAGCCTGAGCCAGAACCGGAGGTAACAGACTCGAGTGTCTTGTATGACCTCGTACGCTCCGTCCCTCCCCAGACCCTACACACATACACCCTCGCCCACCTCTGCCCGACCTCCGATCCCCCACTGATACCCCCCTCCCCACGCACACTCACCGCGCTTACCCATTTCTTCCACGAACTCTCCCCGCCACCACAACTCCATTGCGTGCGCTGCCACTCCTCCTTCTTCGAACTTTCAAATACAGACACATCTTGCCGCATTTCACATGACGATGAAAGCGCACTCGTCGATCGTTCTGCGTACGAGACCTTGTGGGGATGCTGTGGAAGGAGCGTCGAAGGGACGGGAGATATGGGTCCCCCGGATGGGTGGTGTTATGAGGGAAGACACACAGTGAGCATCATTTCGTACTTCAGAATTCAAAGACTAATTTCAAATATAGACGGACACCAAACGCGCGCGTTTTCGCGCAGATTCTACCATCCACGACGATAAACTAGTGTCGTGTTCTGCGACGGGATGTCACGGCCGTAAACGCAAGCGGAGTGTATCCGTCTCCAGCAGTGACCTAAGCGCTAGCATAAGGAAGAAGGACAAGGCCAAAGTAAACGCAAAATCAAACGTCGATGCTTCGCCCAGGTCAGCTTCTAAACCTACTTCAAAAGCTTCCACGCCTAGACCTACACCCAAACCCCTCTCCAAATCTGGTACATTCATATCATCAGTTACCCTTGTCCAAGCACGCAGCATACCCCTACCTAAATCCAACCTCCACAAATCCCATGTCGCATCACCAGTCGTAGACGCTGTTTCTGAATCTGAACCCGACCCACAACCAGACATCCCCTTGCGTCCTGCTCGAGAACGCACAAGAACACGCTCTACTGTAGACGAACAAAAGACCCGCTCTACTGCAGATGACAAAACTCGCCCGCTTGCTGACGATAACATGTGTAAACCACGTACGCGCAGCGCAGCACGGGAAGAGCGTAGTCTTTCGCGCACCAGAACGGTGGTGAGAGGCGGTTCTGTCCGTATGCTGCGTGAGCGCGAGAGGGAAAGGGAGAAAGAGAAGGGTATAGGCGAGTCAGATGGTGACGACAGGGGACGAACAAGAGGGAGGGAGGTGAAGAAGAGAAGGGTGGGTGTATGAGTCAAATTTTGAATGCCTGTGTGTGGCGTGGATGAGAATGGATGGGTGTGAATGACATACTATAGTACTATTATTTTCTTGTTTAAGTCGGTGCGACAACGCTGACGAGTACGACGCTGGCAGTCGATATAACCCTCTTTTGTATGCTACTACTACCCCACTATATCCAGAGATTCACAATCTGTATCTATCCTAGTAATCGAGACTGCTAGAAAGCGATCTACTTACCGGCATGAAATCTGATTATTGAATCGGTAAATCTTCCTTATGAAATCACAATTGAAACGTTGTCATCCTCACACACCCCGTCTCCAATCCTGTATACCACCATACATAAGATCGATTTCAGGGAAGAAGAGCTGAATGGTTCGTATCAGGCTGGGTTTGGTTTGAAACTCCGGCTAGGACATCCTGCTGCAGTGCATTTCCTTCGGCAATCTCGTGGTCGCCGATATCGATAACTATGAATAGAACTTCAAAAGAATCAAGTCAACCTGAGAGGTCTCTCAGTTAGCTATATGGGGCACAAGTCTTTGGATGTCCTCTGAAACTTACCACACATATCCACATTAAAGTGGAAGAACAGGGAGGATGGATACATCACAAAGACGCCAGCAGGCATTTCAATCACCAGGTCTGCCTCCCAGATGACAAGCCAAGACCGCTCTTTGCTATTGAACTTTCCTAGAGTTAAGTAAGGCTCAGCACCCTCCAAGCTTGGTCAGTCTGACACACCGTATACAAATATGACACAGACGCCAATAGCAATGTTTTTCCAATCTATGTGAGGGCTGCAGTGAACTCGTTTCACCCCAGGTCTGGCAGAATTCAAACAAAAGTTGAAAAAATGCCCATACAGAGGTGTAATACCTAGACCTTCAGCACAAGTCTTGTACCTTTTGGCAAGAAGGGGGAATTCTGCTTTGAATACCGCATTCATAATTGAACTGGGCAGAGCAGGTGAGTGTGGATGGCCTTTGTAAATGGGCCATGCGGGTCAAACTTGCCTGATCTCTGATGCAACACTCCCAGGGGCCCACAGTTGATCAATTGCTTGCTGATTTGAGACATGCCAAGCACTGAGGGAGGGCTTCTGGAGGGCCATGAATTTAAATGCAGGGGAGTTCAAGGGCAGGATGCTTACTTTTTTGGAATTTCGGTCATGGCCACAGATAGAAAACCAATGGCGCCCCCTGGTATTGCTTTCCATCTCACCCTCTGTGAAGCTGCCCTTGGTTTGTTCCACTGCACTCACAAAAGCTGCAGCCTCGTCTTCAAACAGTGGAAGAAGCTCCTCAATGCGAGGCCCAACAAAGGTGTGCACAAGCCATAGCTGGCCCTGGCAATCCCTCACACGGGTTTTAACACTGAGGGCAAGCTCAGCACATCTTGCAAGGAAGTACTACACCCTCACCCATGGTAAGCAACCCTTTCAAATTTGCACAAACGGAACAGGATGAAGTAGTCATACCACTCCTCTCTGAGCATCTTACCCTCCTTGGTGGCAGCAAAGTTGGTGCCTTGCCAACCACTGGTGGACACCCCAAAGCGGAGGGCGTCAACACTTCCATTTGACTTCAACTCCTCTGCCTTCCTGGAGGGATCCTGGGCATGGAGTTTGCGCTGCCTGGCATTCCTGCTTGCCTTGCCCTCAGCCTTTGGGCGCACAGAGGCTGAGACTTTGCATGGGTCTAAGGAGGAGAGTTGCGTGGGGGAGTCCACAGCTGCTGCCTGCGATGTGGTTGAAAACACAGGCTTGATAGGGATGCTGTTACAAACTGCCAACTTAAAGGGCGCAGGCTTGCAGGGAAGCGAATGGTGCAGTGGTGGCAGCTGGTGGCAGTGCTCTTTTTGCACGCTGCTCAAGTGCTGCTTCTTGCTAGAGGTGCTACCGGCAGCAAGGCGGTCAGGGAACTTGCGCTTCAGCTGGCGGTCAGGGAACTTGCGCTTCCGCAGCCTGCTGATGCGCATGGGTGAAGGGGTTGAGAAGGCATAGTGAGCAACTCACCCCATCTTGATGTAGCCATGCAAGGATGAATCACTCTCTGGCATCGCCACCTGGTTGTGTGAATGCCGAAGAAGTTCCTCTACATCCGGGTCACAGTTACATTCCTCATCCCGGTCAGAATGGTGCCGCAGGAGGATCACGTCCTCCAGGGACATGCCTTCTGTGAGGTACTCCTTGCCTGCAATCAGGGGGCGTGATGGTGGGAATCTGTGAACAGAAATGTGTGAAGGCACCCCCAAGCTGGCAATGAGGCTTACCGCTTGCTCAGCACAGCCTCAACAGCAAGCCCTGTGTGTGGTGCATGTCAGCCAGCAATGGAGACGATCCATACACTTGCACACTCACTGGTGCCATTGACTGACTGACAATCGCCTGGCATGCGCACAGACATGAATGAACTGGGGCAATCACTGCGTGGAACTCCAACAAACCCTGCAAGGCAAGGTAAGTCAACAAAGGCGCTGGTACAAAGCCTGCTTGCATGATGCAGCCTTGGATGTGGAAGGATGGAGGGGGATGCCACCTCACTCAACCTGGGGCGGACGGCCAAACCGAGCACGGTGGGTGGGGGCGGGGGTGGGGGCATGCACTAAAAAAAGACCGACGTCTCACCGTCACAAGATCCCTGCTTGAGGCTCAGTGAGAATCAACAATAAGCTGTAACTGCATGAATATGAACCCAGTGTGACACAGTGTGAACTCAAAACTGTCTTATAGCCTGCTTCATTGTCGCTTGGCACTTCTCTGTCTTCTTGACCATACAAATGCCTTCGCTCTACCTTCTCAACCATACAAACACCTCTGCTCCACTTTTCCCTGAGCTTGTTACATAATCGTTATCAGACAGTACAAAGTCTCGCTCCGTCTTGCAGTCACCTCATTATTGTTTCCATGACATACTGAGGTGAGTAGATACTCCTACGTCCATTCTTCTTGAGTACTGATGTATCACACCAGTGTGTTCTCCGCTAGGTACTTATGAATGTCAGTATTGTTTCCACGACATACTGAACGTGTTCTCTGTTAGATCTACTAGCGTCTACAGGTTATGCGAGGGACAGGTCCATGATGGTGTTAGTAATCATGCAGGTGATCTCCAATTGATTGAACTGGCATAGAATTAGCAGAAACATAAATATACAACTATTGGATACTCACTTTCTGAATCATCATGGGAGCCAATTGGCATAAACTCTTGAACCATAGCATGGAGCTCTTCATTGTTGAGTGGAGGCTTGGCTGATTGATGTTTGGGAGTAGTGATGTGCAAGGCCCGACTTCAGGCTGTGGGCCGGGCCCAGCCCAGCTGACTTAGGCCGAGCCTAGCCGGGCCTTAGGGTGCGGCTTATGTAGGCTCAAGGCTTGGCCTCAGGTTTGTTCAAGCCTGGGCCGGGCCTTTGAGCCCTGGCTTTCAGCCAACAAAATCTAGTATCTATGACCTGCGGTGATATCCGAGAAACTGCATAGTTTCTTCAGTCCGTACTACAGGATCACCCCTCCTTTTTTGCTGATCGCCCGGCTAACCTTATTTTCCAATGGTGCCAAGCATCAACTCCAACACTGAGGAAGTGCCTGCGCCACGTCCTAAACGGGTTGCTGTGCCATCAGCAAAGGTGATTAGTGTGGACAATGCAGCTGATCAAGAGCTTCTTTCCCACAGAATAGCTCATATAGCAAACCGCGCTGCTGTTATCTTGGACCCTACTGACTTAGATGGGGCCGACAACGACAAAATCCAGCTGGTGAGCCCCCATACCAACAAACGGCTCATCAAAGGTAAGTTTTTTTTTAGTTTTATGTGCTTTACTAACTGCAACCCATTGACAATTCCTACAGGACTTCGTTTGTCTATATCTCTGACTTAAGAAATGTTGTTGACTTTCTTCTTGCAGTATAAGGAACGATATAGTGAGATGTATGGTGATGATGTGGCGAAGTCCTCAGCATCTATGGAGCTTCACACCAGCACTGGCAACTACAAATTAGATGTTTTGCTTAATGAGCTTTCCGACGGTGATGAAGATGCACTCGACGCACCAAGCCAGGATCCACCGACTCTGTCTCGCACATCCTCAGCTTCACTTTTGACTTCGCGGATCCATCGAAGCCGTGGTTGCGTGACTTTCACGCATACTTGAACTCAAAGGACCATCTCGGAGGGATGTCCATTATTCAATGGTGGGGTATCAACTCCCCACACTACCCTGTGTGGGCATCACTTGCCCGTGACTTCCTTTCCATAATGGCAACCTCTGTATTGAGCGAGCGAGCTTTCTCGTCTGCAGGGATCACAATTAGTAAGCGATGTAACCGTCTGAAACCTGATATTGTTGAGGCACTTCAGTGCCTCAAATGCATGATCAGACGAGGGTTGTTGTTTCGCGAGGATCCTTCCATTGTTACTGAGGGTGATGGAGACTTGGACCAGCCTGAGCCTCAGATGGGTGACTTACTGGATGTATTGGGTGAAGAATTGGATGATGAAGAAGTGCAGCGAGATTCTGATGATGAAGATGTATTTGTTCAATCATTAGACATGTTGTAGCACTATTGTGATATGAAGCCGAGGCCTGAGCCCTAAGCCGAGCCTGACCAAGCCTGAGCCGTTGGGGAGGGCCTGGCCTGCAATCTGAAGGAGCCTGAGCCCTATCAAGCCGAGCCGTAGCCCCAGCTTTTGAGCCGAGCCGGGCCTTGCACATCACTATTTGGGAGTGGTTGAACTCGCTTGGGATAACATCAATAACAGTCATGATATGACATGAATAAACATACAACTTAATGGGGCCTCTGGAGCAGCTGGAGTGGCCGCTTGAGTGTCCGGAGTTAATTCATTCACTAACAAAATGCCATGAAACATTTACATCACACAATATGAATTGACTTACCAGTCATTGGTGAATCTGGTACAACCGGAGGATCATCAAACTCAATCAAATCATCCTTGGGCCTGAGATACAAGTCCGGATCATTGAATAGAGGGTGATCATCAGCCCCCACCGGATATGATCGAGCTGGAATTAATTCATGAGTTTTCAAGGTTAGAATACATGCATTTGCATTGAGATACATACCAGGAATGTCATCCTCAGGCTCAAGATACAAGTCCGGATCATTGAAGAGAGGGAGATCATCAGCCTGCACTGGATATGATTGAGCTGGAAGTAATTAATGAATATGAAAAGTTAGGATATGTGCATTTGAATTGAGTGACATAACGGGAATTTTATCCAAGACATCCAGACCATTCGATGACCCAGAATCAGAGTCCAAGTCCTCATCTGGCCCAAGGTAGATATCATCCAATGCATCTATGACATGTCTGGTCAATGGAAAGAAATCACACAAACACAACATACCTATGGACATCCAGGACTCAGATGATTGATCCACATCCATTGAGTTGTCCAAGCACTTGTCCGGCAGCTACAGTAAGTCTTCACTGCTTGTCCGGAACTATTGGCACGTGGCTTTTATACTTACTATGACAATAGGGAAGAGAGTCGGTAAAAACATCCTCACAGAAACAGATGATATCATCACATGGTACAACAACGCCTTGGATGGGCTCATGCAGCTATTTCGGGATCAAACTCTTCAGGATGTAGCTATCTTTGTCCAGTTTGCGGGTAAAGATTCTTACGTGCCTCTAATCTTAAATGTACTCATACTCTCAAAGGCAAAACCCTCGATCTCAGCGGCATGGCTTATGCAGGAGGTGCAGGACTAGATACTACGAAGTAATGTCTGCCAGGCACTTGCACGGACATTCTCTCCAAAATTACCAACTGGATAAACAGCGGCAGAGATTCTGTTCAGCGTGTTATGTGGCTATCCGGCCCTGCAGGCAAAGGCAAATCAGCCATCGCCCACACAATTGCCAACTGGTTCAAGGAAACAGGAGGCCTTGGTTCATGTTTTTGTTTCGACCGGCACAGAGAAGCAGATCGTCGCCATGAAAAGATTTTCTCCACCATCGCACGCGACCTTGCTGATCATGATCCAGGGATGAAATGAGCGTTAGCGGATGCAATCAAGAATGCAAACTCACTCAAGAACACAACAGACATTATCCAACAGTGGCATGAGCTTCTCATGGAACCGCTAAAGAAGTTCTCTGCGTCAAGCGTAGGGCCTGTCTTGATCGTGATCGAAGCACTGGATGAGAGTGGTATATCGGAGACGCAGCGTAACCTCCTCCGCATACTCACCGGTAAACTTAAGGACAAAGGACTTCCCCAAATCACCGAACTCCCTTCCAACTTTCGAATTCTCGTCACTTCTCGTCCGGATCACGATATAGACAAGCAATTTGAAGGTGCTTGTCATATTTTACGATTGTCCATGGACGAGATTCCAGCAGCGGTGGCAGAGCGCGATATATGCGCTTTTGTATCTGACAAGCTAGAAGGGCTGTCGCGTTTTGGGGACAAAGAGTTCGCAAACCTCGCTGCAAAAGCCGATGGACTTTTCGAGTGGGCACGTCTTGCATGCGAGTACATTAAGGAAGATCTTCCCGGTGTAAACGCAAGGTCTTGCTTTGAAACTGTTATTACCCGCGATCCTGGGAAGTGGACAGATAAGCTTTATGACATGTATCAGCTTATTTTGTCAGATATCTTGCCGCGAGATCGTTATCGTGATGACGAGTACCAGGAAGCACTAGCGGGGTTTCGTTCCGTGATGGGACAGATACTCAGCATGGCTGAACCCCTTCCTTTTGATTCCCTCACCGCTTTGCGGGACTGCTTTCCAAGCCACAACAAAGATTATAAAGTGGACATCATGCAATATATGGGAGCCCTCCTCAGTGGCACATCGGGCTCACCTATTCCTGTCCGACCCCTTCATGCATCCTTCCAAGAGTTTCTTACAGAAAAATCATCCAGCGGTGACTTTTTCGTCGAGGTCTCTAAGGCGCAACAATGCGACCTTGCATTTGCGTCACTACAAGTGATGGAAAATTGCCTTCGCTTCAATATCTGTGATTTGAAGTCATCTTACCTCCCTAATTCTGGAGATCCGGAGCTGCCTCAACGAGTCAAAACATCCATTTCACCACATCTGTCCTATTCCTGTCGATATTTGGCTGCACATGTATCAGCATCGGACTTTGACTCGGAGCTTGCCAACACAATAAAGTTATTCGACGACGACGAGCGACTGCTCTTCTGGATTGAGGCACTCGGCCTTCTTAATGCAATCAGGGGCGCAATAATTGTGCTTCCACTTATTGCTCAGTGGTTGAAAGTGAGTACATGGCTACCAGATAACGTCGGATGAAATGAACGTCTTACAACCAATCACAGGGCCATTCTGGATACTGTTACGACTTGGATGGTATCTGTTGGCGACGCTCAAACAGAGCGTGTGTCGTCAACGGTCGAGGATGTCCTTGGGCTAGCCCAAGGTTAGGGGTCTTACTTGGCGAGGCTTCGGCAAGTAAGATTTGACGCCTATGTCCAAATCGGGTAGCTTATGTCACGCGGGTGCGAGACGATAAGCTATATCGGCCAAGGCTTATGACACCCGAAGGTTAATCGTAAGATCGTCGTTAATTAGAAGGACAGAAGTCCGACTAGTTAACAGGGGCTTTGCTCGTCGACGAAGTCGATGAGTAAAGATCGAGACTATAGGCTTATCCGCGAGGAGCAGATAAGAAGATAGAATATAGACTGCTGGCGAGGCAGAAAGGATCACTCTGGTGAGAGTAGGAGGTCAAGAACCAAGTAGATTCAAGTTAAGGAATATGTTACATGGTAGCGAGTTTATATAAAGGACAGGAAGTGTATTAGTGGATGATAACTCGTACTACCAAGAGAAGCAATTGGTAAAGGGTATGACCATAAAAGGAAGGCATGTTCGAAGTGAGACACGGGCAAGCTCTGAACGTGCAGATAAGAAAGTGAGTCAAAGATCGAAATAAGAAGTGAAACGCGCAGGGGCACGATCGTGCAGCTGCGGATCTAAGTATAAGTCGCATGTGCGACTGCGCATCGAGTCAGAGATCAAGAAAGGGAAAAGGGCAAAGGGGATGCGTCATGCATCAGATCATAGGTTACCGTCCGGACGGTAAAGGCAAGGGGACTGTCCACAGGATCAGTCAGGTGGTGGAACGGAGCATGGGTATGCTTCGTCAGCGAAAGGGTCCGGCCAGATGTACTGGCTTTGCTGAAGCGACAGGTAGAGAGCGAAGGGGAATGCAAGGATGACGAGGATGACAAGGGTAAGGTCGGGGTAAGGGTATGATGCGAGGGCTGATATGAGGAGGATTAGGAGAAAAATGGTAGGGGCCCAAGCGTCTAGATGTTCTTGTAACAGATACAAAGATGTGCGGTCTACCACAACGGATGTGCAAAGATTCATTCAAGTCTTTGGGTCCATGATTTTGCACAGCACCCCACATTTGTATATATCAGTGCTGCCATTCTCACCCATCAACTCCACCATAGCTGCCAATTTTACCGCGAGGTTTCCGAACAACCTTCGCCTGACATCCGGACGTCATGTGAACTGGACGGCTGTTCAGATCGTGATCAGACTGCATGCTCTAGTCACTTCAGTCGCGTTCTCACCGGATGGTACTCACATAGCGTCTGGTTCAGGGGATCATACCGTGCGGCTGTGGGATGCATGGACGGGACAACCATTGGGCAAGCCCTTGGAGGGGCACACTGAGGTAGTTAACTCAGTCTCGTTCTCACCGGATGGTACTCGCATCGCGTCTTGTTCTTTGGATAACACTGTGCGATTGTGGGATGCATGGACAGGACAGCCATTGGGTGAGCCCTTGGAGGGGCACACTGAACCAGTTTACTCAGTCTCGTTCTCACCGGATGGTACTCGCATCGCGTCTGGTTCTTGGGATAATACCGTGCGGCTTTGGAATACAGTGACGGGACAGCCATTGGGTGAGCCCTTGGAGGGGCACACTGGACCAGTTTACTCAGTTTCGTTCTCACCAGATGGTACTCGCATTGCGTCTAGTTCGGAGGATAATACTGTGCGGCTGTGGGATGCATGGACAAGACAGCCATTGGGTGAGCCCTTGGAGGGGCACACTGGACCAGTTTACTCAGTCTCATTCTCACCGGATGGTACTCGCATCGCATCTGGTTCTATTGATAATACTGTGCGACTGTGGGATGCAGCGATGGGACAAACATGTCAGGAGAACACCAATTCCCATTCATTAGATAGAAGTTGCACAAACCCTCACACACAGGATCGTCCCGCCATGTCACCCATTACTTGGAACCATCACTCCATTTCCTTCTCATCTAATTTCAAGTTGGAACACGCGCTGTGTAACCCTGCTGACCTCCTTGAGGATACCTCGCATCATGATTCCGATTGGACCCCTTTCTTACTGCAGCCTAATGGATGGATGATGGGACCGGATCGTCGTCTCCTTTTCTGGGTACCTCCCGCTTCCCAACATGCATGTTATACTCCTTGGACTTTATTGGTCATCCCAAGAGGAGGTGCCGAGCTTGACTTGAGTCGCATGGCACATGGGACACGCTGGTCAAGTTGCCGAGACGCGTGAGTCCTTAGTCCTTACCATCTGTCCTCGCATTTGTTAAATTGAATATATCTAGCCCTACCCCACGATGATGTTTTTGTGGCAGTTGATTCACGGAGATGTTAGATAGAATGTACACACTTGACTTCAAGTCGCTGTCTTGCCTGCATATTCACTATACCGAAGTTTCGATTCGATTGATTCGTGCTGCACGTCGCTAATACCTGTGTCAGCGAATTGAACGATGTTAGTTGGACAGGTTTGAGGTACTGCAACTACATATCCCTCTAGAGATTAGAGGTAGAGCGGGATAGAAGGATCTAACAGGTAAGAGCAAGTCTCAGTCTCTAGAAAGAACTCATATTGACGAAGCGTGTACCTAACAGGTAAGAGCAACTACGCTAAGTCAGTTAAGTGTAACAATAACGGTAAGGCGTAGACTCACGTCTCAGTCTCTAGAAAGAACTGAGACGCTCGCAATGATTGGGCGCTAGTATTTATACGGTAAGCGCTCTCGATTATTATGAAGGTAAAAATTTACTCCTCCTGCTCCCCTAGTTCGACAGCAAGGACGGGTCGTGGATCTCAGTACTACTCGCTTCTCCGTTCTCTGGAATAGCTGGGCAAAGGATATGGCATTACATGCAGGACGAAACCTCGATTAATGATATTATGACTGAAACGTCGAACATTTTCGCTCACAGCGCAGCCAAATCACAAGTCCAGAACATAAAGGCTACATAGCAAAGTATACGGCGAACATCCTGCAATTCTCACCGCAAGTCGATTTCCACCGTCTCGCCAACTTCCTCATAGCCATCCTCAGATTCTACAAAACTCTTCCGGATCTCTTTTTCCACCGGAGGAGGGGGAGGAACTTCTACACTGGATGGTACGACCACCGCTACGGGGCGTCATGTCATCTTCATTTGAACGGTTTGAACCTGCATTATGCACAGGCTTGGGAGCGGGTGCTTGTGCAGGAAGAGAGGGGACGGGCGGAACTGCTTGAGTATTGGTTGGTGATGTTGGGAACCTGAAATTTCTATCCATCGTACCATTGCTCTTGTGCTTCATTTCAGAGGGCGACGGTTTAGGCGGAGGCGGTTGTTCATCTTCGTCCTCTTCTTCGTCGATTGGTCGTTGCGGGGTTGCGGATGGTGGTGTAGGACGGCGCATTGACGGGAGACTTTGACGCGATGCCGAGTTCTTGTGAGTTGTGCTGGAACTGGGAAGAGAAGCCTGTGACATCGATTGAGGACGCTGGGAGTATGCAGAATTGGGCGGAGTGACGCCGAGATAGTAACCCGAGATCGGCACCATTCTGAACAAAAATAATTGTCAACTAGAAACGTCATGGATAGATAAACGTGTATATGCGTACTTCTTTTCGCTATGGCACGCTAAAATCCACTGCGGTTGAACCACAGGGATGCTTAGCTGCAAGGCACGTTGATATTCTGCACCTGGGGCTGCTGCAACACCACCGGCTGCTTGCGCACCTGCGGGCGTGACCGCAGGAGTAGTGCACACGAAATGCGTCGTGTCGATTTGAATTTTGTCGCTCCACTTTGCGCGCATCTCTTTCAAAGCAAGCTTTGCATTTTCCAGCAATACGCTGTCTGTAACATTTGCGAAACAAACTGAAATTCCGCTTGTATCTGCGATCGTGTGCGTGCGCACTTGGATGAGGTTCGAGGGGTAGGTTCCTGCGGAAGTACGGAGGAGGAGCTGGAAAGTGTATTGGGTATCTACTGAGAGTCCAGAAAGCTTTGTGGAGTAGTTGGTGAGTGCATTAGGAATAGAAGCAAGGCGTTGGCCGTTCTTGTATATGTCGAGCGAGCGTAACTTCGCAGTGGCGAGCTTGATGGGCGGCCATTCGAGAGTGACAGAGGTTTGGGTGACATTGCGGACCTAAAAACGGTGGTATGAGCGAGGCGGACTAAAATGAAGTAGGTACTGCTCACCTCGAGCTTCGGATTCTCAGGCGAGTGACTTCCAAATGTCTCTAAGATATCTTCTTGAAGCGACCAGAACTCATGATCTCGCTTTCGCTCCTGAACCACGTTCCGGTGAACCGCGATGTTGACTATCGAACCAGTTGTTGCTCCAGGAGGAAGTAGTATTGATGGAAACTCTATGAGATGAGCTCGGTCGCCCAGGAGGATCTGCACCGCGTCACTTCACGTTTGGGTGACACACTGAACTTCAAATTGGACTTACAGCCATGCCCGCATCTGGAGTCAACATTGTGAGTCTTATGAACGCGTCGAGTGCTAGTCACTTACCGAGCTTTCCGACCGTAAAAGTAAAACTATCCTGTGCTCTCGTCATTGTTGCTCGTCACAGTGAAGCAATTGAAGCTGAAGGTATTGGGTTAACGTGGGCTGTCGCGTGGCTATGTTCGATTCCCATATTGGGTGTGATTTGGTGACGGCAGCCAACGGCATTCCCGCCACATATTTTCTTTCCTGCTCGCCAGCTTTCTGTCCTTTTTCCACTGACTGCCCGGTAATAACCACCGTTATGTCTTTGACGCACCAAGATGATACCTTTCTTACCGGATTCTCACTGCGTTCATCAGCAACGGTATGTCCTTACTGTGTGTCGATTGATGTTGGAACAACACAGTCTATAATGTCACAACTACTGTACATCCACATTTTGAGGCTTTGTGTGCTTTTCAAAGGCTCCCAAGGTGCATGGAATTAGGTCCGTGGCACTGCAGACAGTTTTGAGCGGGCCTGTTATTCAATCCTCTGCGTTACCCTCATGCCCTGAGTGCGTGGGACGAAGTCTAGGCCGTTTCAATTATCGCCCCGATAACGTAGCCCTTATCTTCGGAAATCGACTCTCTAACTAAGCGCCCGTGCCTGTCACACGTGCTTGCGTCAAGAATCAGATGATAAAAGCTAGGTCAACTGGAGGCCGGGATCCTTCCCTGAATCATCCTGCACGCCCACCAGCACTCGGAAATCTCTGCCTTCACTTCTCCAGGCACAACGCTACTATGTCGCATGCTTCTGTGTCTTCAGTGACCAAAGAGCAGCCGTCGCCTGTTGCCAATCCCAACCCACGCTCTGTATTCAGTGTCGTACGACAAAAAGTGACTACGAAGCATGGCTGGTTTGGTGACTATGATTATCGATGGCTCTGTCTGCCATCTCTTCCTACAGCTAGAAACAAAGAACCGCCATTTTATGGTATCGACGACGAGCTCCCGCTCGTGCTGGCTATAACAAGCGGGTTGCAGCATGCACTTGCGATGCTTGCAGGTCTCATTGCACCGCCTATCATTTTTGCTAGTACCTTGATGCTAGACTCTGACACATCATCCTACATGATATCAGCTTCACTCATCGGATCCGGTGTGTCTGATCACAACGAACTTACACTCACGCGAGCTGATTTAGGAATCAGGCATTCTAAGTTTAGTCCAAATGTCACGCTTTAAGTTATGGGGGGGCTATTATCTTGGTACTGGACTTTTGTCCGTGGTCGGGACGAGTTTTGCTACGCTCAGTACAGCAAGTGCCGTATGCGCGCCTCGGTTCTACGCGTGCGACATTATTTGATGAGCTGGATGAACGCAGATTTTCAACATGATGTACGCCAACGGCACATGTCCTTCGACAACTGCTGCGGATGGCACTATCACGCGAGGTCCATGCCCAGATGCTTATGGGATGCTACTTGGTGAGTCGATCACGAGTCCTAGCAACAGCTAATTTACTGACGTCATGAAGGCACTTCCCTTATCTGCGCATCTTTAGAGATAGGATTGTCATTTCTTCCTCCGCGGATTTTGCAACGAATTTTTCCTCCTATAGTCACTGGTATGATCGCGGCTTGGTTTCGTGCCTCAAAGCTCACTTATCTCAGGCACCTGTATCCTCATGATCGGGTCATCTCTCGTCGGGTCCTCTGGAATCCTTGACTGGGGTGGTGGTTCGAATGGGTGTCAAGCGCGCCCGACTAGTGGGATCTATCAGCTATGCCCGACAGTTGGGTCTCCTCGTGCATTACCGTGAGCCTGACAAATTTGAATATAGTACATTAATTACGTTCTATGATAGATGGGGCTCTCCTCAGTTCATAGGTCTCGGATTCCTCTCTTTCGTGAGCATAATTCTCACAGAACTTTTCGGCTCTCCATTCCTCAAGAATGCGAGTATCATCGTCGGGCTTGCGGTAGGATGCATCGTCGCTGGCGCAGCCGGATATATTGACGGAAGCACCATCACGAGCGCACCTGCAATCACATTCTTATGGTAATTCAAGTATTCTTTCATGTTGATACGAAGTTTCAATATAAGACAGGGTCCACCGATTTAAGATTAACGTGTACGCACCAGCTATTTTGCCTATGCTGGCAGTTTACGGTAGGTATGTCTCTTACTTGGGACAGGCTGGCTAAACGAAATTCCGATGTCAGTGTCAGTGGCAATGGAAGCAATTGGCGACGTCACCGCATCTGCGGAAGTGTCCCGTATCCCTGTTGAGGGAAAAGATTTCGATTCAAGAATACAAGGCGGTGTTCTGGTTTGTCTTTTCATGGACATACTTACCATTCATGATCTGATCTGTGTTACAGAGCGATGGGATAGGTGGATTGATTTCTGCGCTATTTACTGTCACTCCTCTATCGGTATTTGCTCAGGTTTGACAACATCTTCTATCATTGCGGTGCTTGGTCTTATATTGTGGTTGACGTAGAATAACGGTGTCATTTCTGTCACTCGCTGTGCAAACCGCACAGCAGGAAGATGGTGTTGTGTCTTCCTTATCATCTTCGGTTGCCTCGGAAAGATCTCTGGGTTCTTTCTCGCAAGTACGCCTTATATCCCCTTGGTCCTCTTTCAGGCACTTACCATTTACAGTACCCAACCCCGTCTTGGGCGGTGTGACAACGTTCCTCTTTGCGAGTGTTGCTGTCTCAGGCCTACGCGTCCTTTCCTATATCAAGTATACGCGACGCGACAGATTCATTCTCGCTGCAGCATTATCGTTCGGCTTTGGGGACCTTCTTGTGCCCGACATCTTTACTTATCTATTTGATGGTGTGAATAACCCTAATAAAGGCCTCCAAGGATTGTTTGAGAGCATCACAATTCTACTAAGCACGCCCTGTCAGTCGATGAGTTCGTATATTGTTATTGTCGCACGATACTAATACCATTGACGATAGTTTTGATATCTGGCATTGTTGCCTTGGTGCTGAACTTGATACTCCCGCACGATATGTCACAACAGGACGTACACGAGGAGGATGTGGAAGTTATGCAGGATCTGGAGATTCAGGTATTAGAACAGGAGCGATGATGTGATTTGTACAGCGCATGCCAGTTTCAATGTGGATACACTTGCAATGGGCCTCCTGCAAACCAAGCTGGCGGTTGAACATTCAATCTCATGTGTGCCTTGTGAGTGAGTGAGACGGTCCATATGTAGTTGTGTGTGGTTGGAAGTTGGTAACTAAAGCCCCCAGTCGAAATGTTATGAAGTTGGACACTCCGTACTTTCCGCCATCACTGATCTGCCGAAGACGTATTTGATATGTGTTCCCTCCACCATCGAGCCAACAACCAACGGTGAGCACAACTATCCTGGCTTCGTGATCTCGCCATACACCCCCTATTCCCAGCAACGAGTGGTGCCACTAGATCATCAGCATGGGTTCTTCGTCGAAATCGATATCCCTTGGTCTTCTACTAGATCTAAATTAGCACTGCATTCCAGGTCACTCATAGTGGCCATCTTGGACTATCCAAGGACTACTTTCCTGTTTATGTCCTGACAAGTACGTAGTTGATCCTTTGTTGCTTTCAAGGAAGTCAGTGCTGATCAGAAAAACCGGTGTTTGTATGTTGTTCGTCCCTTCTTTAGACGTGCCCACTTCAGTGCTGCCCCGGGCCATGGATACAATTGACGTCGAGCCGGCGGCTATTCGATATATATAGATTAGGATTTCACCGATTTCAAATTGTTTTTCAGTCGCCTAGACATCGCTTATTTTAGAGATGCCAACATCGCGAAGGCCTAACTCTGATTCGGACGTGGAGAACAGCAAGTTGCCATCAACTACTACATTTCTGAGACAGTGGGTAAATATTCCGTATGCCCGACTGATCATCTTCAATGCTGATGGCATACATACCCATGATACTAATAGCAACCAGAAGAGATCAAAGCCTCCCAATTGTCGGATCTCCGTTACGAACGTTCCAGGGAACAGAAGCTCAACATGTCACCGGGTGGAGTTCTACGTCTTTGGGCGACGGCTTATTGAAATTTTGAGGGCATGGCTAATCAGGTGAATCGGATGAACCGTGTATGTCGTCTTCCCATCTGCCACATGAATGCCTGAAACAATTACGATCAGGTTCTTTTACCGATGCGGAGAATTACAGCCATACGGTTTGGACGCATGAACCTATTCGTTTAGATTGTCAAGCAAGGTACTTATAAGGACAAAACCCTCGTTTTGTGAGTGTCTAGTGAGAATAATGCTTTAAAGCAGGTTCAAAACACCCCACTTTTACATGCACCTCCGTAACTTTGAGCAAGACGCCATTCCTGCACACACCAAGTTCACCTCAATTGTAAGTGCACCTCCAATAACATGACACTCATTCCAAACACCACACCCATTCGAACATTCGAAGATCATGGGGATCGCGTGATCGCAGTTGCAGTTTTCCGCGAACATGACGAACGCATGGTCACGGGCTCGTATGATGGGCTCCTTCGTCTGTGGGACTTGAAAACAGGTGTAGTGTTGAAGAAGATGGAGGGGCATCGCAGTCGGGTGCGAGCATTGGCTGTCTTGCCAGATAGGGGATGGATAGCAAGTGGCGATGAAAGCGGAGAGCTCATCATCTGGGATGGATACACTGGGAAACTCAACCAAACAATGAATCAAGCCCACGGCGGCTGGATATCTTCACTTGATTTTTCTTCGGATCACAGGATGCTGGCCAGTGGATCATCTGACGCTACCACGAGGCTATGGGATACATCAACGTGGCAGGTGAAATGTACACACAATTGCGGTGGAACTGTCCGCTGCGTTCGGTATTTGTCCTATAATGGGGATGCACTTGCGATTGCAACAGACCACGGTATCCAGATTTACCTGGGTCACACCTCAGACAGTTACTACGATTACCATTACAAACAACCACCACTCCCCACTAAGTTGATGAAAACGATTGGTGGAGGATTCGATTACTCACTCGCTTCAAGTCCTACACCCCGTTGTCAACGGCTTTTCTCGGGGGGAAACGAGGCTGATCCCACCATACGAGAGTGGACTGCATCGGCCCCATACTTCCACTTTCACGAGGTTGGTGATCCCTGGAAGGGCCACTTCAAGAATATCCATGCCATTTCTCTGAACTCTAGTGGCACTCTCCTTGCCTCCGCATCTGATGACAATTGTGTCCGCCTCTGGAGACTCTCGGATCGACGAAACATTGCCATATTCAAGCACTCTGGGGAGGTGAATTGCGTCACGTTCTCTGCAGATGGCAAGCACGTCCTCAGTGGAGGTGTGGATAAAAAGGTCTCAGAGTGGCCAGCATCTGAGGATGCTTTGCCAGAGGATAGTTCGAAGGATGGCCTCATGAAGGATCAGGCGACGCAAGTACGTTTGTACTCATATTCCCGCCCAGTCGTCATCTAAGCGTGTTTTTTATGCAAGGCTCAAGCCTACTCTGATCTCAAGGCATGTGCCCATCCCTGACTCTTATAACGCAACGTGAACATGACTCACGCAGGTCCTCATTATGAACTCGACGGTCCGGAATGCATGCATAGCTAGGGACTGGCCTACCGCCGAAAGGGCACTACATCTGGATATTTACACTGACGTCAACGATCACAACGCCTATGCAAATCGCGCATTTGTTATGGCGCGAAAATGCAAGTGGAACAAAGCGCTTCAAGATGCAATCAAGGTGAGATCGACTGACCCACCATGACCTCCGTACAAAAGTTAATGTAATTGATGGTATAGTCAGTCAGCATTCAACCATCGTTAGCAGGCCATATCTCCAAGGGCATCGCCCTTTGCGGGAAAAAGCAGGTTCTGGCCGCGAGAATATCATTTGATCTCGCATCTATGTTCACAAACCGAGATTTAAGGACTGATCACCTGCTGTTCTTGATCAAGGCAGGCAATATTTTTCTTCAATACTCCGTGCTTCATTGTGGTTTTCAGGCCATCGCGTTATTCAATGCAAATGAACATCAAGAGGCCATGCTTCGCATCCGAGAGCTAGCTGCGTGTCCCAATGTCGATCATATTGTTTGTCATATCGTGGAAGTGAGTACCATGCATTCCATCACACCAGTTTCATATATTGTCATTAATTCTTGCTCTTCCTACACCAGGCCCACCTACGCGTCCAATTGGGAAACATTGCCTTGGAGGGCGCACGGCACAGCGAAGCTGTCGAACACTTCACTGCCGCTGTCAATGCTAGTACTTCCTTCTACAAATCGCCAATTCATTTGTTGTACGATGAATTTATCGTGGTACGCCTGTATGATGCAACGGAAAATTATTTCGTGCTCAACTGCAACTTTCCAACAGCTCTTTGGCTGGGACCTCAAGTCGTTGTGGCAAACTGCGCACCAGCAACAGTGTTGTGCATTCTTTCGAGCAGGTAGTTTCGGAACAGCCATCGAATCGTATCAGTCCATCATGGATAAGATTGATGAGGATATGAAGGCCGATTTGCGTGCTTGGTTCGCTGGTAAGTATTCGGTAGTGTCTCCAACCTCTCCGTCTATAGTCAACTATACTTCATTCAGCTCTCGAGTAAGATCGAAACATGCTCTATGCTTCCCATGGAGATAGTGCTGCTATCGAACTGAACTGACCTCGAGGTAATTCGGGTTCGGTTCGAAACTGAGGTAGTTCGATACAACTCGATTCGTTTACGCCTCGTTGTAGATAAGCATCGAATTGGGAACGAACTGCCAAATGAAATGCGAAATCTGGCCTGTGACTTGGTGATTTTCTTTGGATTTCCGACTCTTGATAACAGTTCACTCAGATGACAGCATTTCAAAACGCGAGTTCGGCAGGATGCAACATGCGCCAGCCTCAGGCTCAAGCTCATGCAGTTTCTCGTCTGTCGAGCATCATGCATCAACCGTTGTCACAATTCGACGCTCAGCATCAACATCATCACTGATCAGTCACACGCACGCATGATTTCGAGGACACCCACCCCCACAATACAAAATCAGCCTTCGATCGAAGAACTCACTGCACAGCGGGGTGCTAAGGCACTTGAAGAGGACCGAAAAGATGCTCTGCGTGAGCTTGAGCGCTATGAGCGTGAACCAATCACATTCAATGCGGGTGAGCATGTGACTGATCTCATTCGATTCTGGGAGATGAGCTCGACTTTTCGTTCACATAAGGAAGGCGCTAAAGTCAATTTTGACGGATGGAAAAAGTCTATTCACTACTTTTCTGTGTTGCTATGGATGTCCTGCCAGCTCAGGCATCCTCTGTGCCATGCGAACGAGTATTTTCATCCAGCAAAGAAACATGCACACTCCGTCGAAGCAGACTCAGTAATGGAAGCACTCCAGATTCTCAAGTTCTCCTACAGACAGGGGAGACTATTTCACGAGGGATTTGATTGCAAAAGAGGATGACTATCGAATTTCGGGGCCTGTGACATGAGGGGCTGCAGAGGAACTGATAGTTACGGGGAAGTTCGACGAGCTTGGTGATCTACTATTACAAAATGTTAACGATGATAACGTAGAATAAAACATAGCCACTTCATATCTAATTCACCTTTAAAGACACTTCTCATTGAACTGGAGCTTCGAGCCGTATCCGTTACACTTCAGTTCGTTTCACCTCGACCCATCGAACCTAGAACGAACTCCCACCTCGTAGGCTTTCGATTGGGTTCAGTTCGCGGCAACACTAATGGCAATTGACGTCAAGCCGGCGGCTATTCCTGCTTATATATAGATCACAATTTTCAGTTCGGCTCAGCCTAGACATCTTATTTTTATTTTAGAGATACAACATCATCGCCAATAACTGACTCGGACGTAGAACAGAGCAGCAAGTTTCCTAACTCGTTTGGTCTACTTCATTTCTGATCACTGAGATAGTGGGGTGACTCGGGAAGTCAGATAAATAATACACATCCGTCATAAACATCCGACTCTCTCTACACTCGTCTACTGTCTCCACGTTCTCTCGCACCAAGCTCCCCGTTACATCGTGCCTCGATCGGAGTATCTATTAGAGACATCGTTAACGCAAATCGCAGTTCTGTGCATGTGTCAGAGACGCCGTTATCAATTCCTCATCGGAGAGATGGGTTCATTTTCTGTCGTCTGCAGGCGATCTCATTCCACGCTCTGTATTCAGCGTCGCATGACGCAAAGTGACTACGAAGCACGATTGGCTTGGTGACCAATTGTAGATGTGGCTCTGTCTACCGTCCTTGCCATTTACACTGCTCAATGTCCTCACGGTGTAGAATTGTGTGTACTATTAGATGCAGCTAGAGTGGAAACACGAACTGGCGGGCCCATCTAGAGCTTCAGGGTCATCACCATACCGATTGCCATCCTCAACCACCGGAAATTCGAGAAACAACGTGCCCTCCAGTCGCCAATTCAAAACCCCGAATCCAAAATAATCCGACGTTCAATCAGAGCTGACTCTAATCAGAGTTTGAAATGATTGATTATCTTCAATCTAATGGAAAATCGCACGTACCCATGATACTACTACTAATAAGCAGATGTAATCAAAGCCTCGCAATCGCCGGATCTCCGTTACGAACATTTCAGGGAACAGAAGCTCAACATGTCACCGGGTGGGTTTCTACATCTTTGGGTGAAGGCTCAATGGAAATTCGAGGGCATGGCTAATCAGGTGAATCAGGTGAACCATGTATGTCGTCTTCCTATCTGCCGCATGGATCCCTGAAACAATTACGATCAGGTTCGTTGACTGATGCGGAAATTGCGGTCACTCCACAGTTTGGACACATGAACCTATTCGTTTATATTGTCAAGCAAGGTACTTATAAGGACAATGCTATAAAGGAGGTTTCAAACACGCACCTTTGTAGCTTGGAGCAAGACGACACCCACACACACACCAAGTTCACCTCAATTGTATTGCATCTCCAATAACATGGCGGCGCTCATTCCAAACATCACACCCATTCGAACATTTGAAGATCACAAGGATCGCGTGATAGCACTCGCAGTTTTCCACAAGCGTGACGAACGCATGGTCACTGGCTCGTATGACGGGATACTTCGTCTGTGGGACTTGAAAACAGGCGTAGTGATGAAGAAGATGGAGGGGCATCGCAGTCGAGTGCGGGCATTGGCTGTATCACGAGATGGGAGATGGATAGCAAGTGGCGACGAGAGTGGAGAGCTCATCGCCTGGCATGCAACCACAGGGGAACCACTCAACCAAGAAACTAAAAAAGCACATGGCGGCTGGATATTTTCACTTGACTTTTCTTTGGATTCCAAGACGCTAGCTAGTGGATCATCTGACACTACTACGAAGCTATGGGATACATCAACCTGGGAGGTGAATCATACATTCAGTTGCGGTGGAACTGTCCGCTGCGTTCGGTACTCGCCACAGCGGCGGTCCAAATGGCAAGCACTTGCGATTGCAACGGATCACGGTATCCAGATTTACCAGAATTTTTCCTACCACAATCACTATCATAGTGATTACATACCACCATTTCCTACTCAGTTGGTGGGAACGATTGGTGGAGGATTCAACTACTCGATCGCTTGGGCACCCGATGGCGTACGGCTTTTCTCGGGGGGTAACGAGGCTAATCCCACCATACGAGAATGGGATACATCGACCTGTGGGAAGGTCGGTGATCCCTGGAAGAGCCATTATAAGAATATCTACGCCATTGCCCTGAACTCTAGCGGCACTCTCCTTGCCTCCGCATCTCATGACAACCGTGTCTGCCTCTGGCGAGTCTCAGATCGACGAAACATTGCCATATTCCAGCACTCTGGGGAGGTGAACTGCGTCACATTCTCTGCGGATGACAAGCGCATCCTCAGTGGAGGTGTTGATAAAAAGATCTCAGTGGCCAGTATCCGAGGATGCTTTGCCAGAGGATGGTTCAAAGGATGGCCTCATGAAGGAGCAGGCGACGCACCAGGTACGTTTGTTTTCTTTTTTCGCTCATTCATCATCTAAGCGTCTTTTTTTATGTCAAGGCTCAAGCCTACTCTGATTTCAGGGCATGTTCCCATCATTAACTCTTATAACGCAATGTTCACACGATTTACACAGGTCCTCGCCATGAATTCGACAGTCCGCAAGGCGTGCATAGCTGGGAACCGGCCTACCGCTGAAAAGGCGCTAAATATAGATATCGAGTCTGATTCCAATGATCATACTGCCTATGCCAATCGCGCATTTGTTATGGCGCGAAAATGCAACTGGAACAAAGCGCTTCAAGAGGCAATTAAGGTAAGATTAACTGACCCATCACGACATCCTCACAAAAGTTAACTTTGACGATGGTATAGTCTGTCACTATTCAGCCATCGTTGGCAGGCCACATCTCCAAGGGCATTGCCCTCTGCGGAAAAAAGCAGGTTCTGGCCGCAAGGATCTCATTTGACCTCGCATCCATGTTTACGGGCCGAGATCTAAAGACTGATCACATGCTTTTCTTGATCAAGGCAAGTAATATTTTCCCCTTATCATTTGTGCTTCATTGTGCTTTCTAGGCTATTGCGTTATTCAATGCAAATGAACATCAAGAGGCAATGCTGCGCATTGGAGAGCTGACCGCAAGTCCCGATATCGATCCTATTGCTTGTCGTATTGTGGAAGTAAGCTCGATCACACCAGGTCCATACGTTGCTGTTGATTTTTGCCATTCGTGCACCAGGCCTACCTACGCGTCCAACTGGGAAACATTGCCTTGGATGGCGCGCGCTACAATGAAGCTGTTGAACACTTCACTGCGGCCGTCAATGCTAGCGCTTTCTTTTACAAATCGCCAATCCATTTGACATACGACGAATTTGTCGCAGTACGTTGCCATGATACGATCAAAAATTCATTCATGCTCAACTACGTGTTTTCTGCAGCTCTTTGGCTGGAACCTCAAGTCCTTATGGCAAACCGCAAACCAGCAACAGTGTTATGCACTCTTTCGAGCAGGTAGTTTTGGAGCAGCTATCGAATCGTATCAGTCTATCATGGATAAGATTGATGACGATATGAAGGGCAACTTTCGTGTTTGGTTCACCGGTAAGCATTCGGTAATATCTCCCTATCTCTCCGTCCATAATCATCAATTGCACTTTACTCAGGTCTTGAGTAAGATCAAAACGCGCTCCATCCTTCCCATGGAGATGGTGCACTCACAGCGGACGGTTGTCCGTATGATTTGAAAAACAGAGATCCTCGAGTAGTCTTCATTTGTGCCGGTAGCTGTATTGGTCAAATAGTCCTTGGTGCTCGTATCATGATATACAGGCCCAATTGAATATGTTTACTAGGGATTCACGTTCTGTAATTTACCAACGTGTACTGAGTACACATTGTGAGCGGACAAGTCCTAAATGCATCCCTGTCCTGGACGGCAGTTTGATATCTGGGTTTCTTCATTAGTGTTGAACTTGCTCCACGAGGATGGGTTACAACAAAATGAAGGTGAGGAGTGCGTCATGCAGGATTTGGAAATTCAGACACCAGTGTTTGTTCAGAGATTAAGCGGGTAGAAATCGATCCGATATTCCTAACCCGTTGAACTAGGCGAGAGGCTCGCAGCCCAGAGACAGAGCAAGCAAGCCGAGATGAGATGAGATGAGATGAGATGAGATGAAGCTAGTCTAACAAAGTTATGAAAAGGGTCGACAGAGCCCTTGGTGCGTAGCTCTGGCCCTTGGGGCCCCTAGTCCACCGTTGCAAAACCATCGTAAGGGTTTGAATTTAAACACAAACTTGGTCTGGACGAAGTAGCTAACTGCAATTGCTAAGCCTTGCTTTGCTCTTGATCGAAGGTACTGACCAAGTGCCTGCATGTTGAAGAAGAGATTTGGCACTTCTACAAGCAGTTGAACACGCCCGATGTGAATCCGTAAGTGAAATGATATCCAGAAGATATGATTGTGTGAATGCAAGGTATACAGTAAATCATGCAAAGGAGGGACGAAACCTGTAATTATAATAGATTTCCTTCGCTCTTTCGGTGACAAACAGGACAACCCTGATGTATTCTAGCCCGTATTACAGAAGCACTGCCAAACAAAATGAGAAATGAGAAGAATGTAGATATGTGAACTCACAAAGCAATCTTTGCGCTTACTCCACTGGCGAGCACAGTTATGCCTTCACTGGGCTCCTCGTGGTTGTAGATGTCTGTCATGCCATCTACGCAGCTGGCATGAACTACGTGATGACATAAGAATAGCAAAAGAAGGTCTTGCGGTGATCGTTGTAGGGGTTGCGTACATAGCACACAGATCGTTCTTGCTAGAATAGGTATCGAGTTTATGAATGCGGCAAGAGTACAGTAACAATTTTTCGTACCTTTCATGAAGAATCCACTGTTCTGGCCCTTTGAGCGCGTCTTCGCAAGGTCGGAGCTGTCACCATTGAGAATCGTTTGACATCCCTCCATAAGGGAGATTTGAAGATGGAAGTCATGAAGAATCTTGATCAAGGCTTCTTTAAGGCCAGGAATTTCCAACCCGTTCTTGATCCGACGAATCAGACGGATGGGGTCAATCTCAGCCCCGACATTCTCCAGGAGACCGCGGATGAAAGCTACAGGGAGTGAGAGCCATACAAAAATTAGTCTTTATCAGTCGCTTACTCGGACGTGTTTCAGAATATTTGAGAAGATCTTCCCAAAGGTCGTCATCACTTTGTTCTTTAGCGAATTCAATGGCCTATATTTGCTGAATGTCACTTTTTGTTGGCCTCCATCCGCCTAGTCACGTACCATATGCACATCGCCTAGGCGCTCGATAATGAGCGTTAACGCCTTCTTGTTGTTGCCCATGCGACCAAGTAAGAACACCATCTCATTTACAAGATCCCTGTTCTTGCACTCGTTGTACGCCTGAAGGATGTCAGATAACAATGCGACTAGTTTCAATAAATGACGGACCGCCTCAAGATTATACGAAGTGCTTGCCCGAAGATATTCAATCAGGCGATGTGTGGCAAATTCCGCGAACAGCGTAACCTGTAAATGTATATCAATACAACAGACATTTACACCCTTATCTACTGGTGAGCTTACCTGAAGATCAGCGAACTCAGACCCAAGCTGGGAGTCCTTTTTAAACAAAGCATCTAGGTAAAGGAATAGATAGAAGGGGCGATCACGGAGCTGCTGAACCACGCGAACAATCTGTTCGACCGTTCAGACAAGTTAGAAGACAGGAGAACATGAGCGCACAGGTATAGAATGGATATGATCCACCAGTAGAGCGATTGCTTCGCTGGAGGTTGCTTCACCTTCTATGCCTTCCTGTTTCCGTCTTTCGAGGAGCTCCTGATCAAACTCGATCAACAAGAGCACTTGATCCTTCACATCGGTGAATAGATTATGCTCCCGGATGAGTTCGAATACATTCTGTCGTCTGAGGCGGAGGAAAAACGGGAGGGCTTTTCCGAATTGTCGATTAGCAGTATACCTGGAGTCGAGATCAGCGAGAACCAAACAACTCCATAAATTACACAAACAGCTCAGCTAAGCATTCCATAAGAATGACAGCGTCTGGTGCAGGTAAGCTGCCCGAGGTGGTTGATGATGACGGCGATCGGTCGAGTTCCCCTTGCACCGCAACAATGACCGTAGATACATCATAAATCGACTTCGGCCACTCCATGATAGTGCGCATTAGAGACTATGCAACAAATCAGTCCTAATTACGTCCAGGATATTCACATGATATACCTGCCTATCATGCACAAGGAAGTGTGCAAGAATCATCTCGTAGACTAGGTGGTCAAGTTGAGGTGCCTCTGTTGGGACATGAGGAATAATTGTCTACAAAAAGAAAAAGCTCAACGGCGTGTATGTAGCATCGCAGAGTCAACATACCTGTAGTTGCTGACTTTGTGCGAAAACAAATATCCAACTTTCCCAGCGTTCGACGTCTGTGCTACAGACCGTTGGACAAAGGCTTGCAGCCTTACCAAAGTTACCTGACAACATTTTAAGCTGATATCTGCAGAAACGATATCAAACGTGGTTCTACCTTCAGCCACCAAATGCCTGATATATCGCTCTCCTATAGCAATAGGACTGATCTCAGAATGCTCGCCATCCGCAGAGCATTCGCCCTCGTCAAGTTTCTCTGCTTCTTCAAGAGCTTCGTCATATCGCTGATGATCTACGAGCCACAAGATGTGGTCCTTCCTGTCCCTGGGCCGCACGATGACAATATCTTTGGGGCTAATTACGATATGGCATCTTCCTGATGTCCCTGGCAAATTCGACCCGTCGACCTCCGCCAATACATAGTCGTTGCAACTCCATGCTTGATAATTCGTGACACCAAGCGCATCGGCAGATAGCTCTTCACCTGTGTGAGAGATTATCCGTAGTTCAGGGCGCTCAGCTGTTTTACGAGCTTGTCTGGAACGATCTTCAGTCATTTCGTCGCCATATGTATCTGGTGCTTGATAGGCCAATATCAAAAATGATGGCAGCGTGTCATCCTGCATAGAGGATCCCTGGGATCTTGGCATCGAGAGTGAGTTTGATACAATCCCTGAGATCATGCAATCAAGCTGGAACGCGGCAGTTATCTCAACAATGAAAGGAGGTTGTTGATTAGAGCTGCTTGATGCGGTCACAGTAGGAGGTCGTTCTCGAATGCGCGCAATCTTTATGTGGTCCGCCCATCCTATCAGGAGAGTCGTATCATCTTGCCAATGCAAAGTGCACTTGAAAAGGTCCGCACGGGGGCTATCAGCTGGACGCTCGATGAAGGTAATACGCATCTGGGACTGGGTGTCGTAGATCCTGACGCCCTGCTCATAAACAGTATAAATATGGCCAACATATATTGATGCAAACCCACCGAGTCATTCGCCCATGCGATTAAGCGTTCCCGCCATCGTACATGCCACACTGGACCTTCACCAGAGTGGAGAATTGTTTCCTTATGCCCCAACCAGCCCTTTTCTCTTAGTACCAGTGTCCCGGCCATGCCTCCACACACAAACGATCGAGTACTCTTCTTGGCAAAATTAGGTTCTAGTGCTACAGTCCGAATTGGTCGCTTCATGTCGAACATGTATGACTCAGGAGTCAAGAGAGATTGAATAACGACCTGTCCTAATTGTAAAGTGATTAGAATTTAATGGCCCAGATAGAACCCATCCCTACCATCGATGGAGGCGGTTGCTACGAAGTCCGCAGTACTGTCAAACTCTGCATCACTCACTGAAGCTTGATGAGGTTTGTACGACTTGATACGTTTACCCGTTAAATCGACGATGTGAACAATACCATTATGCGTTCCAAGTGCCTAGATAATTCGGGGTTAATCCTTTCCTACCTGCGTTAGAATGAAAGCTTTACCAGAAGGTTATTCGAAACCGCAAGAGCAGAAGCCGAGTCTTTCTTGAGAAGGTCGTTAATTGCCCCGCCCATACGCTCATATTTTAAAGTCGGTTCATCCTCCTCTTCATCTTCGTATTCATCTTCACCTTCCTCTTCATCCCCCTCCCCTTCATCTTCTTCCCCTTCCACTTCCTCATCGTCGTCCTCCACTTCTTCATCGTCATCGTCACCGTCGTCGTCGTCTTCCTCTCTGCTTTCGCTCTCATCTTCGCCGCTTCCAGACTCGTGCGCTGCATTCTCTGGGTCTGCGGACTCGGAAGGGTTGGATCCGTTCGGTAGGACGTCGGAAGAAGAAGGACGGGTGTCCTGCCAAGGGTCAAGCTCTGGACCATCTATAGGAGCGCCAGCCATGAAAATTTCACAGCAGGTTAACGAGCGCAGGGTACAATTGAAACTACCAAGACGAACTAGTACTTCGTACTTCTACCGTACATCTGCAATAGGTAACAGATTGTTTGCACATGTTAGAACCCAAGGCTTGGTGCCAAATACAGTGAGTCAAGTCAATTTGTGCGGAGCGCTACCAGACTCTCAGCGGAGACTGTATAGTTCTCCCTTGCATCCCTGCCAGTTTCCAATAACAGACTTGAAGTGAATACCAGAGCACTGCACACCTTTCAATTTATTATAGACGTTCATTATACCCTCTCATTCTTCATCGATGAGTCGAGCATGGTCGATCAAAGAGCTCTATTGAAATTTCAGCTCGAGAGCCCCAGGACGGACGAACGACGGCTTACCACCTATCCCCGGTGAAAATTTTTCATCACTGGTGAAACACGTACTTGCCCATCATGTCGAAACTCAACTCATAAGCCGCCATGCTAACACAACATGGTACTAGTCACTAGTACATGGCTGTATTAAATATACGGTTGCTCCTCCAACCGACAATACCACAGAAGGTATTAGAGATTTAATGGCCAGGCCCTCAGACGTAACCGTTGCTCTCGTACTATCGAGTAGAAGACAACATTCTTCAGCGTAAACTCTGGTTTACTTACGTGCGCCCATAGAAAGTGGTGTACCCTCGCCAAGGGAATACAAGTTTTGATAATCTTTCGATTGATTCAGCTTCTGACCGAAATCACCTCTTCGTGCATGAAAATAGACTACGAGGAATTCCTTGTGGTAGAGATAGCCATACAAATATTTCGCCTCATTGAGGCAGTGTACGACGAAATACACTGTATGGCAAGGATACTGAACGAAAGAATCTGTTCATGGCACTGATTTCGGAAAACATGCATCATCGACATTGTGCGACCTGTGGTCGTATAGCCACCAGTGCATGGCGGTATCTAGGATTCAGAACTAGGTACTGACGATGAAATTCCAATCAGCAGATCAACAAATGAAATGGGGTTCTCGGAGGAATTTCTAGATACACAAACAAAAAGTACGACTCGACAGCTGCACATCAACCAAGTGATAGTTCAGGATCGTATGTAGGATGTCAAATGTCATGCATATAATGAAGATCCGACCCATAGCCAACGTACGGAGGTGCGGGACCGAGAGGTACAGGTTCATCACTTATCTTCTCAGAAATAAAGCCCTCCGACTGCGGCGGAAGTTCCGGTTCAGTCTTTTTCGAACGCTTTGTCCGAACTCCCAGTGGACGAGAGAGTCTGACAAGATCTTTCTCGTCTCGTTGCGGATGAGGCGGTTTGCCAAAAGATCCAAAGGCTCCACGTTCTGGGTTGAGGACAGCATTATGAAGGCTGGGATGCGTGGCAGGTAGATGGTCAGGATGGAGCAATGCTTGAAGACGCGTTCGAGTTCCTGTGTACCGTCGGAGAATGCGTATAAGCCTCTCAAATACAGTTTCGTCTGGTGCAGGACAGCCGCACTGCATGTATGGGATGTGAAATCGTGACTGAGTCTTGATGAGTAAAGATTCCCAATTACAAGCATAACCCAAATTACCTGCCATGCACGACATGTGTCATCAAGAGCTTTTGAAAGGATGCCTTCTTCTGTGGTGAGTGGACTGAAAAATATATTAAATAATTTCAGCTATGAACTAAGAGACTTCACTCACTGGTCAACACGACGGCCAATGTATATGTCACAATCAACACCATACCTGCCACCCATTAGCTGATGACTGTGCCAAATCAGGTCGATGTCAAGAGTAGGAACAGACATCAGATTCGGCGAGGCAACTGTTAAATCGAGGAAGCTACAGTAATGGTCAGGTCATCATTACGATCTTACGATAGAGGTATCTTTACCAGTGATAACGGAGCAGAGCATGCTCCAGGATTTGCAACTTACCACCTTCCTTGAATGCACCAGGTCTAAGCCAGCCTAATTCATCAATCCCTTTGGTAAATACCCCCTGTCGCAGAACCTAACCGAGAAATATTATAGATTTAGAAAAACGGAAAAATTGCAGACTCACCGCAGAGATAAGGTTGATAGAAAACGGGCTATCGTCTTCGTATGCACCCAAAATTCTGGTCCTCCTGAATTGAGGTGAGAAATTATTGCTAGCACGTGTTGGGGTCACATACGTCGCTTCTGGCTGGTCTTTGAGAGCTATCACTATAGCGTCTTTTAACAGTGGACGGGAGTAACCAATGCTTTCTTTAATTTCTTTCTCCCAGTCCAGTCGAGCAATGCGCTGGTTAGAAGACGGGGGACTTTTACGACAAAACTGTGATGACTGGGTTAGTTGATCTTTGATTGCCTTTGCCCGTCGAGGATCTCGCTTTCCGTTGCCAAAGAATAGACTTCCACTGTAATCTTATCAGCGATAAAATTTTTGTTGAATCAGTGCCACTCAACGCCATGTAACTTTCGTTCCCATCCTCTGACTCTGTCAGATCTCGCACGAACTTCGCCACGGCTAGATTCCCTTTTGTGATCTTCAGTCTACATCCTGGTAGAGGACACATAGCACTAAAGTGCTGCTCCGAGTACCCAGTTCCGTTGTCGTTAACAAACGCTTAAAACAAATCAGCCTGAGAAGGATTAAATGGACCCTTGACTCACGAACGAAGACACGTGTCCTACACCGAGGACACTCCATTTGTTTATGAGTCAACTCTTCCATAGAGTCAAATGGATCGAAAAATGACCCAGTTTGTTTATGCCATGTGGCAATCCGCGAGGCAGATGGCTGATTATTTGCAAGCTTTCCAACATCAATCTACACATAGTCAGCTCGTGTCCAGGAGAATAACTATCAGCAAGGACTGACAGAAGCAACGACAAACATGTTGAGCAGGCGGAGCTGCTGAAGGATGAGGAGACGCTCGCAATCTTCTTCATACCAACTGCCGAAGGTGAAATTTTGAATCAGTGACTCCGCAAGGATTACTATACGAAACCTACCATGGATTCAATAAATAGGCGTGCCAAACCATCCACACGTCGATGGGTGGGAAATGTTTGTTGATAAACTTCTCAAGAGGTACGAATTTTAGAGACTTGACCCATCGCTCAAATCTTGCCTAGGCGTCATTGTGCATATGTCAAATGGAAGTGACTTGACGAACCTGTCAATAGCCAGGGTGATAAACCACATCCACCGGCTATCTCTATCCATTTGTGTTGCAAATGTAGGAATCCTGCGGTCCTTACATTCTTCTACTATAACCCTCAGATTATGGAACGCTCTGAGGAGGCGGAGGTGCCCCTTCACCTGTACAATGGATACGAGTGGACCTGGGGTCCTTTGTGAGCCGATTTCAAATGAAGGGCTTTGTTTCCGCGAGGTTTGCTTAATCACTTTGTTCTGCATGACCAGCTGCGAAGAAAGGAGGAGTTGTGAGCTCTGCGAGTTCGTGCGAATATCTTATATCTATAGCTCACTGTTGAAATACACCAAAAGTGCGGCTTCAAAACGGGGCGAAAGGCTCAGTTAATGATTGGATCATAAGAGCAGTGTTAGCAAGATTGATCATCAAGTAGAATGATCACTGGATTGTCAAGGCCACCTACTAGATGGACCTTTGGCAATTGCTCGAACAAGCTGTCACTGCAGTGAGTGCCCATTCGGCCTCGTATATGATTACTACCGTAGGGGTTAAGACTCAAATACAACGGCCCTTCCCGCGCCCGTGAGATGCAATATCTGTAGCGAATATGGCTGTACTCACCGTGGCAGAGCAGCATCAGGACGACTCAGACGCATCAAAAGATTCACGCCCTAAGTCAAAACGGGTACTACTTGACTGCCGAGTGTGGGGATAAAGTTGTGGGGATACGGTATACATCATTCAGTAGTTGTAACTCCGCTACCTCAAGAACATGATGAGCAGAAGTCTTCAAAAGTCACGGCATTAAAGGTATAACTGGACTAATTTGTCTACGCAGTGGCGGGCTTGTTGAATCTTGATAACTTCCTCTGTCATCTCTTTCCTCCACCTTGCATCCGGAGATGCATGTAATGTATCCTTGGACAAAAGAAATGCAGTAAATGGGTCTTTTCTACCGTCCATAAAACCCTTTCCACTGCTGTCAGCCCAGTAGTCCAGGACAGCTATTGCCCATATGGTACTATGAGGTTCGCGCTTTGGGCCAATGTGCCTCACCACTACATCATGATTGAACTCTGTATGCCTGAAGGTAAGGTACCTTGAGTTATGCGACTCGTCCCTTGCGTGTTGTAAATCGACAAACAGTCGGAGCACTTTGATTTGGAGGCCATGGTTAGTCAAGGCAAAAAGCCTATCTCCAATGTCGTATCTTGCTGTATTCCATTCCTCCTCATTGCCTACTTCGTGTCGGCGCTTCACCAGTGTTTCCTGATATCCCACGGGATAACAGCGTGGAGCGTGGGGAAGGGTGGCATTGTAGTGGGAGCATTGGCCACTCCAGAGAAACACGTCCCATTTGTCGTATCTCTTTATTATCTCTTCCATGAGACGGAAGAAAGCCCTGTTTCCCTCCCCATATGCGATCATGAGGCTGACATTGAATATGCCAATGAGACAATATGCAATATCTTCTGTCCGAGAAGTTCTCCTCTTCGATGCCCATAGCATCTTTTGCGGCACTCGATTTGTGCCAGGTTCGAACGATTTAAGATCTTCGAGAGGAATGTTCGTGATTTTTTCTATCTTTCGCATGATGATATCGTTGACTCTATCGCTCTTAGACTGGTCGAGAGGTACAAGAGGATTCCAGTCCCTTCCGTAAAACTTGATTTGCGCTGGGGCAAGGAGCTCTTGAAGCGTCCATCCTCTTGTGAACCAAACGTCGACCTTTGCTCCATCCTTCTGCTGCCTTTCAAGAGCCGCCAGGTTTTCCGTCTCCGACAGATGTACGATGCATACGTGGGAATTCCTGTACCAGCGAAACATGGAGCGGATAGATTCGTCCAACTCCGCGCTCCCTGTTTTGTTTATGCAGCACGTGTCTGACCAGGCGAATTCGCAACCATGGTCATCCCTCGCTTTACGACAAAATTGTCGAAGCTTCTGCCACTTAGGCTCAAGCTCAGCCTGGACTTTCATCGGCTCCGTCGACATATCTTGATACGAAGGCTCGCTGGACAGCCATCGATGGGAGAAGATGGCATATTTCAATGTCTCCTTTACCCGCTCCCTGATACAGTCCTCCATGTCCACAAGCCTTGCGTTGCAAAATTCCCTGTAGATCTCGTCAGGGACTAATTTGAAATGCTCCTTGACGAAAGCCCTGTCCACGAGTTTGAAATGCAGCCCCTGGCCATCTTCGCTGATATGGATCAGACGAATTGGCATCTCATTGATGATATATTCGTCGAATACTTCTTCAACAAGTTCTTTGAAGTCGTTATCGTCAATTCTGGAGGCGCCTATGCCGCCGTCGACCACCATACGAACGTCCGAGCCGCTCATAGTGACTTGAAAGACGTCTGCTAATGTCAGACAACAGAGTCATAATATATAGTGAGCAACTCACGATTGATGGCCTCTGTCGGTTGTGGTTGCTGAGAGAACCCTTAGACACTCTACAGGATATTCGCGCCTATATATAACTTTCTAGAGCGGACTTTTGAACCGCCTTTGACGCCCACGACGAAACATAGATGATCTGCGGGTCTATATTCAAAACGTTATCAAGCCTTGTTCTGCTTAATACACAGCACTGTATTGCTTCCATGAAACTCGCAATTTAGTGCGAACCGACTCCTTTCGAGATGATATAGGAGCTTTGCTGTGTGGTCATTCCTCAAAGTCCCTGACAATGAGTCCGGCTGTATTGCATTGCCTCACTTGTAGACGGGGAGCCGCCTTGATGTCTGGGATTTCAACACACAGAAATCGGGTCTAGCTTCTTCGCTAATTTGTGCCTTACAGCGCTGCTTCCAAACTGCCGGAATACAAGAATGTAAACGACACCCGACAATCTTCTGGACAGCAGCCTGGAGTGCTGTGTGTTTGATATTGATTCACTCCCAGACGTGCATTGGTGCAAGTTATTCTTGTGCTACTACTCATACTGGAGTGAGGGCCGACCCCTAGGTACACTGCAAACTGCCGCAAACCTTTGACACATGTCCAAAATGGGTACCATGTGTCAAACCTTTAATAATATGTCCCGAAGGGTTTTCTCGCCAGAAATTGCCGACAATTTGAAAATTTGCCTAAGCGAGCCAATGGATCCATGATCTTAAGAGACCTTTACAAGGCACCTAACTATATTTATGAGACCCCGATGGAACATAGACGACCGTAGCTAGTAGTTGCACTGGATTAGAATATCCTCCATGCGTGGTTTCAATAGATTGCACAGATGTCTCGTTTCATAGGTAGCGCAGAGGTCTGCTCTCATAGACTGAGGATATGTCTCGTTTCATAGGTTGTACAGATATCCCACATGATGGGTCACACAGATGTCTTATATCGTATATATGTTGGTTGGAAGGATGCCGATCTCGCACGCAGGAATTCAATGCACCTCAGCCATTCAGAATCAGGCAGGTAAAAAAGATCAAATGAAGCACGAGTGTTATTGCATTAATGCTGATGCGGGTAGACACAATGTCAATCAAAGTAATATGTATGGGGTGATGCCAGGGTATTAAAAGGAAGGTGCGGTGAAAGTATCTACCAAAGGAGTGAATAGTGCCAGTCATTATGCGAGGAATTTCGGAACGAGCTTCCTATGAGAGAAGTCAGCCCCAAAGCAATGAGTCCTGGATGGTCGTCTGCCACTGAGGGCTAGTTGTTTTCAGGAGTTTAGGAACGACCATGCTCCCTGGAAACTCAACGAGGTCCATCTGAAAAAATTCAACGAGCAGGCTTTGGCATAATCAGCAATCGCATGTGTGATGTAATAACAATAAACTTACTTGCGCACCGCATTTTCATATGTTCCGCGGGCTGACTTCGTATACTCTGGTCCTGCCTCTTCTCTCGCAGCTTTGCGAATAGCTTCAAGCAAGCAATCCACAAAATTCCAGAACTTTGCCGAGGTGAATTTGGGACCCTTACCGTTTTTTCTTTTGCTAAATCCAGAGCCACTGTCGTCGTCGTCATAATCCTCGTCGGGTTCTTGCTGGCCGGCTTCTTCATCATGATTCTCGCGAAATTGATCTTCCTCTCGGGTGTCCATCACGTGTCCTCCCTCTCCAAGGTCACCGTCACCACCAGTGTCGTTGCTCACTCCAGGTTGTGCTTCAGAACCTTGGCCGTCCAAATGGTCCATGCTGTCTTCAAGACGATCTCCATGCTGTTCGTCATTCTCGTCCACCTCTGTGCCTACTTCGCAATCGAGTGTCATTGCAATTTTGACGTGGAGGTCTTTATGAAGGGAGGGGATGAGCGAGCTTGAGTAAAGGTCCTTGAGTGGGATGGCTTTATAGTCGCTGACTCCAATAAGAAAGATTCACAAGCAGCGCCACTAGACTCGTGTTAAATGCTTGATAACGTGTATTAGGATTAAAACATACTAAAAAAGTGTATCTGTTCCAATGACAAGCTTCTACCTCAATTACACCGTGAGCCAGTGATTTGGCTGTATCCATGATGCTCATACGCTTGGCAATCAATATGACCAACTTAGAGGTGGTCAGCGTCACGATGATTTGCATGGGACAACGAAATACAAACCTTGGACTTGAGATTACCGCGAATAGAAGAGAGCAACTCACTAACAATTTTTGAGAGCTGTGCCAAAAGCTCTACGTCTTGCATTAGTGCGGCTGGCAGCTTGAATACCTCACAATGATTCTTGATAAAATCCTGTTGCATAGTCAATTCGTGCGCATACAAAAGGCAGTGAAAAGGGTACCATAATGTTTGTGTGCGTATCTGTGACATACGTGGTAATGTTTGGTGATAAGAGACACGCGGTCAAGCGGCTCTGAAGCGCGGACTGCATTTAATCTAGTCAATCATCAGAGTCCGTTCTCTGGCGGCGCATACCAGCCATGATAGGCTCATCGAGGGATGCTTCGGATGGAGTCTGCAAAATGATACTGCCGCCAGGCCCGTCAACAACAGTGTGAGAGGCTGAGTGGTGGCTGCCTGGCTGCATTCCCAGTGGTGAACGTTCTCGCTGGATAAGATGTGTGGTCCTGGTTGCAGGAGGTCGTTGAAAGGATGCTGAAAGACTCCTGCCCCGAGGCCCCCCAGCAGTAGCTGGTGTCAACAACCCACTTGTCGATCCTGCTCTTCTGGGCTGTGAGCCACCTGTTTTGTTAGAACTTCCAGACCGCACGGGAAACCATTGGAGCAACATAGTTGAGCAGAGAGTTGGTTGGGTGAGGGAAACTGGAGGGAGCAGCCAGTCAGCGTGTGTCACTGATATCTTCCATTCCGAGTGTCATAAGTCTTGTTCGGCTGCATATTACAAGTATCATGTTCAAGGGAGAAAGATGATAAATTATAATACCCACTGACAGAATTGCATTGCATCTGCAGCAACGATTTAAAAAAATGTGCATATGTGACATAACGGTGTACTATCATAACATAAGGTGGAGGAGACATCACTTGGTGTCCTCCCAGATACAGTAAAATATATACCGGAGGCCTCAAAAACTTTGATCATCCCTCCTGCGAGATTCCAACACTGTGACCCTCCTTCACATCTCTCCCGTTACTGAGGATACATAGAATGGTCCATGAAATAGTGTGGGTGCTGCGCCTGTGACTGCATGCAAGTGTGAATGGCCTGCACATGAGCTTGAGCCATCCAAGCTTGCTGTTGGTGGTTTGGGTACATCTGGGCATGTGCAGTGCGAGGCTGCAAACCCGGTAGCTCGGCTTGCATAAAGTGAGCGGGAGAGGTGTGGGGTTGGTGTGTTGCCAGAGGAGGTTGTGAGCTGAGGAATGAGGCTGTGTGAGTGGGGTGCACAATGGATGCCGCATGTGCTCCTTGAGGACCTGTGTTGGAATATGACATGGAGGGTGGAAAGGGAGCCTGAGGGTGATGTGGAGCATGTAGCAAAGGTCCAATTGGCAGTGGCAGAGGGTAATGTGAGGCTTGCAGTGGGGGAGGCATGAATTGGTGGGATGGGACTGTCAGACCCTGCTGACTGGATGGAGACATCTGTCTCGAGGTCCCAGCAATTGGCTGCCCAACATTTGATGATGTCATCTTCCTCCTGCCTCGTGTGCTGGTACCGCTTGTGCTCTTTCTTGGCTTGGCGGCTATCTTTTTGGCGGGAGCACGATCAAAGGCAGGAAGTGGTACAGTTGCATTGCAAACACTTTCCTCCACAACAGTCACACCTTCTTGAGGCTCGGGGATGCTGCCTGATTTCTTTGCTGCCTTCTTGTCTTTCATCTGCTGTATGGCTAAAGTTCGAACTTCAGCCGGATTGGCGACTCTCAATGGTGACTCGCGAAGTGCCTCAGGTATGACCAGCTGGATAAGATCACAGTTGTGAATCGAGTAGGCGTTGAGGAAGAAGTACGGAGTTGGCTGATGGTCGACAACAGGCTTCGTTTGAATGGATCTGTTCTTGATGTAGGTGTTGCTGGTGCATGTTTACGCACTTCGAATCAATACAGTTGTGTTGAAGATTGACAGTGCAAATGATATCCTGTAATCCAGCAATGTTCAACAGACAGCTCTGAGTGTTAGAACATGTCACTTACCATTGCTGTCGAGACTGTTTCATCTTCTGTAAGGTCAAGACATGGTAGAAAAATTGAAGGATGTAATGTAGGCCTGAATGAAAAAACTTGCAGTGCGACATGATCCACGGTGCTACTGGTGCCATGTGATATAAGGATCTCGCGGATACGCCCAATAGACATCTGCACACATATTAATGCTTGATTGCAGACAGACCAAAAAATCATTTACCTGTCCATCAGCAGGTCGTCGAAAGATGACATGACTATTCAGATCTGCTCGTTCTCCCTTGCTCATCACAAGTGATTTGCCTTGGCAGTACGAAACACCAGATCGGAGAGTTTCGAGAATTTTTGCGCAGTGAGTATCCTTCCATTGTACTCCATCTGCTCATTGTGCCTTTCCATTAACGCCAACAGCAGTATCAGGACTTCCAGTGCCTATGCATACTTAGCAATGGTATGACAACATACCGCCTAACTCACCAGGCAGTGGAGGCTCACACAAGATACTTGAGATACCGAGAAGGTGGGCCTGTTCTCGGTGTTCATTGAGATAACATAGCACCTGCTCTCCTCCACGAACCCATCTCTTAACATTGCGATCGTACCAACATCCACCAGTGGCAACGTGTTTCACGATGTCCTGGTATGCGAAGAGTCGACAAGTGTCCCTGCTGGGCGCACGTTGATTGCTGTGAATGCACGACAGTCGGAAAACGTGATTGAATGATTCATATCTCTCAGTGGAGAATATGATTGCAGGTCCGAAATGACATATGAATGCCGGAAGATGAATCAGGAAGTGAAATTTCCGCTTGCTGATGAGAATGCTTGGAGCACATTGCACTGTTGTATTGAGGAAGTCCTCGATCGTTCTGGATAATCTTGCCTATTTAAAGAAGATCGGTTAGTTCATGACACCTTTCAACACTTAAGTAGTGTAAACTGACGAGATATTCTTCAGTATCTGGTATTGTCGTGTGCCAAATGAGCACGACAAGTTCCCCGATAACGGACCACCCATTGAGGACCAGTCTGGGGGACGAGGTCATACACCAGGAAGGGCATAACTTGGGCTAGGCTCTTGAAATGTTTACCTATTAAGCCACCTTTATAATGACATATATAGTCAGCATTCAGAGAGGGTGCGTTCAGTCCGTCTTTGTCAACAGACTCAAGGCAGCTCTGAAAAATGTGCAGCAGCTTGGCTTTCTCCAGGATAAACACGCTCTGACCCCAAAAATACTTCACCACACCCAACAATACTGTATGGAGAATTTCAGTCAGCATATCCAAGTGGATGTTGATCCCTGTGAGACAATATTGTGAGCGTGACACGAATGACATTGACCAAGCTTACTGTTCATCCCAAACAACGGATTCATTGCATCATTGAGTGTGGTACCTCGTAATAATTCATCAAACTCCTTTTCAAGCGCTGCTGTGATCTTGCTTTCGGATGTTGCTGGTAAACCTGGCACTCGTTTGCAGAGTTTCTTTCCAAGTTCTATGAGAGACTCGAGGATGGATGCTGAGGCACTGTCACGAACACCTGTGGAAGAAACAGCACTCTGCACTTTTGTCATGGCACCCGATTTTGTTATGACTTGGATGGTATCTGTTGGCGACGCTCAAACAGAGCGTGTGTCATCAACGGTCGAGGATGTCCTTGGGCTAGCCCAAGGTTAGGGGTCTTACTTGGCGAGGCTTCGGCAAGTAAGATTTGACGCCTATGTCCAAATCAGGTAGCTTATGTCAAGCGGGTGCGAGACAATAAGCTATATCGGCCTAGGCTTACGACACCCGAAGGTTAATTGTAAGATCGTCGTTAATTAGAAGGACAGAAGTCCGACTAGTTAACAGGGGCTTTGCTTGTCGACGAAGTCGATGAGTAAAGATCGAGACTATAGGCTTATCCGCGAAGAGCAGATAAGAAGATAGAATATAGACTGCTGGCGAGGCAGAAAGGATCACTCTGGTGAGAGTAGGAGGTCAAGAACCAAGTAGATTCAAGTTAAGGAATATGTTACATGGTAGCGAGTTTATATAGAGGACGGGAAGCATATTAGTGGATGATAACTTGTACTACCAAGAGAAGTAATCGGTAAAGGGTATGACCATAACAGGAAGGCACGTTCGGTCGAGGTAGAACGTGCTAGATAAGAAAGTGAGTCAAAGATCGAAATGAGAAGTGAAACACGCAATGGCACGATCATGCAGCTGCGGATCTAAGTATAAGTCGCATGTGCGACTGCGCACCGAGTCAGAGATCAAGAAAGGGAATAGGGCAAAGGGGATGCGTCGTGCATCATATCATAGGTTACCGTCCAGACGGTAAAGGCAAGGGGACTGTCCACAGGATCAGTCAGGTGGTGAAACGGAGCATGGATATGCTTCGTCAGTGAAAGGATCCGGCCAGATGTACTGGCTCTGCTGAAGCGATAGGTAGAGAGCGAAAGGGAATGTGAGAATGACAAGGATGACCAGGGTAAGGTCGGGGTAAGGGTATGATGCAAGGGCTGATACGAGGAGGATCAGGAGAAAAATGGTTGGGGCCCAAGCGTCTAGATGTTCTTGTAACAGATTTCATTGCAGCTTCAAATTGATGTTGAATGTTGTTGGTGGCCTTTTCAGGTGTTCGTAAACTACCTGACTACGAGTATGAAATTAGATCAAGTAAGAGACACTGTGATATATGTTCGTACCTTGAATATACTGTTGTAACCCTCTTCGGATGCCTTGTATTCTTTTGTGCCGCCGACGTTACATGTCCTGCAGAAATAGTTGCAATTAAGGCCTGCATGGCTGCATTCCTCGGCTTGCATGGCTGCATTCCTCGGCTTGCATAGGATTATCGCCGGCAAGAAAAAGTCCACATGGAATGAGCATAACTTCCTCCTCATCTTTACAGTCCCATGCAACAATGCCAGACTGCGCTGCATTACTGCAAATATTCAGGAATAAGCCAGAATGAATCCAGAGAAAAACATACCAAAGAGAATCTTTCATTGCTCGCATCAGTTCCATTGGAGCAGCGTGGGGTGACGATGTGACAAATCGCACAAAGAACTCCTTCTCGAGCATTTCACGAGGTAAGTTTGCATTTGACATATAAATAGTGTGGTGCTTGTTCCACTGCTTCGAAATATTGCCCGAGACATCGTCCATGAAGATTATGAGAGGGACTGTATAAACCATTCGGCCTTGCGCCTTTTCACGCAAGGGATTAGGCTCGAGTGACCCGTATTTAGCAGACAATGCTGTTACACACTTAAGTTCACATCTGTTAAATAAGACGACCTAGATCTAACGCACCAGTGAGTCCACAGTCAATCTCATTTGTTGATGAAATATCTTCATATGACCGTGCAAATGTTGAAGTTGGGACGATTTCTTGTTCATTGTTGATAATAAATCCTGCCTATTGAACACTTTAGAATAGTACACGACATTATAAAGGTCACTCACATCAGTTCATTGAGCAGCGCGACCGAGCACATAGAGAATCTTATTATCAGGACCTTCAACACCACCCTCAACAACCGGAGAGCCAAGGAAAAACTGTTCCAGAATAAAGTAGGCTCCCGAAGACTCCTGTAATAGCTCATTGACAAAATACACTATCCCATCCACTCGTGCTGCGGGAGGAGATGGAAGGTCGAGCAACATCTTTGTGCTGTTGAAAAATTGCGACATCCCTTTCCCACAATCCTCAGGATAATCTTGCATTGCAAAACGTGTAAGTGGGTTTGCATAGTCCTGGAATGATATGAATGCAACACCCTAATACGAGGTAGCAGAAGACAGACCTTTGCAATTGCGTTCACAATATTATTAATGTAGAATATATTCCCTGACTGGGCAGTAACCTTCTCGGTTGGTCGACCAACAAGATCCTCAATGAACAGTTGACACTTTTTAGTCCCGTTGAGTGAGGGCACATTTTTGGTGCCAAGCTGTTTTGCCCAATTAAGTACCGCTTTCTTCTGAGCATCTGAGAAGGGAAGGCGTGGAGAGCTGAATAAAAGCGATGTCGTAAAATCCTTGAGAAGAGTATAAATGTTTCATTGCACAACTAACAACAAGTGTACTCACAGCTTGTGATGGCCAAGGGTAGGTTGGATTATCAGGAGAGATGTCTTTGAGAGCATATTTTTTCGCCGGAGGTTCATAGTCTGCAAACGCATTTAAATACAAAACAGCATGAAAGAAACAACTTGAATTCACTCACCGAAAATATCAATCCCAAAGTCAGGGACGTCATAATCACATAACTCATTCTCCTTGTTGATGGGGGCGAGTGGTATCGAGAATGGGATTTCACCTGAAGGCAAGATTCTCTTGCAGTTCGGCAAATAGATCGGTAAAGTGTTCATCGAACTCATATACCCAACTTCCAACGGCATTGTTCAAGTGCTCAGACAGCGGGATCTCCAAGTCAGCCTCACATGTGTTGTATGAGTCTATCTCCATCAGACCACTATCAGCATCCATATGATCAAGTCCAAACAATTCAGCTTCCATGTCCGGGTCCATATTGCGTTGTTTAGGATTATTCCTGGCCCAATGCAAGTTTGCCTTGAAAACAGGATGAAATTTTGATGCTCAGTCACCCTTGAAATTTTTGGCGTGGCATGTGTGCTTGTCTGATACGATATGCTTCTGGATAAAACGGAGATCCATGGTACAGTGCAGACCGTTCTTCTTGGGACATACATTGCAAACGATGCGACTCTGCGTATCATCGCAAAATTGGAGAACTGTAACAAGTATTAGATTATTATCAGACAGACAAGATATATAACTCACTTGTGCCATCGACAATATCATGCTTCATGGCTGATCCGGGTCAGTGTGTCAGAGGTGGGAAGAGGTTGCGAGTCATGTGGTGCACACACGATGAAAGAACACCAAGTCCAAAGTCCCACGTCTTCTTTGAATTCTTGTCAAGCTTGCACGAAATATAATGCCTGGAGTGCTCACCAACATTGCAACTGTCTATCCCGATGTCCAACACCAGGACATGGATGACGCAACATTCAAGCCGCTATTCTTCACGATCAGATTTTCTGGTACCCTTCCGAAGCACCTGATAGAACAAAATATAGTGAGTGTTATTAACTGCCTCCGACAATTTGCTACATTCATTCGCAGCCTGTTGAGATATCAGTGTCAATCGCTGAAGAATACGGGTGCTTCACTATGCCCTTCATAAAAGCTATATCATCGATGGATCAGTGGCAGTCCGATACTGAAAGCATGCTAAATTCAAGCAACTCAAATGTGAGCATATTTTGCTGCGTCTGACTTGATGAAACTTACATTGTGCTTCGAGTTTTCTGGTATCCTTGAATGTATTCCCCCTCCTGATGAAATCCCCATCCCATTCCTCCCCCTTCCATCAACATTCAACCACACTAATTGAGGCGATTGGGCAAAGCTATCAAAGGAGATTGAGGGGTGGCTCGTAGAACTCAATACCGAATTGTCACAATGGATGTGGGGACGGGACACATTTTGGTTGACATTTGTTGCCGCATATCCCTTCTTCCCAAGAGGCACCTGGCCAATGTGGGATCCCCACATACCGTTGGAAGGTGCATTCATTGAACAATGGCTAGAGACTTCAGGTCATAGCATCACAGTCGACCAGGAAATTATGGTGATAGACTTGGGCGATACAGAGGACTTGAAGGAAATCTGGGGCGCATTTTGTAGGGATGCTGCCCTTTTCTACCCTTATCCCCTCATTTCTACCAACTAAACTTGCTACAATGATCCAGAGGTTTTTTTGAAGCAGGTTAGATATACATTCAAGTACATACCTTAGAGTTGTTGTTGTGCCACCACTTGTTATAATATGTCTCAAATGTCAATTATGTTTCGTTTGAAGTATCAAATGGCCACAGGGATAGATAAGTCGCAAGCTTGAATGTTTGAGCAACCAGTCATCGCTGATCGGGTCGTTGCAGGCATGGAAGTTTGTGATTAGCATTGTATAGACAAAAATAGCACGCTCAAATATCTGTAGGATCTCTGACAGATGTCTGTGCTATGTCTCATGCCCGATCTCGTCCATATGACTCATTCTGATCTCCCTCGCATGTTCACCACGCGACATTTGTACAACCCTGGGGTTATACACGCACAGCCTATTACCACCTTGGTGGGAGATTGGGCAAAATTCTCTTATAGACCTCCGAATTCGCGCCTTTACTCTATAAATTTATTATTTATCACACAAACACCCATGACAAATACAACCCGGCTGGTTCCCAGGAGCACTAAATAGTTTTCTCATTAGCTCGGTTTCGCCCAAAGCGGCAGTTTGTGGTGTAGCAGGGTCCCAACGTATTCTTCTCAAACTTCGTCACGTCAATAGTACCAAACATTCAATCCTTGAGTAACTTAAGCGGCTGTTCCTCCAATTTGCCATACCAGTTGAACCGTTTTCGATAATGGTATCGGCCACGTTTCCGGGGTTTCTATACGTGCACAATAGCTTCGAGGATCGCAAACTCGACCATCCATGGCAGGAGAATCACACATGGCATGCGGCAATCATGATTGTGTATCATGTTGGGAAATATACATACAACACACATAATGGTTCCGTGTAGAATTGCGTGTACTGGACGCAGCTGGAGTGGAAACACGAACTGGTGGGCCCATCTAGAAGATCATCGCCATACCGTGCACTGCCATCCTCGACCACCGAAGATCCGAGAAACATGTCTTAGAGTTGCCGATTCAAACGTTCAATCACAGCTGACTTGAATCAGAATATGAAACGATTGATTATCTTCAATACTAATAGGAATTCGCACATACCCGTGATGCTAGCAACCAGAGGAGACCAAAGGAAGCCCGCAACCGTAGGATCTCCGCTACTAACGTTCTAGGGAACAGAAGTTTAACATCCCACTGGGTAGAATTCTCCGTCTTTGGGTAGCGGCCTGATTCAAATTCGAGGGCATGGCCAATCAGGTGAAGCAGATGAACCGCGTATGTCTTCTTCCTATCTGCCCCATGAACACCTGAAACAAGCACGATCAGGCTCGTTGATTGATGTGGAAAGCTGCGGCGACACGACTTGAACGCATGTCCCCATTCGCTTAGATTGTCAAGCAATAATAACCTCATGTTTTGGGCGTCTAGTGAGAGGTTTAAAAGACTTCGTCACACGCACCTCTGCAACTTCGAGCAAGACGCCATCCCTGGATTTCCCCCACAGTCACCAAGTAGAATTTAACTGTGCTGCAGCTTTACTAAAATGGCGGTGCTCATTCCCAATATCACACCCACTCGAACGTTTGAAGATCACGGGGATCGTGTGGTCGCAGTCGCGGTTTTCAATCAGTATAGCGACGATAAACGCATGGTCACGGGATCATATGATGGGATGCTTCGTCTGTGGGACTTGAAAACAGGTGTAGTGTTAAAGAAGATGGAGGGGCATCGAAGTCGGGTGCGAGCATTGGCTGTCTCACCAGATATGAGATGGATAGCAAGCGGCGATGAGAGCGGAGAGCTCATCGCCTGGCATGCAGACACCGGGGAACTCGACCAAACAATCAATAAAGCCCACGACGGTTGGATATTTTCACTCAACTTTTCTTCGGATTCCTGCATGCTGGCTAGTGGATCATCTGACACCACCACGAGGCTATGGGATCCATCAACGTGGCAGGTGAAACATATACTTAAATGCGGTGGAGCTGTTCGCTGCGTTCGGTATTTGTCCTATTATGGGGAATCACTTGCGATTGCAACGGACCGCGGTATCCAGATTTACCAGAAACACACCTCAAACAGTTACTACAGTCACTACGATTCATCACCACCTCCACTCCCCACTCAGTTGAAGAGAATGATTGGTGGAGGATTGAATTACTCATTCGCTTGTGCACCCGATTGGACACGCCTTTTCTTGGGGGGAAACGAGGCTGATCCCACCATACGAGAATGGGATACATCGACCTGGGAGCAGGTCCTTAATCCATGGAAGGGTCATTTTAAGGATATCCATGCCATTGCTCTGAACTCTCGCGGTACTCTTCTTGCTTCCGCATCTTATGACAATCGTGTCCGCCTCTGGAGACTGTCAGATCGACGAAACATTGCCGTATTCAAGCACTCTGGGGAGGTGAACTGCGTCACGTTCTCTGCGGATGGCAAGCACGTCCTCAGTGGAGGTGTGGATAAAAAGATCTCAGAGTGGCCAGTATCTGAGGATGCTTTGCCAGAGGATAGCTCGAATGATGGCCTCATGAAGGAGCAGGCGACACAAGTACGTTTGTACTCATATTCCCGCCCATTCATCATCTAAGCGCGTTTTTTATGCCAAGGCTCAAGCCTACTCTGATTTCAAGGCATGTTCCCACCCTTGATTCTTATAACGCAACGTGAACATGATTGCGCAGGTCCTCGTTATGAACTCGACAGTCCGCAATGCATGCATAGCTAGGGACTGGCCTACCGCCGAAAGGGCGCTAAATCTAGATATTTACACTGATGCCAACGATCACACTGCCTATGCAAATCGCGCATTTGTTATGGCGCGAAAATACCACTGGGACCAAGCACTTCATGACGCAATTCAGGTGAGGCTGACTGACGCATCATGACCTCTTTACAAAAGTTAACTGTAATGATGGTATAGTCTGTCACCATTCAGCCATCGTTGGCGGGCCATATCTCCAAGGGCATTGCCCTTTGCGGGAAAAAGCAGGTTTTGGCCGCGAGAATATCATTTGACCTCGCATCCATGTTCACGAACCGAGATTTAAAGACTGATCACTTCTTGTTCTTGATCAAGGCAGGCAATATTTTTTCTTCAATACTCCGTGCTTCATCGTGGTTTTTAGGCCATCGCGTTATTCAATGCAAATGAACATCAAGAGGCCATGCTTCGCATCCGAGAGCTATCTGCTTGCCCCAATGTCGATCATATTGTTTGTCATGTTGTGGAAGTGAGTACCATGTATTCCATCACACCAGGTTCATATGTTGTCATTAATTCTTGCCCTTCGTACACAAGGCCCACCTACGCGTCCAATTGGGAAACATTGCCTTGGAGGGTGCACGGCACAGCGAAGCTGTTGAATACTTCACTGCCGCTGTCAATGCTAGTGCTTCCTTTTACAAATTGCCAATTCATTTGTTGTACGATGAATTCGTCGTGGTACGCCTACATGACACAAGGGAAAACTATTTCGTGCTCAACTGCAACTTTCCAATAGCTCTTTGGCTGGGACCTCAAGTCGTTGTGGCAAACTGCGCACCAGCAACAGTGTTGTGCATTCTTTCGAGCAGGTAGTTTCGGAACAGCCATCGAATCATATCAGTCCATCATGGATAAGATTGATGAGGATCTGAAGGCTGATTTGCGTGCTTGGTTCGCTGGTGAGTATTCGGTAGTGTCTCCTATCTCTCCGTCTATAGTCAACAACTGTACTTCACTCAGCTCTCAAGTAAGATCGAAACGCGCTCTATGCTTCCCACGGAGACGATGCGCTTGCCGTGAGCGGTTGCTCATATAGTTTGAAACAGGGATCCTCTAGTTTTCATTCATACCTTGACGGTAGCTGTGTTGCTCAAATAGTCCTCGGTGCGCATATCATAATATATTGGCTTACTTGAACATGTTTACCCTATATTTCCAAGTATCTTTACTTTCACTTGAAATCACTTCTGAACATTGTCTCGTGCGTCTGTTTTGACGTTTCAGGCTGTGAGATAAACCGTCCAGTGATGGCTGCTGTAGGTTTGCTCATATCTGTTCTCCATCACGTGCAAACCTGCCAATCTCTATGTAAGTTGTCTAGGCAGGGGGAACGAAATGAACTTACTTTAGCTGCATCGACAAATACGTAGCTCAGAGCTTGACGAGCCCGTTCGTTCCATGTTCAAGTGGTATGGATCTCACGAGTGTGCATCATCTACCTTGAGAAGTCGAGCGGAAGACCTGGAATAGGATGAGCTGCTTTTAAAGGAATGGAGTCTACAAGGGCTCTCTCCCGACACGACATTTGATTCTATAAATGGGATGGACGCTGCTCACCAACGACAAAACGACGAAAACGGTGATGAATCGTGATCGCTGTCTCCGAAATCACTAGTATCCTGACCAATGATCTCGGGAACGCACAATCTGAGGGAACGCCTCTCATGGACATCCCATAGGTCAACTATTCGTAAGCAAGACGTGCCCGATTCCTCGAGTGGGATTTTAACATCAGCCTCCATCACATCCGGAGGTAGGAGCCTTCCATCGATTACTCAAAGTGAGCCAAAATGCTATTGCAACCAGAGCCATGCATGTCAGATGGACTCGAGGGGATAAAAGCTATTCGTCACGACGAACCATGGTATGCGCCTGAAGATCATGGCGTAATGTGAAGGTGATTTGAGACTCTAACAACTTCTACCGCTTCACGTCACAAGCACCTTCATAGAAAGATGTGATTTTGGATGTGTTGCCCTTGGATTCACCAGTACTTTGATGATCTCACAAAAAATGACTTAGAACCATGGGTCGCTGTTCGATTGCAGCGTTGTCCTCGGCATTTTGGATGGCGAAATCGAAGGGATACAGGTCGTAATCTGCGTTATCCTCTATAACCGGCACACGGAGAATGTCTAGGAGAAGATCACGACGAAGTGGCTTATCAGAGTCGAGTTGAACATGCAACGACAGCCAAACCAGCTAGGGATGAGGAAAACAAAGGGTTAATTTTTGGCGGCCACATAGAAGAATTGTCAAGCAGACGGAGACAGGAACAACAGAAGTCCATATCGAATAACGGAGATACTGTAATATGGTCAGCACAGCAAACTGTCTGTGATCCAGATGTTAATTCATGGATGATTCTCCATATGAAAGTGAGACATTCATTTCATTCGTTCGTCAAGTCTAGGATCTACAGCGGTTGAGAAAAATGATGAACTTCAGCAGTACAAGGGGACCAAAAATGACAAGCTATCCTACCCATACTATGCATCGGTACCAGCGGATCTCCACCATCGTACATGTCCATCCTGTCCACCACTGATGAATGCACCCGCGGTGCCAGGAGCGGGTGGTTTGGGGGACCAAGCAATGCTCCATACCTCGCCACTTTCCTGAAGCGTCGAGACTGCTGCGCGTGCCGACAAGTCCCACACCTTGATCGTTTTGTCAGCAGACCTAGCGAACAAGTATTATTAGAGTTATGTCTGATAGAACATGATGTACCCTGATGCGGCCAGACGTCCATCTGGTGATATGCTGGTGCTCAGCACCCAAGAGGAATGTCCCGTAAGTGTGGCTACCGCTCCAGAACCTGGTTTTCCGGATGGAGTTGAGCGCACATCGTGAAGAATCAGGCGTTTGTCATCAGAGGCTGTCAGTAGCAACTGGACGCCGTTCACTTAGGCTACTTTCCCTTGATAGATTGATGAAACGAACCTGGCCGTCGGATGACCATGCCAATGATCGCACACACATGGCATGTGAAGAATAGGTTGATGTCAAAGCCTGTGATTCCAAGTCAAATATGAAGACTTGGCCAGCTTCATTCGATAATGCTACTTGAGTACCATCTGGACTCTAATCAAAAATGATTTGTTAGTTCTTGCGAGCGTTCTGGGGGGTTTCGGAATTCGGAGGATTGCTATTTTGAATAAGATAAACTCACATGCACACAATCCATACCGTGTCTACTCCTACCACTTGTCAAGACCGCTTGTCGTGTTCCGAAAGAGTCAGGGTTCGCAGAGTAGATATTCACGTTTCCAGTGCTGCTTGTGCCCGCATACGTCGCTCCATTCGGATTGAGTGACACGGACCAGGCTGCGCACATGCAACATCATGAGAAATTATGCTTTCTTAGAGTCCGTATAACTCACAAGGCTCGGCGCCTTGCACTGCAGACCGGTCGTAGCTTTCATGACGCCCGACCACTGTATCAGCCTGGAGATCCCAAAGACATGTTGTACCGTCGAGACCATTGTACAGCGCGAACTTCCCGTCAGGTGAGACCGATAGAGAAACTATGGCAAGGTTGTGTGGCGGACGCGACATCGACACCTGTCCAGAGGCGGAATCCCACTGCTTCACTGTGCCATCAGCTGATGCCGATACGGCCGTATTATTGGCTGTCCATGCCACAGCCCAGATCTCGTCACTGTGCGCTGTAAACGATGAATTTAATGAAGCCTGCCTAAAGGTTGTAACACTCTGGCGCGTACGTTCTTTGCACTCAAGCGCGTTGACGAATGCGAGACTCTAGCAAATTTTGTAATCTAACTGCTATGCATCAGAGAACGCGAACAAACCATATCCGATTGCCTTTGTGGTGGATGATTAGGTGCAAGAATGTAAGGCCAACATCAATCACATCAGGTCAAATGGAATAACGGCTCTTTCCGAGCGGACTTTAGATGCACACAAAACCTTGTTAGTGGCCGAAACCTTATTTTTCCTCACATCAACGAGAGCGGACGAAGACATCGCAAATATTCTGTAAACTAATCCCAAAAGTATGTTTGTCTATAATACTAATCAGTCGTCTATCTGATTGTGCAATAGGATGTCTGACGCTGGAGATGAAATTCAAGTCGACGCCCCGGCTGAGGTCGAGGTCACTACCGAGGCTCCAAAGGGAAAAATGTCCGTCGAGGACGCTCTTCAGGTATGCAGAACTTGAGTCCTGTAGTCATGTTTCATCAATCCTCACCTTTGATCGCGTAGCAAGTCCTGAAGAATGCCCTTGTTCGTGACGGTCTCGCTCGTGGACTCCGCGAGTGCGCCAAGGCATTGGACAAGCGCCAGGCCCACCTGTGTGTGCTTGTGGAGACCTGCTCAGAGGCTGAGTACATCAAACTCATCGAAGCACTCTGTGCAGAGCACAAAATCAACCTGATCAAGGTCGGAGACGGCAAGATCCTGGGCACATGGGCAGGTCTTTGCAAGATTGACAAGGAAGGCAATCCCCGCAAGGTCGTGGGCTGCTCTTGCGTCGTTGTTAAGGACTATGGTGTAGAGAGCGAGGGTCTCAATGTGCTCCTTGAATACTTCAAGAACCGGTAGGGTGAGTACAATTTCAACTTTCGTATCACGATGACAAGACAGACTCCCTCAACGGAGAATCCGTTCGATGAGGAAATAGTCTAACCGGAATCATTATATCGTCTGATCGTTATTCGTGTGATTGCTTGAAACCTCATCACTGACTAACATCCATCTATCCTACAGATTATTTCGTACCCTTGTCCATCATTCACGTACATCTGCCAATAAATGATCCCCTCAGTACCTCACGTGTTTGATGACTGATTGTTTCTTATCGTCTAACTTCCGCCGTGGTTGGATGTACATATACCGCGTGTGATTCTTTCCCTCCGACCAGATACCTAAGATTTCACACATGCAGCCGTGCTGCATTAATGGTTCACCCCAAGTATATAGTTTAAGTTTCACCCAAACAGACCTTTAAATGTGTATTCAACCGAACGTAAATTGTAGTCTCCAAGATTTGAAACTGTGTTATGAGTTGGACATAAACTGCGTTGACGGCCGGAGGTATTAGTGGAATCACGAGCGTTAACTCCGTGTACATGATGCTTTCCCGGGTCAGACTTATATAGGCAAACTCCCCAGAGTTTCAGCTCCTTAAGAGGTCATGGCCTCCCCAAAACCTAATGCTCGAGCGTCTCATAAGGCTGCCATGTCGCGAACCCCATCATATATCCAATTTGCACCCCGCCGTGCGATGGCGTCCTTTGAGAATCTGGTCGCACTCGCAAACCACCAAGAACGACTCCGGGAAGCTCGAAGGATTGTCTGGAGGGAGCGCGGAGAGCCCGCTGTTGAGCTTGAAGACCTTTGGGAGTGTGTAGAGCACGCGGGGCGTGGAGGATTAAGTGAGTTATCATTTGGCATACAGATACTCACGGTGGTATGTGTTGTTTATATTTGACATGTAGGAGCTGCAGCTATCGCTTTTGCTCTCCGTGCAAGCGTGAATCTTGTGCTGGCAACTATACGAATGGGAAAGGTGCCAAAGTGAGTTAGGGCTGGAGCTTAACTCACATCCCTGATCGACTAAGTTGTGCAGGAATATGAGGCTCTCACTCATTCAACATGCGATCTTTGGAAAGGACTCCTTTAGATTCGCGGCCATGCTTGGTGAGCCAATAGATGCCATAGTGTCTTTTGCAAGCCTTTTTTATAGTTTGGATAGGCTCCTTTGTGACTATTTACAAGGCAACACTCAATGCTCTCCCCATCTTCCTTCCTGTCGATGAATGTGCAAGCCTACACTCACCATTTGAGAACGAAGATCAAGATATCGCAGCCCCACCAACGCCTTTCGAGGTTCCCCTCTCAGACAGACAACCGCGCCTTTCCTTGAGTGCTCAAGCACATCAAGTGTGGGTGCGTAAGAAGACGCGAAGATGGTACTCTATGTTAGCTGGTGCTCTGGCCGGTGGTCTCGCTGTTATGTTTGAAAAGCGATCAAGAAGAGTGGTCATCGCACAACAACTCTTCGTTCGGTAATTTACTCTATCTTCATGATCGTGCAGTGATTCATTCAAAAATGATGTCTAGAGGCTTACAAGGTTCATATAACGTGTTCACGTCGAAGCACGGTTTCCATCTACCCAATGGAGAAGTGCTCATGTTTTGTCTTTGGTATGATCTGTGCATCATGGTAGAAGTCTTGGTTTTGACGTGTGAACAGCTGTACACAAATTGTGTACGCGTTATTTTCACGACCAGACACACTCCCGCGATCATACACCACATGGTCAGTCGACCAAAAATTTTGCAGCGTATTTTTAAAATAATTTTTTAGGCTTACAACTGCGTCGGGTGCTTCATCAAACGCGATTAAGATAGTTCAAGACATGAACCAAACTCGGACGTTTGACATACAGGACATCAACAAGATCCTCGATCACGAGGTGGGTTTTTGTGCTGACTCTTCTCACCACATTCTTATTTGCTTGACAGGACATTATCCCCGAAAATAAGGTCGCTCTTCTTGCTAGAAAGGCGCTGGCTACCAATTCGCCCCCTGACTTTGGCCCCCACCCTCCCTGTAGCGCCGTGCACCCCTGGGTAGAATCGTGTACACACGTGCCGCTACCGCGCTTTGTCACAGTGTTCAAATGGGCCTTCCCAATCTACGGTGCTCTGCATTTTGTCCCGATGGTATTGTTCAAGCGGCATGCATTCTTTAAGAACCCATTACAGAATCTTGGACGTGCAGGATGGGCTACAATACGGAGTTCTGCGTTCTTAGCAACTTTCATTGCTACGTTCCAGAGTATGTATTTCCGCCGTTTCTTTGTCTCTGCACGACATTTGACATCTCCTTGTAGCATGGGTCTGTTTCAAGCATTACCTTTACCGGATGCTGTCCTCCCAAACTTTAGTCAAGCTCCCACAGAAATTGATCGACTTATTTCTTTTGTCGAAGTATTCCTATGGACTCGGTGGATTTTTTGGTGCGCTTTCGCTCCTTGTCGAGGAAAAGCGGAGGCGAGGAGAGCTCGCGATGTATGTCCTACCGAAGGGCATGGAAAGTGCCTGGTTGACGGCAAGAGGCAAGGGCTGGGTATTTCACACCGGTCAGTTTGGGGAGATGATTGTAAGTGAAGCGCTCAATACGTGTTAGATGGACGTGCTGACTGACATGTGCTAGCTCACTGCGATCGGAATGAGTATGGTTATGGTGAGTGGGAGGTTGCTATATCATTCTAATCGTCCTAATCTTATTTTTACGACAGTCCAGAGCATTTATCAGGTGACTTTGATTCTGTCCATGGCAAGGAATGCTCTAAACATGCATCTCTTATTTTGCAGAATGACCCTCAGCATCTGTCTGGGCTTGTAAGGCGGATATTGTATCAGTTCATCGGACCTAACTAAGCGAGATCGCTTATATCCTATTGGGAGAAATTGTTTGAGCTGTCATACCACTGGAAACGCACCAGGTCGCATTAATCGTCGTTATACTCGTTCGAGGTCGTGATAACCAAGACTCTATTTTTTGACGAGAACGACACATTATCCCATTGATGACAACCAGACTCGGGAGATAATACCAAACAAATTGAAAGGATCGTACGTGCTGTATACGTTCACGTAAATATATAGCTCGGCAGTAGTCACGGACTGAAAAATGCTCCAAGTCCCTACCAGAGGCAACAATCAAGCACCCGCCCTGTCCTATGCCTTTTCGCAAACTCGTCTTCACTCATACGGCATTGCTTGCTGAGAAGCATGCGCGATTGTGCTGGAAATCTGGTTGATCGGAGACATGGGGTGAATGAGAGTCCAAGAACGAAACCAGATCGTCCGCAATGACTCGATGCATCGCACTCGTGGGACGAAGCCGATCTACCCATATTGCGCCCCCAGCTTCACTGATGTCGTTGGGATCAAACCCAAATGCGTTTGGATCATCCAACACGCGCGAAAATGAGTCCCACGAGGAAAAGAGGAAGGTGGTGACGTCTGGATGGGTTTTAGTCCAGCTTTGGAGTTCTTTCTCTAATGTCTCGTTCCATGTCTGATACTGTTCCATCACGCTAGCGATATCGTCGCGCACTGTTCTTTGGAGTGAATATGTGAACCACAGCAGAAGATGCGATCATACCTGAGGGCGATCGGTGGATCGGAGGGAGGTCGAATAACAGAAAATTTCGAGCTCCCGAGGCGTATAGTCTCTCTTGGTACCGGAAAAGCCCTTTAAGGGTGTTAAACACGCCATCGATATCTTCTATGAGGCTGAGGAAGAGTATCGATCAGTTTATAATCAAGATAGCAGGATATGACCTTACGCGAGATCATTAATGCCAATCCAGGTCACTATCGTAGATCGACGGAGATGCCGTCAGAGAGACAACGTATGGGTCTCAAGAACACTCACTAAAGAGTGTATCTTGTGGCTCCCATGGGGCTGATGATGGTTTCTTCGCGACATTTGGAAGGAACTGGTATATGATCTGTCTCTCTAGGGAAGACACAAAGTCGTTTCCCCTGGCATAGTCGTACACCAGCTTAGATGAACGCGATTTGACCAGATGTCCAACCCAGTTCGGCTTTCCAGGCTCTGTGTATGTTACCCCGGGATAAGTCACTCCCAGGGGGCTCTTGATCGTCGGATGGGGAGATGATTGGTAGTCCCAACGAATGCTGCTATAAGAATCGCCACTGAATGGATCAAATCAGTGTTATAGGAGCTCGTTTAGTCGATAGGTGGATGTGGGCGTACAATATGATCAAATACTGGATCTTGCTGAAACCATGCCATGTCTTCCCCGCCTGGATGATAGTCGAGGGCATCGTGCAGTTGAACCGGGTCACTGTTAATGTTGTTCAAGGAGACAAGGAACAAATATCTCTCTTACCTGCCTATAAATTATGGAAAAATCCTCGTGTATTCCGCGCTTTGGCGGCACAAGTACTGCTCCACAAGCATGTTTCGACTTGACAGTTGAAAGGCTGGAGGTTCCCCACCCGGGATTCAAATGAGTACCCGGGATTCCCCAACCCTAAGGCCTACTCTCGTGATTTCATGTTCAAGTTTTACTTTTCACCACAACCCAATTGGTGGAATGGAAGGAAAGGAGTCCCCTGAACGCGTAAATCCATCGAGTCCTTCTACTTCCCAGACGGCGTCTGGAGTATTCTCACACTTCCAGCCATACGCACGATCCAAGTTTAGTCTTTTGCATATCACCGTGTTGTTCTGGCACATTAACCTATTGATTTAATTTTGAAGGGGGCCTATTCTTGGTCTGGGGACATTATGTACGTGTCAAAAGTGTTTACTTCACATCATCACTATCTGATTTTCTTTTGAAATGGATAGTTGCAGCTTCAGCCGTCATTCCATCCACTGTCGTTCGTCCAAACGTTTACTTTCCTCCATATCTCCACCGGGTCGGATTCTCCCTGGTTTTTGGCGGAGCCGCGTATGTCTTAGCGGCTGGTGACGCAAGGAACGGCAGTGGAATAGCTACTGGTGAGTTCTCGCCTCACTCCTTAATTCAAATATGATGTGCATACACCGCGGCAGCTTGGTCATTAACATACCTCTTCCTGCATCTCCGACGATCTCTAAAACCACCAATTTATCCAATAACACTGGCACTGACAGCAGGTACAGCTGCATGTGCGGCTTTGTACGGCACAGAATACTTCATGTACCAGACCTAAGTCACAGAACTTATTTTGATACTTGGCTCTTCTGATCGTCCTTACGCCCAGTATCTGCGCCACGACAGACAGGCATGTCTGTGGAGTTACCAAAATTATGGGTAATAATAAACATTTTATCTACCTCGTGTTCTCAAGTCAGGTCTGCCCACGATCATGAACGGACGGGATCAACCGCTTGCGACCCATTTCAAATTATCAGGAAAGTATATTTGGAAATGGAAGGTACAGCTTAGATGCTCGAGCTCGAGGTGGAGAGCTAGAGAAGGGAAGCTTGAAATGCCAATTTTCCGAGGACGTTGGAGCGATCCGATGTAACGATCGTCCCGGGCCCAAGATGGACAAATCATGATTCTTCGAGACAAGCTTTGAATCTGACTCGCAGACCTCATTGACGTCAGTCTTGCAAAAATAAATTCGGATCATAGGTCCTTGCCTACACCCAGCAGCCATGCCTAGGGTGGCACATCAGTGTATGTGACGATCACGCAAAACTACGAACTGGAACAGGTTAGAATACTTACGAGTCCCATCAGTACAGGGAGTTGAACATCAAAACGCTCGCCACTGTAGCACTCTTGAACCAGCACCAGTTGCTCGGACAGCCTAGCTAAACCAGATACAGCCAATGGGTTGTGGCAAGACCAAGTGTTATGATATCGATGTGGCGAATCGAGTGAATCGGGGATGTCATCCATCACCGGCACCATCCTATATGATATCAACGTGTACATGCGCTTTACACCGTGGGGTTCATCACAAGACGCAACATGGTTATGGTCTTCCCTGAAGTGCGGTACTTGTGTGTGGAGTACTGGAAATGGTCCGGTTTTGAAACGCTCGCGTCTGCGCTCAAGCAAACGTGTGTAGCCTTGCGTGATGAATCTAGCGGAATTGAAGTGGATACTTGATGGAAGACATGGGATGCGTAGTCAGCATGCGTGCTGTTGATAAAAGGACGAGACATATTCCAAAGAGTGTAATGAATATCTGATACATGTTTACATAATAAGACAACGCCTGCAACAATTCAAAATGAACTACCTTCGAAAGAGTGCTAAAAGCAGAAACATGAGAGGCGGCCTCCATGCTCTCCAGATGTAACATTACTCGGCCTTGCCGTGGATTGAGGTTGTGAATCGGGGGTCGGTGAAGGAGGAGGAGAGACATAGTCTTCATCAAGGATAAAACCATCATCATTCTTAGCGGGAGTACCCGCTGCAACGTTGCGCTGTAAATGGACGTATGAGACCTGCAATACAGTAAAAATTTGACCGAGTATACCTCTCTACCCTGCGCGAGAGGAACATTGACGATAGGCAACCGGGCCGATAATTGGCGCATGCGGGCTTTGAAGTTAGTGGGAGTCGCAGTAGTTGACTGGGAGGCAGGCGGTAGTGATGCAAATCGAGGCTGAAAACGTGATTACGACAGTGAACACTCGCATTCTCGCCAGAATCCATCTATGAACGCACCTGAGTCGTGGCCTGCCCCGAGGGAGAGTAATTTGAAGGGAGGGGCAACGTAGCAGGAAACTACAAGGTGATCGTCAAATCGACTGCGAAGGCAACAAGTGAGAAACATACGTCCAGTGGATCGCGAGGCTCGTGGTTCCGAATAGGACGGAGTGCGTCCGTGCTGGAGGAAGAAGGGAGAAGTTTGCGAAGGTAGTGAAGAAAAGTGGGTCGCTGTGGGTATATTGTAGGCAGAAGTGGCGGGATGGGAATAGGAGCTCTGATGGGGTTATGGCGCAAGGTGCGCTGTGGATTGCGAAGTGTATTGATCTACAAGAATATGTTAGCGCACGAACGGGTAGATATATGCGCCTGAATGCATACATTGGGCTGTGCTTCTTGCGCAGGCCATATACTGACAAGGATGTTGGATGGAATGTCGCATATGTAAATCCTGGACTTTAAGTCGCACCAAGTCGTGTAAGCCAGTTGATGTGAGTTCGGTGAGAGGATGATACAGTGTGGTTCCTGAACGTAGAATGAAGCGAGGAGTTGGCGCGACTTGAAAGCCCAGAGCTTGATGGTGTTGTCTTGGGAAGCGCTAGCGAGGAGATCACCATCAAATGAGAGTGCTAGACCTGTGACAATCAAGGTGTGTCCTTTGAAGGGGACTCCAACAATCTTCAGTGTTGATGCGTCGAACTCGTGGATTGTTCGGGGGGATTCAAAGTCGATATCCGAAACTGCCGAGTAATTGAAGGAGAATGCGGCTATGATGGTTTTGTCCCCTGCTGTCCAAAATACTGGCGCACATGTCCAGATCCCACCATTGCCTGATTTCCCCACTCTGGCATCCAGTTTCTGTGTATGTACATGCAAAATGTCGAGGCGCGTCCCAAAAAGTGACTTGACTGCCAGCTTTTTGGAGTCTCCTGAGAATCGAACAGCGCCCACATCATTACGAGATGCATCACTTTTGAATGGACCGGCCACAAGTTTGCCAGTGTCCAAGCTCCATATACGCGTGGAATCCTCTGACCCGCTCGCCAGCAAAGTGGTGTCCGCGGAGATATCGATGCAGGTGATCTTATTTGAGTGCCCTTCAAATGTTTTAACAATCCCAGTCTCGACCTCGCAGGCTCGGAGCTTCCCATACTTATCCTTGTAATTATTTTCTCCACCAGCAGCGACGACCCATCGACCATCCCTTGATACCTCCACCGCATCCACCTTCCCCTCCCAAACATCCCGCACCTTCTCAATTTCTTTACCCACTTGTAGATCCCATTGCCGAGCAGTGCTGTCCCAAGATCCACTCATCATTTTCTGACCGTCCGGAAAGTAGGAAATGGATGAAACATGGTGCAGGACATCTGTGTATTGCTCGCCTTCCGAAGGTTTATAACCCTGCAACGTCATGACTGGAGTCAGAATCGATCTGTTTGTTGCGTTGACGGGCTGTGTCAAGCTAGAAGCCATGGCTGATCTCTTTAACGGCGAGATTGACAAGTACTAGAGCGCTTATGAGGCTGGGGAATTCAGGACCAATGGTAAGGTATAGTGGCCCCCGACGTTGATGGTGAAGTCTGGCTCGTCCAAGCGCTCCAGCACTTTCCCTGTTAAAATCTATCGTCAGTTCGGGGTGCTCAGATATCGAGTTTTTATCTTACCAGGAGGTAATCAAAGAAGAGATAACAACTATCCAATTGATAGGCATACGTACGCCACATCTTTATATATATGCTTCTTCCTGTACTTCATGTAACCCATCATGCAATCTATTCATATCGATCGACGTCGAGTGATACATATCGCGTTTGTATCAATTTCATGCAATAGCACCTTCAGCTTTCAAGCCCTCTTCCAGCGACGCTAATGATTGGTATCTTCAAGTTTTATCTCTGGTTGGATTGGAAGCAAAACGTGAAATGCGACTCCGTGCAATAGACTAGGGATGTGGTTCTTGAGGACGATGAGCAAGTCACAAGGTTGATCATCGTGGGTGTCGATTTCGAGAGGCGACATTTGAAAGCTTGGGTAAGCGAAGTTTATCTGGTCTGGTACATCATCTGAGACTAGTTTACCCTTGTGTACGCCATCTGTGTGTGGAATCAAAGATCAAAAGTCAAAAATAATTGATATTCACCAAGTCTTCCCTCATCCATCTTCTCCCTAGTGTCTTACATGTTGTCTCTTATCGTCATATAAAAGTTTGAACGTGTCGTAGAAACAACATGATTGATACTCCGACGACCCGCAATACGAAACTGCTCCCGGACCCTTGCTTTGACCGCGGACTTTTGTGACACTGATCTATTGTTCTCTGGGTACAAGCATGCATCGTACATTTAAGCTGTGGATGCCACCCACAACAGCCACAATACGCGAACAAACTTACAGCACTACAGCTCCTTTTCCAACCTAGATCCCCAATACCATATCTTTCCATCATAGTATCCGTGTTTTAGAGACTACACCGCGCAAAATGAACGAAGCACTCCTTCCTCACGCTGCCCACTCATCCAACAACCTAATCTCAGCTCCAAGTCAAGAGAACCTCTTCATGGATGAAACTACACTTGGCAAGCTATCTCGTGCACAGCTACAAAAGGTAGCTAAGGTGTGTCTCGCGTATTCCTGTCTTGAATACCAGCAACTGACCTGAAAATAGGCTCATGGAGTAAAAGCGAATATGAAGAGCGTGGTAATCATTAGAGAGTTAGTGAAACTCGGCAAGGCTGTTCCCCTACTGTTTGTGCTTCATCTTTGATGCTATAAATGGTCCTGATAGTCGTTCAGTCAAAATGAAGAGAGCGGAGAGCCACCGAAAAAAAAGTTAAGGACGACAGAGGAGGGGCATCCAGCAGCCGGTCCTTCAACACGAAACACGGACTTACCTATGGATACAAGTTGTGAGTGTCATACCTCGCGTCGCAGTACACGAAACCTAACCCTTGGCCAGCTGATCCTCCCATCATCGAGGAAGATTCCCCTACATCCGTCCTGATTCTGGCAGCAGAAAACAAGACACCTACAAAAGAAACCAGACATACTGGTGCTCCTGACAATCGAGCGGGAAAGTCGCCAAGTCTTTCGCCGTTAGTGACAAGTCCCGATGAGCACCCAGCAGTGGATGGTGAATCCAGTGATTCTGGTGATTCCTACTTATCCTACGGAAGTCCCAGTCAACAGAAATCCCCTGTCAGCTCGCGTGCAGGAACTCCTCCTCCCGAAGAACCACAACTACTCAGCCGGGCTGTAGACACCATGAAGCAGATCACAGCCGACGATCAACGCATTCTCGTCCAGGCCGCCGCTCTCCGCAAGAGAGCAGCGGGGTTGAAAGAGCAGGCGAAGAATGTGCGAGATGTCGTGCGCGCCGAGCAGGGACGCCGAGTGAGATTGGAGGCCTACTTCACGTACTGGAGGGAGATTGAGCCCAAATGGCCAAAAGATTGGATCTACGGAGAAGGCGAGGAGGATCAGATCCAGACTAAGCGAGTGCTGAAGACTATGACGCCACCGTATGTGCTCTGCTGTCCTTGACTTACGCATATTTCTTACCACTTTCGTTGATAGGCTACCGTCAACAGGACCGACAGGCCCACCTACCTTGTCTTCTGACGGAAGAGACGCACCGTGAGTTTTTGCTCGCATTTTGTCTGTCAAACTTAGCTGACGATGACTATCAGAAACTCTCATAGAGAATTGAGAGGACCTCAACTTCGGCCACAACAGGAGGCTCATGAGCAGGAAAATGGGGCAGTTGACCCTCCTGCAGAAGTCGAGCAACCAGGTGAACGCGCCAATTGCCTGCCCTCCCCGCAGTTTACAACCGACGGAAGAGCGGAAAAACGAAAACATTGTACTTGAATCGTTGACGATTGATATTTCGAGCTTGATCTACTGTTGCTACCACTTTACCCTCCGTTATGATATATCCTGTGATAATGTGTATCACTCACAAGTCGTGTAATTGTTATACCTCACTGATTGAATTTGATAGTGACGCCTGCCTGTCCATCTGCTATTGGACTCGGGACCAGCTTGCGTTCCCCGGTCTAGTTTGTGCTCCACAACCTGTTCAGCAGCGGTCAGAAAGAAGGTGATGGCCACAAGGGCGTCCCGGTAATAAACCAGAGATGATGCTCATCTGCCACAGGCTCGTCGTGGCTGAGGCACTCGATACTTATCCGTGATATCATCTGTGAATACGTAGAGTCGGGAAGACAACGTAGTGATGCCAAGAGACGAAGGAAGACCGAGCTATTTGAAACTTATTCTCATTGGGCTTAAATATAAATTTCTGAAGGTACTAGAGCAACAAAGGGAGGACTTATGACAAAGGTAGCTCCCGTAGCAAGGGCGACCTTGATGGAATAATGGAAATCAAGGAACAAAGGGAGGACCGTCATCACCCGGGCCGAGTGACTGTCATTCGTACCGTACATATTATGTCGGAGTTGAGCCATAACTGCAAAGTACTGATCACCCTCTAGCTGCACGACGATCGACCTGCAATGACTCGGAACCATCGCCGACATCCATCCCCATTATTAATTTCATATGAATTTTCCGATATCCAGATTCCATATCAGCGTAGGTTTGTGGATCATCCGTGCGGAAAGTTCGTATAAGAATTTAAATACCTTGTCGTCTATAATAGACTCCTCGACATTCAATATTTCCTGTAAATAGCTCTACAGAGAAGGGTGAATCAGGGGTGAGTAAGCGCAGTGAGACGGAACAGAGACATACCAATGAAGAAGGAAGTTTGGATGGCTGCATACAATTCAATGTAATACAAACATGTCAGAGTGAAAGATGGAAGCTCTGAGTTTATGAGACGACAGCTTGGACTACACCATAAGAGATGGGCACACTGGCAGTCGGAGATGGTGCCTGTACTGTTCGTAGTTGTTTGTTGCTCTGGTGTCTAGCATTTATAAGATGTTCACAGTCGCGTTGCGATATTCAATGATCGGGATAAAAGCCGCTCAACTATAAAATCAGCCTCAGACTATGAATAGAGATAAACACGAAATATCTCATACCCAATGAGGCAAAGTACGTGAGCGTAGAGATAGCAGGGCCCTCTGCGAGGTAAGACAATAGAGTGACGGTAAATTTCTGGTAGTTGCCAGTAGGGGGCTCGTGGGTTCGGGCGTCCAAGTGTTTGCATAGAGAACAGATTCCGACCCGTCTGCAGGGTCGGGGCACAAGCCGTTCACGCAACTATCGATCGCTAAGGCAATGCCAACCTGATGCCATGGATTCCTAGTAGTACAGCATCCTTCAGAGTGACACATGAAACTGAGAAAGAAAAAACCTAGTACTAACCGGTTGAATAACCTGACCGGGGTAGAAGTTACAGTATCTCCATTCTGAGGGAATCCTAGCTCGATTGTCTGAGCCAAGGTAGTATAACTCCCTGCAGTAAAGATGGCTATGCACTTGAAGAGCATGTAAACGGGAATTTGACTGTAAGGTTTTTGAAAGGCAGTTTGTAGGTCGGTAAATCAGTTGGACAACTTTATACCCTGGAGGTAAGGTTGCAATGTCGGCATGGAGTTTCAAATGATACACACACTAGGTCACGCATTGGATCATCGGACAGTTGGGGGGAGAATAATGCTTCATCCGAGTGCACGGGTACCTCAGGTTAGCCTGGGTCTGAGGCTATCGTGACAGTCAAAGCTCGCCGCCGGGTGTATCCAAACAGGGAAGTATAGGCCTGGCCTATGGGCTCGAGGGCAAGGTCGGACCCAATCGCTGCTTTTCAATTAAGAATCTGTACACAGGAGAATCCAATTTCCGTCACAGAAGAATCGTAGGACCCGCGATATGACGAAGTGGGCTATGCTACTTCCACTCACGCAGGAAGAGATGCAGGGCAAATACAGGGACAACGAAGTTGCAAAACAGCCTTCGTATCCGGCCCAAAGCGCACCAATCTTGGATTCGCATGTGCTCGAACAAGGATTTGATGGGGACCGAAGACCGCGCTGTGGTGGTTGATTAAGTCATGTAAATTTAGGCTCTGAGAGCCTGGATTTCCAAATTCGGCATGACGTATGTAGATCGTACGAACTATCATAGCATCATAGCATGTATGTATCATATGTACATAGTATCCATCATAGCTTGTATGTCACAATATAGACGTGAGGATGAAGCAAAGATATCTACAAAGAAAAGAAAGAATCTAACATATCATTCATCGACTGGCCCGAACTTGACGCGTCGTACGTCGCCTATACAGGATTCAAACAAATCGCATAGTCAACAGTTTCTCCAACGATCTTGTCGAAATTCTTGGCGAACTCGGCAGCTTCGAAGTTTAAGACAAACTCATTAAACTCCTCGACCCAAGACAAATCTGTAGTCTCGCCGAGACTGTCATTGGACTCGTTCAACATCTCGCTCCGAGTTAAAGCGCCAGAGTCCTTAATATTGTTGACGAAAGGACCCAACTGCGCGTTTGAAGAACCTTCGCAAGACCCTTGAGAACTCTTGTCGGTATCTTCCTGGTTCATGGAACAAAAGTCCTCGATATTGGCAAAGTCCCAATCGCTTTCACTAGTAAGGATCCATATATCAGCTTCAAAGTCGCATCTGAAAGCACTACAGCACTCACGCTTCGTCATCTTCTGAGGATTGCAGCCAGGGGTGCTTCATCGACCTCATATGATCTTGTATGCCAGCGCGTGGCACTGCAGGTACATTTTCGCACTGTGGCATGCAGCATCTGTAACAGACCTCGCCATTTTTCTGGACGAGTTCCTGATGAAACAACTGTCAGCATGATGACGAAAACTGAACACAAAAAAATCGACTCACGAAATCGTAGTTGTCAAAAGTTATGAGTTGCTTCTTTCGTGGAGGAGCATCAGAATCATCCAAGTCCTCCGCCTTGCGCTTGCCGCGCCTGACAGCACTTTCCTCGGGGGCAGCTACTGGTGCTTGTTGCTGCGGTTGCTCCAATGGTTGGTTGTAGGAGGGTTGTGCCAAGGGGGGTGCGACAGGATAGTAAGGCGGCGCAGCCGCCGGAGGTGCACCCATACCCTGGAAAGCGGGGGGATAGCCACCCCAGTGCTGGGGGGGAGGAACCGGGTATGGCGCTCCTGGGGCTTGGCATGGCGCTACTGGAGCTTGGTAGATTGCTTGTAGATGTTGTTGATAGAAGTATGCGTAGAGCTCCGGGGGATAGGGATGAAAACGCGAGGGCATATATGGAGGCTGGGGCATTACTGGGGGGTAGGGGTAAGGCCCATTTTGAGGCGGGCCTTGGATCGGCATTTGGCCTGTTTGAGCTGGCTGATGGTACATATTCAGTTGTCTGGGATGGTCGCGATGAAGTATGGATGGCGCTAGACTCTAGCCTGTGACAAGACAAGATGAGCGATAGAAGGTAGAGTAAGTGTACAAGAGTGACTTACAGTACACAAGTTATATGGTAGACGTGGAAAGCAAAATGCGATGAGTGGTGAAGAGGAGGAAAGAATTATAAGTTGCAGAATTTAAGCTGTCGAAGATTCCACAACTAGTGGATGGACCGTTGTGCTTAGTCTTGCTTTGTTGCGTTGTGGCCAACAGATATTTACACAAGCCAAGCAACACACAAAGGATCCCGTCCACTAATTTTGATTCCGTCCACAAACAGTAGCATAACCCGGATATTCCCTGGAGCTGTGGATATGTTGAATTAGGTCTATTCACAAACATTAAACACGACGCGCTGAATTTTATTGATTCCAGATAATCTCCCTTTGGATAGGTATGATCATGTATATGTTCACCAGCCGTTACGATGGACTTAATATTGCCATCCGAAATTGCACACTCGAGATCTGTCGACAAAATCCATTAACATAGAAACGTCGGACAGGAAGTCACATGTTTATTGATACTAACGATATAGACATACGGCCAACTACCAACAGAAGGCCGCGTCTCTGGGTTGTCTGGAACAGTCCCCAAGAATGTCAGGTGCGAACTCCGAACCTTAGCAACTCGTGTAATTACTCTCCCCTCTCATAGAATCGTAGTCTTTGAGCTCTTAAATGAGCACGTGACAGCCTGGTGTATGCTCTTCACATCCACAAGCGATCTGCTTCCAGTGGAACATGCTAAATCACATCGAGGGATTGTAAAAGTGCAAGTAACAGACGTACCGTCAAGTCAGGCGCGACGAGTACCTCTGTTTCATGAATTACCTCCCGAATGCAATGTCCCGTAAGGCCACCGCGTGCCTGCGGAATTTTGGTGAGTACTGGATATTAACTTCACATTTGATTTGACTTGAAATAAATTGACGTAGGAAGACATCGTCTGCCGTTGTGGACTTGGACATCTCACAACAGAAATGTTTGTAGTTCCAAGTCCAACGGGGTAAACAATGTATAAATCATCTGCGCAGGCCAATGCGCTTTCCTGGCATGTAGTGAGTGCCCGTAGCATCACCTACATCGAACGTATTTTCGGTGCGCACTATGTGATTGAAAGCGTCCAAATCATAGACTGACTCCATTCTACCTGAGTGACAAGAATCGAAATTGAAATGCTTACCGTGCTCCCGCGTTTTGCACGATAATCAGGTCAAGGGCGTGAACATCAAAGCTCAGATAATACGGTGATTGACATAGTCGAGCACCACCTTAACAACATTACAGATTCCTAAGTCACCGAGTCAGCGTCCGTGCACGTCCCCCTTTATCAAAACTAAACGCACTGATCAACTTCAAGGGTCACTTCCAAAATATGGCTTTGTCCACGGTCCTGCAACCCGCTGAAGACGAAAACCAATTCAAAATCTCGCAAAAACGAAGTATGAGGGGTCGACATCAAGGAGCAACTTGAGGGGCATTCTGTGTACATCTGCTCTGGGTGGACTGAACTATTTTTTATAAATCATTGTGAGCGTCTATCGGACGACTATTCATGTGAGTTCTGTGGAATTCGGTATTGTCTAAACGGAGAAACTCACCTCACCATGACATAGTGCCTAATCAGGTGTGTTCAACGACTCATAAAGTTCTTTTTCGCGAAGGAAAGATGTGAAGCTTCTTCAATACACTGACTTCGAAGGGCTGCCTGTATCGTTGTAGTATTTGCTGGACAACCACATGTGGATAGAACAGTTGCTGAACCGACAGAAATCACACCTTTGGAGCACTGACATTCTTTCGAACAGTTTTTGTGAATTTTCGTATTGGATAAGGGTGATTCAGAGGCGGCGATGTTTCCAAAGTGATTTGTGCAGTGACTCGTCAGCGGTTCAAGTCGGACGTCCTACTCCGTCACCTTCAAACTCCGACATGCACTACTCGACCGTCAGAAACACTGACAAGGCTTACCGTATTCACATGACGATGAGAGCACCCTCGTTTATCGCTTGGCCTCTAGTCTGAGAAAATACACGCAGTGAGATCTTTTCTTTCATACTTGACTCGGTTTTGAAAACGAATTCTAAGCACAAACGGATGTCGCATGCGCGCGCTTCCCTGCCAATTCCCTGCATTACGATGTGTTGATAGCCTCGAGAATATTTTCCCAAAGTCAAAACTCCAGTCTCAGAACCTACACCCACTTTTACACCTCTTTGTAAGACTGATAACTTCCGCGTCTTAATAGCTAACCGAGACTTCCATCCAAATTTCATGTCCCTTTCCCTATTTTGACAAGACCCAAGACATTTCCACACGTCTTGCTTGCGAACGCGTAACACCGGGCCTTTCTCCAGGCTATAACAGCGTCCCTGGAGTGCAACTATGTAATTTCTCACTTCTCGGTACCTTCTTGCTTCTCTATTCCCTATAGAGACTTGTTGCTGCCCAACTACCGGAATACAAGACAGCAAGAAAACGACACAGCTGATATTAATTCGCTCCCAGACGTGCACTGGTGCAAGGCATTCCTGTGCTATTATTCTCGTGCTGGTATCATGGCGGACTGAGGATGCCTCCTCGATGGCACTTAGGGCGGGTTGACACACCTCGCCAGGGTGGACACAGTAAATGGCAGCTGTGGTAGTGCTCATGGTCGCAGTTGAATTTGTGTATACTCGTCCATTGCTGTATCTTCCTCGACTGATGACTTCACGTATATATCAATTCTACGTCATCTGCGACACCCAGAACCATCTTCAAAATCTCACAGCTTGATTGAGTCGGATTATTTTCCTTACTCATCCTCGTTGAGCGGGATGTTGGTTTCACATTATGGAGAACTTGACATTGATCCAAATAATGAATTTCTCTGACGATGTATTACAGTGGAGACTTTCCGTGGAGGAATGCAGCATGTAGCTCGGTGCAACTGAAGGGCGCACTTCGGGTGTCAGGTTATGTGCAGAAACAGGTGTTGAGGACGATGACGGTGTGCCAGCGTTAGTTGTCGGGTGCGAATGAACAGAGCATCGTGATCCAATTCTTCTCAAAGCACTCTTGGGCGAGTTGAATATCTCAAAACCCATCATTATCAACGTTAAGGGCTACTCACGGGTTGCGAACGCGCTGCTGATTGGGGTCCCACCTACTAAAGTCAGAAATCCCTTCATATCGCTTTCAAACCAATCAAGCTGACGATTCATCAGGTGAGCGCATCGACGAGCATCACATTGCACCATTTGCGATGCTCTGGATCAGTAGTCAACCAGCAATGACAAACTCTATGACGCGAGTGGCTGTCCTCGATGTCGATCCATAATCTTTGAAAGACTTCCTTACCTTCGATATACTCCATGGCTATCCAACTTGCCGTGTCATCCTCGATCGTGCACTGTATGACTTGTGAGTTATGAGGGTGATGGGCGTCAGGCTCTGCCTTCGATCTGTTCTTCGATGAGCAATTGTATTTATAGTAGCAAATTTGAAAATACAATATGAACAGTTTTGACCTTCGTTCGTCTCTGTGAATAGATCGCGTGTCACTTTGCGTTCTCACTCTCGACAATGTTGTATACGACTGATCGTCTGCAACCTAGATGTCGACCTTGAAATCTGTAAATGGGCACCGGTTGAGAAGTTACGAAGAAGGTTGTGCACTGGATGGGATGCCTGCGCGTACTCAGAGCAATTTAATAGAGACTCGGATAGGTGGCCGAGTCAAAACGAAATCGACAAACGAGCAACGATAAAGTTGGGGTGAGACGGGGAGATTTGACGCTTCAATGATACTAATGGCAGTGACTCTAACCATGACTGTGAGGCGGGAAGCAAGGAGAAGCAAATGCGATCAATGGAAGGATTTAGGCGCGTCGTACAGCTACCATGCGGAAAGGGCGTGTCGGGGCTGTGCGCAAGGCCTTCTCACATTCAAGACTTCATTGCTCCCCAACGTCTTTGCTGCTAACCTCTCGGTAACACCAAATTCTGATTTGTACTTCTAGTGCGGATGAACTGACAGTTGGCTTTATCAGGGGGCCTATTCTTCAAATCATTTTCAACGATCGTTGTAGACTCGGAGTACATCGATACCAGGAGCCTCACCTTTGCACTGTCGGGAAACTTGTTCGCACCCGACTACTTCACGGTTTCGCTCGCGAAGACATAGCCATGGCTTCTACGTCGACAAAGATAGTCGCTACAGAATCGATTCTGAAACCAACCATAACCTTGAAGGGTCATGATCAAATGGTAAAATCTATGTCCTATTTTCCAGATGGCCAGCGGATCATCAGCGGATCCTGGGACCACACTGCTCGACAATGGGAACTGAAGGCGGGCAAGGAAATTGTGGAAGCGCGCGATGTTTGCAAGGAAGAGGTGTGGGCAGTGGCGGTGTCGAGGGATGGTCGATGGATTGTCACTGGTGGCGGAGATTGGAATGGTGCCTGATGGCAAGTGCGTCAGAAGATGAAACAACGCGGATATGGAATCTCGACACCGGAAAACAAGTGGCCGGTCCATTCAGGAATGCCAGTTGGGTGGGCACAATTCGAATTTCCACAGATTGCAAGAAGCTTGCGGTCAGATCGGGGTCGTGCCTTGAAATTTGGGATGTCCGATCACAGACATTGGATGTCACGCTCGAGGGAGAATTTGACACATTTGCGCCAATATTCTGGACAAACAAAAATAAAAATATATTGGCCGCATTCACCTTCAGGGCCCATGACCACTCAATCTACGAATTTGACGCATCGACACTAAAGACTGTTGGTACTCCCTTCAAAGGGCACACCAAGGATGTCACCATCCTCGCACTGTCATTTGACCATACTCTCCTGGCCAGCGCTGCTCATGACTACACCATCAAGCTTTGGGCTTTCGAGTCCCGTCAGCTCCTTGCCTCCTTTGAAGTTCGGAATCCACGTTCCCTTGTCCTCTCACCCGACTCACACCAGCTGGCTTACGCAACGTATACCGAAATTGAGATCTACATCTGCGATATTCCAACCGAAGTACTTGCTCAGGCATGTGTATGCATTTCCTGTAAACATCCACTTTGTGTGCTAACATTTCCTTATAGACCATTGCACGCTCAAAAGGACCCACAACTATGTTGCCTGCCATAGCTTTTCCACCTCTATCACAAATACCCTCTTCTACAGTAGCTCCAGAATCACGCCTATCCCAGTTACTGCCCGACCTTTTCTCCTCTTCCCACACTCATACAGTCTTTTCTTCTCATAATAATAATGTGCCTGACGACCTCAATGCAATGTTCCAAGACCTCTCAGAATATATCTTCAAGGATGGAGACTACCCTGCTGCTCGTGGTGGGTTCGGCGAGATCTGGAAATGCACCTTTTACATCAATCCTAGCCCCGTCAAAGTTCGTTTACCATCTTTTGTCTGTCCACCTGTCTAAATTTTATCATCTTGCAGATCGCCGTGAAAACATTGCAGGTGTACGTTGATGATCAACTTGGACCAGCCAAGGAAAAAAAGATCCAGGCGAGTGTCTCACCGGAAGATTGAGTTCCTCACTGACACGAGGCTCCACTTCGTAGAGGATCATGCGTGAATTCAGGATATGCGCCAACCTCGATCATCCAAACATCCTACGCATCTATGGTTATACCCATGGCTTCGGCCCATTTCCAGCAATAGTCAGTCTTTGGGCGGAGAATGGCAACTTGACAGTCTATTTGGAGCGTCAAGGTACGACTCTGACTCTCGTTCGGCGATTCCAACTGGTAAGTCTCTCTTCATCCATATTCAATCCCTGTAACCCAACTGATGAAAATCTTAGCTAACGCATATCATAGCTGGTCTGCGATATCGTATGTCATAGACTTTTCTCTGTGCGGACCGAGCTGTAACTACTCTTCACAGTTCACGCCAACAATGTCATCCATGGCGACTTTAATGGGGTAAGTTCAATCTTCTCGATCGTTCCGATTTTATTGAAACGCGAGTTTCAGCCTAACGTGTTGATCCATGGTGATGGCACTGCGTGTATTGCTGACTTTGGCCTTTCCTTGATGTACTCCGAGTTTATAAGCGCCTCCCAGGCATCCTGGACGTCCACGCTCAAAGGAAACATGCGATGGATGGCTCCTGAGCTACTCGTAGAGCGGGATGATGGCTCTCAAGTTCGACCAAGCGAGCAGAGCGACATGTATTCGTTTGGCGGTGTCATGCTGCAGGTATGTGTGGGCTAACTTTGGCCTCTCATTAATATGAAAAGCTCTACTCGTAGGTCCTCACCAACAGATTACCCTATTATAACCTCACGAACGATGCCGCCATCATACTCTGCATAGCCAAGTCGCAAACACCCTCTCGATATCGTTATCCTGAGCTCCCTGAGCAATACTGGCCATTTATCGAGCAATGTTGGTCTAGTAATCCTTGGGGCCGTCCCTCGGCGGAGGGAGCTGACGAAGCGATCAGGAATGAATTTTCTTTGCTATCCAGATCTCAATGATTCTTGACTGCCTCGCATTCAGAAATCTGTTTACAGTACAGCCAGATGAATAGATCTAGGTACTCATGTAGGCTCATTCTATGATCTCTCTTGTGATATTGACACGCTTGTGCTACGATGAAGAACGTCAGTTGTAGGATCATTGTCGATTATTGTGTTCACGAATTCTGCGACAAGCATGTCGCAGGCGCCAGACGAGACCTGGTCGGAATCGAAATGACATCATCTTACATCATGGATTGCGAAACATTTGTTTCCGCAGCATTCGGATGTCTCACAAGTGCTCTTTCACTCTATATAAGGCCCCTGTCCGAATTAACCTCGCCTACTTTTGACTTCCACTTGCTTCACTCGTTCAGAACTTCAGCTTCACATAAAGTTTGTGATATTCGATGATGGAACAAACCCACAACACGAACTTCGCATGATCCAACAAGTTTCGAGCATACTGCACGATTGCCTGGATTCGAACTTACTCTCAGCTGGGCCTTCACAATAGTTGGCTTTAGAAACCTCTTTTCTGCGGTAGCGCCTCTTGGAATCGACTGGATCTCGAGTCTCGTCTAACCGATAATCTCCTTCATGTCGATCTCCCAACCGATCTCTGCATATGTAGGAGACCCGATTCTGACGACCTAGTTTATCTGGCCACAGTTTCTGAAATCCGACCATAAGGGCTCTCGCAGTCCCTACTGTCTTCTGCCATTTCAAGTGCTTTGGACACTAGTCACTTTGCCGACCCAATCGATACTTTTTCGACGGATCTCACCCATTTCCGATGTTAGCTTAGCCTTAGATCATCCACCAAAATTTCCATGCTCGAGTTCACCGAATCAGCCCCGTCACCTCGTATGGTTCAAGATCACGATCGATTAGTCCTTGGATCTGCCTATTTTCTGAGTCTCATTCAAGCTGATCCGCACCATCCGATCGAACGTCGCCCAGCTAAAGGTTATCACGTGTGGTCACTTAACATTTCGCTCAAATTTTTCATCTTTTTCCTTGCTCATCTCTTCAACAATTCCTCTGTGGTATTCGATTTCGCGGCTCAGATCCGAAAACCTGGTACGATCCAGTATGTGACTCGGAGCCAACAAAACTCGCTTTCACAAGGCCAGGCTTCGTGCGACCAAGAGGAGCATGTTTGTTCTTTCTCCATCATTGGTTCGGGATGACTCTTGGATTTTCCTGTCTACCATTTCGCAACGATCTCCAGGTCGATCTCCGCTTTTGCGACTATGCTTCGATGATCTTGTTTGCCATTCGATTTCGTGCGGCCCATATAAGTTCTAATTGGTCCCCACCTTTTCAAGTCCGCTTTGAGGGCCCGCTAGGACGAGCACGGACCTCGAGAGATACCGAAGACCAACCATTTCATACGACTCTGTTTATCGAGGACTGACTACAACACCACGAGAAACTACCGACTACGAGCCAATACTACTGCTATTGCGCCAGACTTTATTACACTACCCAGAGCTCCTGTCAATGCCCTGGCACTCCCGAGGACTGTCGATAAAACTTCGTACAACGCATCCCTGCTTTGAATGGTGTTTTGTCCACATGGTCAAATATCGATCTTCCTTAAGTCTTTGCTTTGTCTCGACATCCTTGAATTTCTCGCTGATGTTCTTGTTCTCATTCTTGTCAACAGTGCGAGTCATGATTCCGTTGTCTGTCTTGCACAATTACCAGTGCGCGATTCTGTTTCCAATCACACTGGGGTGGCTGTGAAATTGACTTATGGTACGGCGCGCTTCATTCGATGGCGTGCCGGAGCTTCAGGTAGGAGTGGCAGGCGCAGGAGCCTCACCCGTTTTCCTACTGTTGTTCTCGACAGACTTTTTCATCCCTTGTATCTCGATGCGTGCGACGCAATGATTGGCTCGCATTTGTGAATGCGAGGTTCGTTGGTCTCGATCTTAATGCCCTTCGAAGATTCAGAAGCTTTTTCGGGTTGCAGTTGGAGGTACGTCTAATGAACAACTTTCGGGCTGGTGATCGAGCTCATGATTTTTGCAGAAAACATGATCTTCCAGGCTTGAGCATGAGCGCAAACGTTCTGACCTAACGAAAGTACTAATCTTCGCACACTTCCAAAGACTCGCTGACTCCGGTAAAGTCACTAGGAGCACCATATGACCCGAGAATTCTCCCTGACTACCGCGGAACATTTTCTCATCCAAAAGAGAACGAGCTCAAGCAGCTAGATATGATATAGCAGAAAACGATCCCATACCTATCCCGGTCATGAAACTTATTCCGAACCAAGGAGGCACCCTTTTCACTGATGCAAACCACAAAACCCACTAGTACTGTTGTAGCGTCAATATGCGTGTATCTTTGTTTCTCTGGTCTCGCTGGTCGATCTTCCATACTGTGGTTGCACCATGATTTGGGCTGGAGGGACTGGTTGTCTTTCGACAGGCACGATGCAATCGCACATATTGATCATCCTTAAGTAATCGTCGCTTGCAACGTATAGGTCCCTAGTTTCAAGTGGGTGCCTACATATTCATGTGCTTCCTTTATCCTAAATACATGCTGCAAGGCAAATGGCTCCAAGTTCAAGCAGCATGTCCACCTAACCCATACGCTCTTTCTCCAGATTCATTCTACAGACTCAATAAATGCTTAAGCATTAAACCGCGGCGTTCCACCTGGGTGATTCAGGGTTGTCCACACGACGCGACTCACGCTATGGCGAATCAGCGTTAGGCCGAGTAATATCATGCTGCAACGCCCGGGTTCCCATTTTCAAGGGTATGCATACCTGTCACATGCTTCCTTCATCCCATCCTAAATGCGACATTGAATCTAGCGCTGCTTCTGAAAGGCCTTACTGTTAATGTGTTTCGGATATCAGTCGGGTCAGGAATTCTGCCGTTTGCTCCTTGTGCAACAACTCTGGTTCTCGATCTCACGGACATTCGGGTACTTTGTCCGGTCATTCCCCTGCGAAAATGTTGACGAGTTTAAGTCAAAGCACCACCTGGCTACCTTGGCAAATGGTCGCGGAATTGTAATTAGCGGCGATTGCTGCCGAGTCTGCGGTCATTTGTTAAGGGGTAACAGTATGCGTCAAGATCTGTGGTACCGCAGTCGAGCTACATCATCTATCACAGATCCCGCACATCACACAATAAGCTTGCTCCTGTTACCCAGTGCTGGCGGTGTTAATCATGGTGTGTGTTCATTGTAGTATTTCACAATTAACCCTGGGATCCGAATACAACTCGTAACTCGTGATATCCAAGGGTTTTATGCGCGTATTCCACAACTAATATCAGCAACATCTCTTTAACGTCTTCGGAAAGCGCTCACCGTCGCAATTTACATTGCAACCGTTGACCTGGCTACTAGTATGCTCTGATTAGTGGCAAAACCATGTGAGCACCCTATCGAGCGTTTATACGTATATGGTCATTAATACGGGCTGCTCATCCCTGAAAATGTGGATTGGATGAACAAATCATCATCGTCATGGACCAACATTCACTAAACCGCACCAAAAGCACCTGCGGAATGCGAGGCTCCGGCACAAAATTTGAGGCCTTCACGGAAATTATTTCATGGTGCGTGAGCCAGCATCTGTTTTATGATGCAAGCACATGCAAATGGTTTAGCTGGGACTTGTACTACTTGTGTATAAAAGCCAACGTACTCGACTCAGAAAATACCATCAAGTTTCAGCATTCCAGCCATGAAATTCACTTCAGTCACCAGTGTCATCATTACCGCTACAACGCTGGCTAGTGTAGCCATCGCAGGCATCATCCCCATCATTCCAAAGTTGGGGGACACCGTGACCCCTATCCTGAGTTTGAGGGACACCAATTCCTCTACCACGGACATCATTCCCGACTTAGCAGACATCATTCCCGACTTGGGGGACATTTTTCCCGACTTGGGGGACATCATTCCCAACTTGGAGGACCTCATTCCCGACCCTTTATGAGCGTTTGACTTGCTCTAACAACGCGACAGTGTCTTGGTGAGTCTGTCTTTTCTCGTTGTCTTCCCGAGTCCGAGTTGCTGATGCACTTGCTCTTTCTAGAACATGTAAAGCAATTAGCGTGATACTTGTAGGAGGGCGTGAAGGAGAGCGAAGGTTGAGGGGGTCATGATCGCGCTGTCTCGTTGAATGAAGATGCTTTAAAGATGTGATGTGTTGTAAAATAGACGATCGACGAGGTCCAAATTATGGCTTTTATCGAAGTCTCCTTGTTTGATTTCACTTGTGACCTAGAACCACGTCGCTGCCGGCAGTATCAGTGACAAGGAAAGGAAAATCGGTCGAGAAATCCGCCATCTGAGATGGTAATTAAAAATCGAAAGGGTTTGAGAATTCCGGACGGCCAAGACGGTGGACTCAAAATCGCGAAGTCACGAAGCAGAAGAGCGATGACGCTGTAAGTCCGCTTACCTGACTCGTTCCCATGGACCATGTGCATGATCAGCAGGCAATGCATGAAATGATGTCATGAGTGCACGAATCACCGTGGGAAGTCTGATCCGTAGAATCGTCTAACTGAAGGGGAATGAACACAAAGGTAACTCATACTACTCGTAATATCAATAAGCTGAATTTCAAATCACTTCACCAATAGCCCGTCCTCTTATCTTCCCCTCTAGGTGAGCATAATGAGAGGGCGAATATTTTTTTCGTCGTGGGTACTGTCAGTGTCAGTACTCGAGACCATGCCATTGGTATCTCGTCCACTTACGCTGGTCATCCTTATTCAATGACCCCTAGCTCGCCGATGCTGTTTTTGGCTTCTGCTTACTCTACTAAGTGTCACCAGGGTGTTTTTACTTTGCATTTGTTATTGCATGTGCTCCTCCGACAGAGGCAGAAAGTCCACTAGCACGGTGCATGCTTGCGTGTCGCTTTTACAAGCCAAACAATTTTCTTGTGATGCTAGTTGCCTGCCGGACGTTCGTTCATAAGGACGTGGAACGCACTGCATCGTTTTCCTTAAATCCAGGTCGTCACCAATGTCTCATGTTGCTGCTCTGCCATTGTCGAGTCGTAGGGCTTGTGTTGCGCATATGCACTGGAAACTTAACATAGCTGATCTATTCAGGGGCGATAGGCGCAGTTCGATTCTCAATGAACTCCAAGTAGCTTGCGGGGATTCGAATGTCAGGAGATAGATGGTTTTCTACCAGCAGTTGTGTGATGATTTCGATTTTGAATTCTGTAGATGGGCACTTGGTCTTCGCGCCAGAGAAATGCTCAAGGACGTTCTGAATGTATAAGCTGGTTGAGGTGTGGTCAAAGACGAACACGGTTCCTGAAACATCTACATGTCGGCAACACTGGCATTGCATGTACTACTTCTGAGTTGATACGACGGAATGAAGGGGGGTGGTAACCGTAACCGTTCAGGCGTCCAAAGTGAAACTAACGAGAGAAACGAGTACTTGAACTTGAGTGTTTGTCGGGTGGGAAAAGGAAATCTATACGCTTTAATCGTGGCAGTGACTTTAGGGCAACCATGGCTGTGAGAAGTGAGGGGAAGTAAGTGTAATGAGTATAGAGGAGGGGTGCAATACACAGGTGTCATGCAGGGTATATATGCAAGCAGTGCCTAAGGCCAATGATAGTTGCACTCACATTCAGGAATTCATCGCTCCTCAAGCTCCTCGCCGCGAAAGTGCTGATCTCTCGGTAACACCAATTCTCATCTAGATCTCCAGTGCGGATGAGCTGATGCTGGACTCGACCAGGATTCTAGCGTCAGTCATATAGTGCACCGACAACGAGTCCCAAATAATACTTTCCAGTACTTCACGTTTCGCTCACGGAGACACAGCCATGGCTTCCACGTCGACAAAAGCAGCCACCATGAAATCGATTCTGAAACCGTCAATAACATTGAATGGTCATGGGAAGCCAATTCTATCCATATCCTACTTTCCGGACGGCCAGCGAATGATCAGCAGAGCATTTGACAGGACCGCTCGACAATGGGATCTGAAGGCGGGCAAAGAGATTGAGGAAGTGCGGGGTGTTTTCAAGGAGCATGTTTTAGCGATGGCGGTATCAAGGGATGGTCGATGGGTTGTCACTAGCAGTGGTGGATATCGTGACCCTCGTCCGGAGCTGAAAGCCGGGGATTGTGAACTTCTTTCGAGGACACTCACGGAGGATTAGATGTGTTGATATCTCCATGGACAGCAAGCTGCTAGCGAGTGGATCAGACGATAAAACAATGCGGATATGGAACTTGGAGACTGGCAAACTCGTGGCTGGTCCATTCAAGAGCGTCGATTGGCCGGGCACAGTTCGATTCTCCACAGATTCAAAGAAGCTCGCAGTTATGCTAACCACAGGGATTGGCCTTGAGGTCTGGGATATCCAATCACAGAAATTGGATGTGAGGCTAGGAAAATTTGATTATGGAGCACAACTCACAAGTATTCTGGACAAACAACAACAAAAGCTTCTTAACCGTATTCAACTTCACTAAAGACGATAATGCTAGGACAATCTACGAGTTTGACGCGTCAACACTGGAGACTGTTGGAACTCCCTTTGAAGGGCACACTGACGATGTCAACAGTCTAGCACTTTCGTTTGACCATGCTCTCTTGGCCAGTGCTTCCTTCGACGATACCATCAAGCTCTGGGCTTTTGAGTCCCGCCAGCTCCTCGCTTCCTTCGACGCTGATGTCTATGCCCTTGTTCTCTCACCTGACGCACGACAACTAGCTTACGCGATGAATATTGAAGGTGATTACAAGATCTGCATCTGCAATACTCCACCCGATGTCCTTGCTCAGGCCCGTGTACGCATTCTCCCCAAACCTGTATTGTTCGTATGCTCACGTTCTCTTAAAGATTATTGGGCGCAAAAAGTCAGCCCCCAGGGATCCACTAACTGTGCGTATCTCATTCTTTTACTCATCATGTCACTCATCCATTGCAGTCTGATGCAACTCGTCGTCCTCCTGCCAAACGCCGCATGCAACCAATATCCGCCGTACCTGTTGCGCCGAGACCTCCACTTACAAGAGACCCGCAGCAAACCGCTTTATACGCCTCAGGAAACTCCTTCGCTTCTCTCCTCGCTCGCACGCAGTCGCTGTTCATGATGTCCAACCTCGTGACCCCTTGGATGTATGTCGTGACTGCTATATCGGTTCCCTGATAACTGAATCCATGATGGCACAAATAGGTCCCTGCTACATTGCCACTACCGTACCCGCTCTCAGATCAGGTCACATCTCGATTTGGTCATGTCGGTCTTCAATTTCTCTAAGTGTACTTGTAATGGATGACTGAGTACGTGTCCAGTTCGAAACAAGTACTCCGCTTTCCTCCTCGAACGGAGTCGCGCAGTTTGTATGGCAGAATCTTCCATTCGTCACGCCAAGACACAGTCTCCGGCCTCCAGTCGTTGAGGTCGCACCGGGACGGAAAGTCATTGTAATGTAATTTCTTACTTCTCGGTATCTTTTTACTGATCTATGCCCCTACAGAGACTCGCTGCTGCTAAAATACCAGAATACAAGAAAGTAGACGATACCCGACGTCCGTCTACTCAACAAGCTACCGTCCCGCAGGAAAACGACAAAGCTGACATTGATTCGCTCCCAGACGTGCATTGGTGTAAAGCATTCCTGTGCTATTATTCGTGCTGGTCTCATGGCAGACTGAGGATGCCTCCTTGGTGGCACTTGGAGCGGGCTGACATACCCCGCCAGGACGACATGGGAAATGGCAGCTGTGGTAGTGCTCATGGTTGCATTTAACTTGTATGTACCCATCCATTGCTGTATCCTTCATAGCTTCACACTTGCAAATCAATTCTATACCATGCGCGATACGCTGTGCATCTTCCAATCCCACCACGACTTGAGCTTAGATGAGTCAGATTATCATTGCGCTCATGTTCGCTGAGCGGGATGTTGATCTGGTCCAGATCGAAATGACATCATCAGGTGATCCGTCAGCATTCGGATGTCTCACAATTACTTTCTCACACATATATAAGGCCGTCGTCTGAATCAACATTTCCTGCGTTCTACTTCCACTTGCTTCCCTCGTTTAGATCTCCAACGTCTGTGGCGTTCGATTGAAACACAGTACGATCTCACAAGTCTCGAGCATGCGACTTAGACTACACTGGATTCGAGCGAGGAGACCGTGGATACCCGATCCCGCCTAACCGATAATCTCTTATCGATCTCCGCTTTTTCAGACCCTCTTTTCAAAGACGACCTTGTGTTTTTTTTGGAATTCACCCTGACTCTTGCCGTATCTTCGAGTTCCGATTATAGTCTGCTCCCTCAAATATATTGGACACTCCCTTGGTCAACCCGATCGTTGGCTGTCAACGAGGTTACATTTGTCGACGGATATTAATGCGATAGCTTCGATTGTCCGCCCCACTGCTTGTGCTCGAGTCCACTGGATCAGCCACATCAATTCGCACGATTCAACGACTGATCGATTCGTTCGACCATGAGGAGCATCTCTATCCTGGCTGTTCTTTATCCTTCCGTCGGTTCGGCACAACTCCTATCTTCCATTCTGCGTCGATCCCCAAATCGATCTCTGTTTCCGGCGTCTTTGTCTTGACGATCTTGTTTGCTCTTCGTTTTTGTGCGGCTCCTTCAAGTTCTACTCGATTCCCCTTCTTGGACTACACGGTTGCCTGGATTCGAGCGAAGAGACCGTCTCAGGTGGGCCTTCACGATAACTGGCTTCAGAATCCTCTTTTCTTCGATAGCACCTCTTGGACTCGACGGGATGCCCAACCAATAACCTCTTCCAATTCATATCGATCTCTGCTATCACCCGCCTTTCGGGGACAACCTTGTGTTTCCTTTCTCGAATTCACACTGACAGGCTCCTGCAGTACCTTTGAGTTCCGATTGTCCTCTGCTCTCTCAAATCCCTTTGGATACTCCCTTGACCAACCCAATCGTTTACCGCCATCGAGCTTACATCTGTCGACGGACATCGCGCTAGTTTCGATCCTCCACCAAAATTCTCATGTTCGAGTCTACTGGATCAGCCTTATCAGTTCGCATGGTTCAACGACTGTGATCGATTGGTCCCATGGATCTACCTATCCTCTGAATTTCACATTTCGAGTCGATCAGACCGACCGTTGCGTTCTATTCCACCCATTTCCTCCGATGGCAACTACGTCACTCAATCACGATTGTCACGTGTGGCAATGTACCATTTGCTCACTTTTTCATCTTTTCCCTTGCTCATCCGGACCTCGGACTTCAAAACTTTCTCTGTTTTAATCAATGTCATGGTTTGAATACGCGAACCTGGTACGATCGAGTTTGCAACTCGGATCCAATAGAAACTCGCTTTCACAAGGTCAGGCTTTGTTCGATTAGGAGAAGCATCATTCTCATTGGTTCGGCACAGCTCTTGAATTCTTCTGACAGATCTCATTGGCTTGTCTAAATTACTCTACTGCGTCAACTTCATGATTTGCTGATAGTTAGACAGCATTAAAGTTCGACGTTCGAACGCTGGGCTACTTTCATGCAATAACTGCTGCACAACATTTCCTTTCAGGATCTATCTTGGCTATCGCCGTACTTTGCATCGGCTTTGAATTTGGTCCGTCGGGCACTCCCTGTTTGTAATAATCAGCTCTAACATTACAGGCTAGTCGAAAGAATCGTTCGAATTTCTACCACTTCCTCGAATGACCCTTTGACTTTTGATTTTTGCGCTAGATTACAGAGGTCCCTGATGCGAGGGGTCGAGGTCGCGTCAACTACATCAAGGTCGTCACAAACATACATGAACAAGCCTCGACTGAGGCGTGGAAGTATACAATGAGATGGCACGGCCGTAGCATGGTGATATGCGGTCAGGATTTTGTTTTGATACATTAGTTTGTATGAGATGGGTCTCTGGTGTGCAGGGCTGTGTCGCCACTGGGATTCGCTTAATATTTACAAGCATATATTACAGAATGGTCAGTGGTAAAGGTAAAACCGTTAATTTCTCATCGAGCATGCACGAGATTCTGAACATGAGAAGGCGTCATTGAGACATTCAGAAGCTCTTAGGCTGACAGCCTGGCTGATACTTGCATCGTCGATTGCAAGTCCCCGGAAATTCCGTCTCAACATGCTTGAGTCAGTTCGAGTGCCAATTCCGATTGAAGGTAGCCGTTCCTCCCTTATTGTCATAGTTTCTGGATTTCCGTGGCCTCCAGTGTTCGCAGCTGGAAGTCCGAGTCAATGCTGCAGCGCATACTGCTTAATGCTTGTGGTCAAAGTTCTACCGTTTCTCATACAAACAGATCTGTTCGCCCCAACGTCTCCGATATAACCCCCACCACCTTGGCTTCAAATTCAAACACATCCCCACCACGGTATGCCACAAGGTCCTGAGGCATCTCCCTCTGCACTCCGAGCGCCTTTTCGAGGTTTGTCGTGGCAAGTGCAAGAGCTGTTGTGCGATCGATCAAACCATTGGACGCGAGGAACTATAATTACATTTAAGAAAAACGACAGGAAAAGCAGTGTTCGACCAAACGCACCCAACCGGCTTCGAAACGTGTATTTCGGGCATTGTACTCGTCGATGACTCCAATGGCTACATTGACGCCGGCCTTCAAAAGCTTGCTGACCAGGCTCTCTTGCGTTATTGGTGGCCCAGCAAGTCTATGCGATAGCAAGGTTAGCATCGTTAAGCGCAAACGAGAAAAGATTGGATCAAGAAGAAAGAGCATGAAGGATACTCACATCCTTCGCTGCTCCCAATTCGACGGGAATGGCTTGCTCTGCGTGACGATCACGCTCACACCTGCCCTCTTAATCTCAGACGCAAGGAGATGAGCCTCAGTTGCTCCCGCAAAGGTCATACGAAGTTCCCTCCCAGAATGAGTCTCGTACTCATCCTTAAGCCGAAGCAGCGTCGCCATTATATCTGCGCTCTCAACGTCCACAACGAGCGTGGTTTTACCCTTGATTCTAGATATCAGTGTTGACTCAATGCATGAGACGCACAATAAGCCCACCTTTCTAACGCTCCTGAGCACCTCATCTCCACCCTCTCCAAACAACATGTTCCTAAGTGCTGCTATCTGCGTGCTCACACTTATCCTTGAAGACATGCTTATGCCCACATGTAATGCGACTTCATCAATTACACTCGCATTTTCCACGCTGGCATGCGCAGCTCCAGGTGAGAAAGCAGTAGATACGCCCTGCAGGAAGGCCCCAGAGGGCGCAGTGATGGCCGTTGTAACGCCGCCGCGATAGGCTAGTCTGCAATTCGAAATGTCGATTCAGACACTGGATGAAAGGAATAAAGGATACATACAGCAAATTCTGACCACCAAACATGAGACCGTCTTGTGCTCTCATGATCGTGTCACCCAATATAGCAGGAAGGTCACCATCGAGAGGGTTATGAACACTTCCATCATTTGTGCTCGGCTCAAGCCTTATCTCCACGAGCCCCAGTGGCGAACCGAAGCTGGTCAATCCAGGTGTGATCGTGCCACCTTCAAGGTCCACGATATCGACAGCCTCTTCTGCAAAATCCGAGCATTGACCAATACACACCACTTGACCATCCTCCACACCCACCGATCCTGCCTGCTCAGAAACACGCACCACCCCACTCGAGCCACCACCTCTCATATAAAGCCCTGAGACGTTCACGAATAACGCCCCTTTCACGCTCCGAGGCTCAAGAGGGGGAATACCCTCGTGCGCGACCGCTGCCACCTTCTCAGAGTCGAAATTGGGTGTGCATGGGGGAGTGGTGGGCCCCTTGGCGACATGGCCTCCAGGAAGGGAGAGCTGGGGGATACCATCAATATAGACCTGAGTGGGCGTTGAAGCAAGTGAAAGTGGGTGGGAGGACCAAATCACAACATCTAGTTTCGATTAAACGATCAGACTCGCTTCTTATATATTTAGTGACTGCGAGCATAACATACCTGCATCATACCCTGCAATTCAACCGAGACTTAATTTTTTCATTGAAATTATATGATAGTCTCACATACCTGGTTTCAGCATCCCAATCCGATGGCCCATCCCCATGGCAGTAGCAGGAGTATACGTAACAGAGAGGAGCGTGAGTGCAGGGTCAAGGCCATAATAGTGCGCTTGGGCGGCTTCGTGCAGGAGGTAGCGGGAGTTGACAACGGGGTGGTCAGACTGTAAGCAAGAGTTAGTTGACGCAGCATAATAAAGAGTATGTAGGGTGACATTTACCTTCATAACAACGTTGATTCCATGTTCCGCCAGCACCCGTGGTGCGAACTCCGATCCTCGATATGCCTCGCGTTTCTTCCTTTATGCAAGACAAGAGTATCAGGACAGTCACAAAAGTCGATACATATATACATACCGAAAGTTGGATGCAAAAAGTGCGATGGCAGGTGTGCCCCCCTTGTGGATAAGAAGACCAGGAAGTCACAAACAATCAACGAGGAAAGAGAAGAGAAAAGACTTACCCACGTTTTCTTCAACAACTCCGGAACGAGGTATGTTTCACCAGCATGGTGAAATGAGGCTACGGGGAATTCGAACTCATTTGTAAGCTGTCCAAGGCCATCCGTTAATCAACCCAACACAGGTAAAAATTAGAAGAGCCAAAAAAAAAATAACAACAAAATAAAACCCACGCGGACGATTCCGTCGAGATCAACTGCCTCGTAGCAGTGCACTGAAAGCTTTACACGTCCACGGAGCACATCGACAAGGGATTCCCATTGCAGATCTTCAGGAAATGCATTCCCTGCGAGGTCATCCCAAGAATCAGACTCTGCCTTGGCGCAGAAAGCATCTTGAGCGTCGCGCAGCTTTCGGGCACTATCGTAGGCGGCGCGGAAGTTCCACCCAGAGTCAAGGCGTGTCATGCCATAGACACGAGAGGGGTTTTCACCTTATGAGTGAATGAGCGATGATAATAACGAGGCCTCTTCTGGAACATACCACATGCATGTCTGTCAGGTATTGTTGAAGTTAGGAATAATTAAAGATAAATAAAAGAAAATGGAGGTGTGAGATAACAGACTTCATGTGCCGCCAGCGTGGCGTGAGAGAGTGGTCAAAGTGAGAGCCATTGAGGGTGTAGGGAGGCTCGAGGAGCATGGAAGAAGGCGAACGTTCAGCTGTAGGACGAAGCTTGATTATGAATGCCTGGCCACCTAGTATACAAGGTTTATGATCAGCAAATAGGCAAAGTGTGTATCAAGATAGCTTTAACCGATATTATTTGCGCTCCCAGGGAGAATTTGTGCGGTTGTAACACCTCCAGCTATGGCGAGTTCGTATGATGCGTCATGGGTGTTCAATCCATCAATACTGCGCAAACCAGGGCAAGATGGGGGCCTTGCGAGAGTTCGTGTCGCGTTGCACCTGCAGGAAATGGGACGTTATGGCTATTGTAGAGTAGCAAATAAACGAACCATTTAGCTCAGGCACACTACCGACACCGATATGGGAGTGTAAATCCACAATGCCGGGGGTCACCCACGCTCCGTGAGCATCAACAACCTCCAATTTCCTGTTCTTTGACTCGACCCTGCCGAATCATGGAAAGAGGAACATCCCCGATAGCTTTGATGAGACCGCGGTGTAAAAGGAGGTCACCAGAGATAACCTCGTGCCCATCATTAGCAGCTGTCCAGATAGTCGCATTACGCACAAGAACGGGAGTCGTGTTCTCTGAATCTGCGTAGCGGTCACTCTGGGTGCGAGTATGGAAATTGGGTGGAGGCCCGGGTTTGGCACGTATGTAGGCGCATTTAGAGAGGATTTGGGACCGACGGGCGAGCTCCTGTGGGCTGGATTGAGATGACACCGAAGAGATGAAGGTCGAGGAATGCAGAAGAATGATGTAGATGAGTGCGATGGTAAATAGGGCTGGGTGAATCCAGCGCCGAAAAGGAGGACGGGTCGCCAACGGTGAGCTACCCATTGTGTTAGGTGGTGCCAAGGCAAACTGAACTTGAGTCTTGAGCTCCTTGTTCAAATGGTAGTCAGTCAGCAGACTCAGCACTAGATCAAGTACTTAGGTTCGTGGGGAACATGTCGGCAGTACTTCGGTTATAAACCTATTAGTAGCTTCGAACGAACCGAACTTCCGTAGGGCGGCCGCAAATGCTGTCTTTGCACTAAGCCTGTGTAAGACCATCTCAACTTGAGTCAAAAGCTTGGCTATGCGCCGTGAATAGGTGAGGTGTTCGCTAGGATAAACCTCCCGTGTAGGAAATGGAGGAGGGCGTTTGATGTTGGGTAGGCTTATGAGCGAAATACCCAAGACTATCGTGAAGAAAAACGTTCAGATTGATCTGAATAAGGACTGAATATTTGCGATCTAATATATAGAAACACCTAATGGAAATGAAGCACTAGTACCGGCGTGACGTATGGCAGCTATCGATTGTATACCAAACAACAACAAACACATTGACGACTTGCTCAACCAACTCACCGTGCAGTAGCTCGAATTCATAGTAGATCCAAATATTGTGCTATGTCACTGGGGTGCTTTCGGGCCATAATGACTCTAGCTCAATTCATTGATGGACCTGAAACACACCAATGCACATTTGTCGACTGTTCTCGTTGATATGCTGCTGCTACTCTGTCACATGTGAGTTATCTCGTTTAGTCAATCAGGTTTGAGCTTTTGCGATCTTCTGCTTAATGTGCGTGCCATCAGGGTGTTCTTACTTGGCATTCCTTGAGCGCGCACTACATGTGACCGTGGTCCTGCAGCACATAAACTCTATTAGCACGCTGCGTGCTGATGTGTCGCTTCAGCAAGCTGAATAGCTTTCTTACGATCCTGTGTGGCCTGCCGATGCTGATCAGCTGTTCATAAGGGTGTAGTGTGTATCGCATCGCATTCTAACTTCACTCTGATAAAATTCATCTAGGTAGTTGCCCATGTGTCAAGCTGCCGTTCTGCTGTCGTTGAATCGAAGGGCGTGCGTTATGCAGATGCAGGAAACCCAATTAAATTTGCCAGCGACAACGATGTACATGTCATATCCATTCCGATGTCAAACAATTCATGTCCGGCGGTTAATGCAGCTTCGCCGTTTTGTATCCACTACTTGCTTTTTCAATTCGAGTAGTTGCACACACTTGACGTTCTGGTGCTGGTGATCTCCTTCATTCCGATCCTCGTGGTTCCAGTAGGATGGAAGCCCGAGATATGGGACCCAACCATTTTGATGGTTCCTAGTATCCAGGCCCCACTGACAGTTTCCTGCAGAGCCTGATTGAGCTGACTTCTTGAACAGGCGCACAGTGTTCGAAGATGGGCAGTCGCTCCATGTCAACATCCGTGTGGATCAAATCTATGCTTCCGCCGGTCTGCTTCAAAAGGGTCGTCTATACGGCTTCGAGTATTAATTCCTCCTGCGCGTCCATGGTGTAATCTCTGGGGTAGTCTGGATACACCTCCAAAATGCTGCGTTTGTTGTATGCCAGCATGATGCTGAGTGCGTGAGCAAATCCTGCGCAGCCTAACCACTTTAAAGACTTTTGCCGTACCTTTCAGTTCCGACTATCCTCTGCTCTCTGAAATATCGCTTTGGACACTCCGTTGGCCAACCCGATCGTTGGCCATCAACGAGTTTACATTTGGCGACGGATATTAATGCGCTAGCTTCGATTGTCCACCGAAATGCTTATGCTGAATCAGCCCCATCAGCTCGCATGGTTCGACGACTGATTGATTCGTTCGACCAAGAGGAGCATCTACATTCTGGCTGTTCTTTATCCCTCGTTGGCTCGGTACAGGTCCTGTCTAAGGTTGAACCACTTTGTAATTGAACTGCAAGCTTAAGGGAGGTTCACTGCCCTTTTCTGGAGTTGGTTGTCATACACCTCTGACTCCCTCAGACCAATGCATCTCGGTTCCTTTGTAAAGTGGCCCTCCCACAGTGTGTTCGAGAGCCACGTGCGTCAAGAAAATCGATAGCAAGGGAAATTCTTCAACCACATCGTATTTGCTCCATTATGTGGTGTCGGCGAAGGAACTTCGATTCTCTTAGAGTGAAGAGGCTCGGACCTAGGAACGAAGGAGGAACTCAGTCTTCGATTGAAGGACTGACAAGCTACGACATAGTGCATACCTAGGAACGAAGGAGGAACTATGTAGTTATTAGAGACTGTATTGTAGACTCGTAAATAAAACAACTCACCTCAGTCTTCGATTGAAGGACTGAGGGGAGACGCTTCCAAGGGAAGAGGAATAAAAAGACGTCGTTGAGACGGAGAACGAAAAAGCAACGTGTAGGGTGAGTGATATTGTATGTAAAATGAAACGCGTACGGAGAACGTGTTGTGATAGATTCTTCCACTGCCAATGGACGAACTGGTCGTATTGTATCTTAGTGCGGGCCGTGAACCGTTTTTTGGGGTCACCAGACTTCTTTAAAGATCTCTTCAAGAGTTTGCGGTGAAAGAGTTTCGAGCATGGGTCTTTGCGTCAGCAGCTACTAATTCTCCTATCTAATAAACAATTATCGGAGCGATAAACACGGTAGAGAAACATTCACCACAAACACAATATCTAGCGCCTCGCGTATTCTGATGCATTCGAATTTTACCAGTCGTTAGCGCACATACAGACAAGGCAGAGATATGTGGAGCACGGTGCTTGATAAATGTATAATGATCGCATAGAACTTCAAAGCACTTCATTCATTCCAAAAAAATGTGTTTATGACAAGCTATAGGTTTCTAGAGTAATGCAAACAGGAAGAGCTAAAGTATAACGCGGACGAATAGCGAGGACAACATGAGGCAACAGTAAAGCGAGATGGGCATGGTATCCAGAATGATACAAGGGGATTATACGATGGAATAGCGTTCGACGATGAATAGCGAATAGCATGTGCGTGTGGAGACAGATACAATATCATCAAAAAAGGATTCGCCCCTTATATCAAGTGAGGTTCATTCACGAGGCTTGTACGGATATTCGTCGGCAAGAAAGTGAAGTAACAAGGCGTTCACCTCGGATGCGTGGGTTACAGTGAGATCGTGGCCACCATCGTTGATGGTGACGAGGTCAGCTTGCGGTACGAGATTGTGTATCTTAGAAGCGTATTTATAAGGGACAGTTTTGTCCGATGTGCCCTTCATTGAAAAAGTCAGCATCACAGTGGCGGATTGATGAGCGATCTCTTACATGGATAAGCAACACTTGGTTGCCAGAGTGTGCGAGTGATTGGAATGCAAAGTGCAGGCCGCGAATAGGACCGTCGCGAAGCGAAGATGCCACAGCAGCATTATAGTGAGGTAGATGGGCGGTTTGAAGACGGACAATCTTAAATCAAAGTATTTAGTGGGTGCGAATTATGTGGTCAAAAAAAAACAGACTTCTTGTATCGGATTGATTTCATAAAGTTCCGAGGATTTAGAGGTATTCGCAAGGAGACGCATGTAATGCTACGTCAAAGTCAGGTGGGAGAAAAGGGAGCAGTCCCTCGAGCTTACTTGGAAAGGTGGGAGGGCGGACACAGTTTGCACGAGGGGAGTCGACATGAATTTTGCGGTACGAGAGATATCGCTCGACTATGCGAGATAAGTTAGATTAAGAATGTGCTGTGTTGCTTGCCAATTACCTCTATGATACCTGCTGAAGCAATAAGAGCGACTTTTCCATTTACCAGATGAGGGAAGTGGGCCGAGAATGCAGTCGCAATGCCACCTCCCTGTTTGCAATAGGAGAGAGATTCAGCGGTAGACAAACACAAGAAGACAAATGTACCATCGACAATCCGATGATAAATGCATTATCCCATTTAACATGTTGCATAAGAAGCGCGAGTTGGGTGGTGTGAAGGATGGTATCGTAAGTTACTTGGGGGGCATCTGAATAACCACGACCATATAGATCTACAATATCAATGGATTTGGAACGTAATACAAATATACATTAAAAGATAATAACACACCATAGAGAAGTACACGGTATCCTCGTGAGGCGAGTACAGGTGCACGTCTTTCCAGACGATCGCCGGGATGGAAAGTCCGTGTATCAAAACAACCTAACAGTCTCGATAAGCACATAATACTTGCGCACACAAAAAAACGCACACGTCGTCCGTCCTCTGGTCCTATGAGCCAATATCGCACCTGATATTGGGTCAGCATGTGAACAAGAGTGCGCATAAGCAGAGTACGTAACCGTCCTAGAGGTAGGTTGGCGTATGCACCGGCCACCACAAGTCCTCTGGATATACATTACATGACGGTGATGAGCTCGGAAGGTGCGCTAGGGATGTATGGATGATGGGTAAAGTAGGTGGTCGCGGGAAACTGGCCAAGAGATAGATGGTGAGAAACAGTGGAGGAATGACCAGAGCTAGACGATGAAATGGGGTTGAGCCCATCGTCGCTGATGGTGATAAAGATATGCACAAGGGAGGTATCACTGGCAGTAATTAATATTAAGAACTTGAAATCGCGTAAAAATCATGAAACGCACGAAAGACGTACGTTACATACGTCCTCCAAAACAGGAGCCAATCCAACGAGCACAATGTCACATGACTACAGCTTATGTAGCTCCGACAGATCACGTGACGTGCACCGCGCGTTGGGTTGGCGTTGTTTGGCTTTTTGATTTCTTGCGGCCGACGACTCCTGCTCATCGTCACCCACGACGATTCACGACCCGTGATATCAAGGCCTCTCACCGCCGGTCGTGATGAGCGAATATCCACCCTTTGCTCTTGATGATCTGGTTCATATCATGTCCCTCTCCCCGGCGCCACCACTCGCAACACTGGATGACTCTCAACTACCCCTCCGCCCCCCGAAGACCGCATCTCCTAGGCCCCAAATTGACAATGGCGAACAAGAGGTACGCATAAATATCACAGACATGCATGATCTCAGTGTAGGGGAGAAAGAGCTACCCGATTTGGTGCGTTATATTTTGTTTAATATCATCACAAGATGTCTGACTTAGCTTACATATCTATCCTAATAGGTGGTGAAGGAAACTAGTGGGGTGCATCCTGACCCAGAGCAAGTCATTAGGCAGGCTGAAATCATATCCTGCCTAATTGTCCAGCGCGATATGCTCTTGCGACAGGCAGAGGAGCAGAGACTGCGGTGGAACTCAGAGAAGGATAGTTGGGCACGGATGGCCGAAGCTCTCATTGCACAGCAGTCAAAGCACAGGAGTCCGTCTGACAAGGATGAAGTGAGTCATTTTGCTTTCTCTTTAGCGATGGTGGTTTAGCAAGCTGCATGGTCGTCTTGATAAATTACCTATCACCCAGCCGTGATACTGATGGCAGTAAGCTGGTCTCATAGACATGTAAACAAGCCATTATAGCCTTTTGTTCCTCCTTGCCTTCTTCGGATTAACAGAACTGACTTTGATTCAGGAGCTTGAGCGACAACAAGCTATAACTGAGGCAGACAATCGGAGTCTCCGCCAACGAGTGAGCTCGTCCTTCCATCACACACCTCTATCTATCGCTGATTTTTCACCAGCTTCATGAAACTCAATTGCGTCTCTCCATCCTCGAAGGTGAACTATCCCGCCTCCGCCCTTTGCTTCTCATGCAACCTCTCGCATTAAACGGACATGTCAGCCTGAATCAAGTACCAAAAACTCGTCTACACCGGCGGAGAAGGAAGGATCCGCAAACTACTGAGGACGAGGACCCTGGTCTTGATCCTTCTGACGATGACCATCCAGGAGACACTGAGGACACGCCTACAACCACACCAAAGCAGAAATCTCGTATAACAACAAATCTCCATCCGCATCCTTCCAAGCGCCAGCACTCTCAAAGACGTCCTTCGCGTGTTCTAACTGCAGATGCTAGAACAGAACACTTACTGCTAGCAGCAAAGAAAATCGGAAAACAGCGTGCTGGCATAATGGCTGGCCTCACACAGACCCTGGACAAGCAGCGAGAGGAATCAACTTCAACCGTTGTTGCTACCCCAAGACACCAAAGCACAACG